TAATATCTATCAAACTTTTCTTGTTCAGGGATCTCTCCACTAATTTCTTGTTTGGAGACATACCATTTTCAATCTCTAAACTCAAACAGCTGGAGTTTCTGTATGTGTTCTTTTCTTTCGCATTCATTCGTGTGTTTCCTTTGTCTGTTTTGGCGTTTTTTTATTTGTCGTAAACTGTTTCACATTTTGGCTAATGCAGGAACCTTAAGAGTAATCAGCTCACAGGCCCAATACCAGCAACCTTAACCCAGATTCCAAACCTTAAGACCCTGTGAGTTTCATTATGAATCAAGATATTGAAAACAAAGTGATCATTTCAATGATATTAGTTTCGTTGCATATGATCCTGCAGTGACCTTGCAAGAAACCAGCTAACTGGTGAGATACCGAGGTTACTTTACTGGAATGAGGTTTTACAGTATCTGTAAGTTCATCATCTACTTTTCTTGATTTCTTGAGGCAGCCAGAGATTTATCTTTTGATTGTGTTGTGTTTTATTTGTAGCGGTTTACGTGGGAATATGTTGACTGGGACATTGTCTCCTGACATGTGTCAGCTTACGGACTTGTGGTACTTGTAAGTGGATCTGGCTCAGCCCCCTTTCAAGTTCTTAATTACTCTTTAAACCTCCTGTTTTCAAGGAAGTTGTAATTGAATCTCGTTTGTTTCTGCTAGTGATGTGAGAGGCAACAACCTAACTGGAAATATCCCGGAAAGCATTGGAAATTGCACAAGCTTTGAGATTCTGTAAGTGTCTTCACTCTACGGAAACATTCTAAGTATTCAGCACATAACTTGGGTGGACTTAATTCGTCTTTTGCATTATCAGGGATGTATCTTATAATCAGATTACTGGAGTAATTCCCTACAATATTGGTTTCCTCCAAGTAGCTACTCTGTAAGTATTGTTAAGACTCCTAAAAGTCTTGTTTAGTTTTCAAAGCAATATACATGGTAAAGTGGCGATGGGTTCTTTTTGCAGGTCACTTCAAGGAAACAGGTTGACTGGCAGAATTCCAGAAGTGATTGGTCTAATGCAGGCCCTTGCTGTTTTGTAAGTTCTGTTAAACTCTGATTTTATAGGTTTCGTTTCGTGCTCTTCTGACTCAGTGAAAATAACTTATCCAATGCCCAGGGATTTGAGTGACAATGAACTTATTGGGCCTATCCCACCAATACTTGGCAATCTCTCATTTACCGGAAAACTGTGAGTCCCTTGCTTTTTACTCGCTTTTTCATGCATACTGTCAGATTTTTGCATAGACAAATAAGAGTTATTCTTGAAAATAGGTACCTCCATGGCAACAAACTCACAGGACCAATCCCACCTAATCTTGGCAATATGTCTCGACTCAGCTATTTGTAAGATTTGAACTTTTGCAACTTCAAACTGGTTCAACTTAAAACTTAAGCTCATCTCTCAAGGGTTTATCATTTTGCAGGCAACTAAATGACAATGAACTAGTGGGAACCATCCCACCTGAGCTTGGGAAGCTGGAACAATTGTTCGAACTGTGAGTTCTTATCCTCCAGTGTATCACTTAATAAATCATTTTTTTTTTCCTATTCATTAAGCTGATAGCTGATTGATGTATCTTTCCACCATTTTAGGAATCTCGCAAACAACCATCTTGTAGGGCCGATTCCATCTAACATTAGTTCTTGTGCTGCCTTGAACCAATTGTAAGTTATGAGATAAACCCTTTATCAATTTTTGCTTCCTCTTGTTTTTTGGCTTGTTTATTTTATAGAGAGCTTATTCTGCCTTTCTTGTTTTCAGCAATGTGCATGGGAACTTCCTGAATGGATCAATACCACTTGGATTCCGGAATCTTGGAAGCTTGACTTATTTGTAAGCTTCAAATATTGCATAATCAACTGATACTCTGGATTACAAGTCTTTGTTGATCTTTATTCAACGGTGTAAATTGCAGAAATCTTTCCTCAAACAGTTTCAAGGGAAAAATACCTGCTGAGCTCGGCCATATCATCAATCTTGATAATTTGTATGTATTTTTCTGGTTCATTACATCCTCTCCCCTTTACGCCTTTATTCTTCTTCATATGTGGACCAACTCATACAAGCTTTGCTTTCAGAGATCTATCTGGCAACAATTTCTCAGGGTCAATACCATCAACACTTGGTGATCTTGAGCATCTTCTCACCTTGTATGTCTTCATCAACCCCTGAAGCTGCATTGCTTTCACATTGATTTTTCTTTGGGTTTGTTGACTTGAGATATGTTTTAATTTTCAGGAATTTGAGCAGAAATCAACTCAATGGGCCGTTGCCTGCAGAATTTGGGAACCTCCGAAGCATTCAAATCATGTAAATTATTTCTTTATGCTTAAAGTTTCATCCTTTATGATATGAAACATCCTCTTTACCAACATTTTACTTTTCTTCTCAGCGATGTTTCATTCAATTTTCTCGCTGGTGTTATTCCATCTGAACTTGGCCTTTTGCAGACCATTAACTCTCTGTAAGTAAACCATCACTTCTCCTTTTTATATTACCATCTATAAGAGAGAGATCAATATTCTTTCTTGTTTTTTTGTACAGAATACTGAACAACAACAAGATTCATGGGAAAATTCCAGATCAGCTTACGAATTGCTTCAGTCTTGTCAATCTGTGAGCTTTCTTTTTGTTGTACAGTTGTTTTCTCACAGAGTGATATGAGCGTATTTTTAATCAAATCTTTTTCCTTCACTCTATACACAACCTTAGGAACGTCTCCTTCAACAATCTTTCTGGAATAATCCCAACTATGAAGAACTTCTCACATTTTACCCCGGCCAGGTATAAAAGCTTTTCAATTTTTCCAATTCTCTTTACTAGTCATATGATCACTATACCAAATCTATCATTTCGTTTACAGCTTCTTTGGAAATCCATTTCTCTGCGGTAATTGGGTTGGATCGATATGTGGCCCTTCTAAGTCACGAGGTACTGTATCTAAATTTGCATTTATCCTATTGCACCGTCTTAAATTGACAGTTTTCGTAAATATTTATTGGAATTTTCTTTCCCTTGACAGTGCTCACCAGAACTTCCGTGATTTGTATGGTTCTCGGTTTCATTACTCTCATAGTCATGATCGTCATTGCGGTTTACAAGTCGAAGCAGCAGAAACAAGTCTTGAAAGGTTCTCCAAAACAGTCTGAAGGTATTGGTCTCACAGTTTCTTTCTTCTTCTCTTGTTCATTAGAGTTCACAGCAGCATCGTGATAAGACTTCTATGGAATGTTCAGGGTCAACGAAGCTGGTGATTCTTCACATGGACATGGCTATTCACACATTTGATGATATCATGAGAGTGACGGAGAACCTCAGCGAGAAGTACATCATTGGATACGGCGCTTCTAGCACAGTTTACAAGTGCACCTCCAAAACTTCCCGACCTTTTGCAATTAAGCGAATCTACAATCAGCATCCCCACAACTTGCGTGAGTTTGAGACAGAGCTCGAGACCATTGGGAGCATTAGACACAGAAACATTGTGAGCTTGCACGGATATGCCTTGTCTCCATTTGGCAACCTCCTCTTCTACGACTACATGGAAAATGGCTCTCTTTGGGACCTTCTCCATGGTTTGCTATTCATCTTCTCTTGTGTCAATTAAACCCTTTTCAAATTTTGTTTTCTAGTTTCGGAGGACTTTAAAGTAGTGATCTGTATGAAGCAGGGCCTGGGAAGAAAGTGAAGCTTGACTGGGATACAAGGCTGAAGATAGCGGTTGGAGCTGCGCAAGGGCTTGCATATCTTCACCACGACTGCACTCCTAGGATCATCCATCGGGATATCAAGTCATCAAACATACTCCTTGATGGGAATTTCGAAGCGCGTTTGTCAGATTTTGGGATTGCAAAGAGTATACCAGCTTCCAAAACTTATGCTTCAACCTATGTTCTTGGAACCATAGGCTATATAGATCCGGAGTATGCTCGTACTTCTCGTCTGAACGAGAAGTCTGATGTCTACAGCTTTGGTATCGTCCTTCTTGAGCTTCTTACAGGGAAGAAGGCTGTGGATAACGAGGCCAATCTGCATCACATGGTAAAAAATTTCATTTAATATAGTGTCACACAAGCTTGTTCTTGGAAACAATGAGATATCATTTGGTTTCTGTTACAGATACTGTCGAAGGCGGATGATAACACGGTGATGGAAGCGGTTGATGCAGAAGTTTCGGTGACTTGCGTGGACTCAGGGCACATCAAGAAGACGTTTCAGCTGGCTCTTTTGTGCACCAAGCAAAATCCTTTGGAAAGACCCACAATGCAGGAAGTCTCTAGGGTTCTGCTCTCTCTTCTCCCGTCTCCACCTTCAAAGAAGTTGACTTCACCTGCGAAATTGCAGGGAGGGGAAGAACGGCGTGAAAGCCACTCCTCAGACACAACATCCCCACAATGGTTTGTCCAGTTCCGCGAAGTTATCTCCAAAAGTAGCTTATAAGTTACTGACTTTTAGGGCCCCCTATTATTTACTCTTTTTCTTTTTGAGTTCTCTTGTGTGACAAGGAAGATAGGCAGGGCAGGTTTTTATGTGATATAAGGCTAGTATGGGGGACATTTTGGGAAAGGGAGAGAAAATTGAAGGCATTAAAGACAAGAACATGGTATAGGTGATAAGAGTAGGTGAAGTTAATTGTTGGTTTCCAAAGGACGACGTATTCACGAGTTCGTTAAAAGTCTTTCAATATCTTTAATGCAATCACATACATTAATGCGTACTTCTTCTATCACACTATCTATACATTTTGTACATTATTCATTGACGATCAACACATGCGTCGCACATTTATATAACTTCTAGCATCTAATTCAAGAGTACATATATATACATGCTTTCTGACATGTGAATCTAAAGGAGTGAATGTCCTTCCAACAAATCCATACTCGTTAGAATGTAACTTATGGAGATGTGTTGTTGGACCAAATACTGGAAGTGTTTGGACAAATCAAAGCAGTAAGTTCCCATTGAAGCTATCAGGTTTCTTCATATCCATGTCTTGGAGTTAAAGAAGAAACTAATCCAAAATTACTGCGACTGGTGTTTAGATGTCGCCATCAGTAATCTGAAGTGAGGCATAGCTGTAAGAAATGGTGACATTGGTTAATATTCGTGACAAAAGATAACATATATGCAGCGTGAATCCTTTTGATATGAACCCTTACTTTGCTGAGAGATTCAATAAAGGGTTCATATCTAAAGTCTGTGTCCTTTGGAGCTTCAAATTCCTTCGATGAACTAAAAACACGGTGTTAGTAAGATCGAAGTTTCAGGGAGGTTAATGGTTCTCCATATTACATGATCCATGAAGACTTTGTAACAGACTAACAGTTTCAAGAACCAACCTGCAGCATAAGTGACTTACCCTCGGAAAATTGTTTTCATGTTTGACTTCGATTGCTTCACCGCATTTAACTGATATCTATATATCAAGAAAGGGGAGATTCTTTAGTATAATTTTCATGTCAATCTAAGAACGCTCATGGATTCTAGTTCTATTGGAGGGAGAAAATCTGCATGATCACCTTTGAGTCTAGAGGGCGAATCTTAGATTCGTAAACTTGACAGCTTGCCTTTGAGCTTCGAGTTTCCTTGACTTTCTTACCCTTTCTGAAACCAACGGACTTTGAACTGCACATTCTGGAGAGTCATGAATCTAGTTTAAGTCAATACAAGAGAAGAAGGACTAAAGGAATGGGAAGTAGAAAAGATTCATGGACTAACTAACGTTAGGGACTGTGTAGAATCATCCGCGTGTGCATTTTTAGCCTGCAATGAGAAGAATCATTGTAAACGGAGGGGATGAGAGATCAACAAAAAGCACACAAAAGGTTTGTGTGTCGAGTTTGAGACTTACATTTGAAGAGCGTTCCCGAGCTCTAAGAGATGTTCTTAGATGAAATGCCTATTAAACAAAATAAAGAATAGAAAGCTGGTAAAAATTGTGGTGTGATAAAGACAACTAAAGAGTTTCAAAATCTCCTTAGAATATTTGGACCTGGAAGCGTTGAGAGCGAGGCGTATTCTTTTTAGGCAAAGATGGTGAAGAACTTTCTTGAACCTGCAAATGCGTTCAGTCACAAACAAAGATTTGTTTCTGTTATTGCTTCATAGACCTGGTGCCAGTGAAAGAAAAAAAAAAAAAAAAGAAGAAGTACGCTCGTACTGTTCTATTCATAGTAGAGCTGAATTTCGTGATCTGCTCGGGTGCTGAATTAGCCTTAAACCTGAGAAATTCATAGCAGAGAAGTAGTAAATATACCATTAAAGGAAGGAACCAAACCATGTCAGAATGTCCTTACCGGTGGTGTCTCACAGCTCTTTGGGCAGTCTTGAGGTTAGGTTCCTTTGGAACAGTGACTTTTGATCCCTGTGAACACAACAAGATACAAATGTTACATGTACAAGAAGATGATACCATGAATGATTAAATCTCAAGCGCATTACCTTCCTTGGAATCTTATGTACAAAAGGAGCTTGTTCCAGCCGCGATACCTATTTCACACAGCTAAATAGCATTGGTCCTCAAGTCAAAAATGGTTTTAATAAAATGAAAGAGAAATGAGCGTAGTAGACCTTGCGCAAGAAGCCGGATTCAAGTTTTTGCCTCTTGGTATCTTGGATTTGAGGCATGGAGTATAAGAGAGAAGAGATCTTGTCATCGAACTTCCCCAATGACCTCTGACATCTATGAAACATCAAATCAGTTGAAGCTGAGAGCTAAAAGACTGATCAAGAGAAAATTTAAAATACCTTGAGAGAAGTTGAACAGAGTAAATGTCAAGAGGTTTGTTCTGTCTTGCCAACAAGGAAGCAGTGGGTCTCGTCAAAGTTGAGTTTTTTCGTAAAAAGGGTTTGGCTTTAGGCTTGTGTGTCGCCTTGGGAATATATTTAGCAGCTTGGTTGTAATATATGAACCCTGATCACCATAAACAAAACCTTGAGTCGCAAGAAAACAGAGCCAAAGACAGAGTTTTTTTATACATACCGTTGTATTTATCTGAGATGGGTTTGGGGGTCTCGAGATATTTGTCCTCGATTCTCCATCTCAAATTTAGGCAAAATTCTGAAATAAATCCATAACCATTATCAGGAAACAAAATCCTAAAATATATACGCAGATCAAAATATGCACATCTTACGCGAAGGAGGATAGCTTCCAGCTGATTCAAACCAGAGCTCTGTTTCCTCTGTTTCTGAATCTAGTTCCGGTTTTGAGAAATCATAGAATCGAGGGGCGTCGAATTCGAAATCAATGTCGAATTCCTCCACAGAGATGTCTCCTGCAAATATATCCGTTGTCTCCGGATCCATTGTAGCATCTGAAATATCGAGCATCAATCAGAACGAAACAAGAACCGCGATGATGATGATCATCATTCTTTTTCCTTTCTCTTCGTCTCTGAAAGTTTTGTAGGAAAATGGCAACGGCGCAAATTTAGATGGCGCAGTTACAAAACGACGGTGTTTAAACAACGACGAGGCCGTTGGCTAAATACAGGTAAACTAACTATACTGTTCGTTTCTCAGCAAAACTTCTACGAAAATGTATTTGCGTCGAATACATATAATTTCACCCTTTGTTTTACCTTGAAAAATTTATGTTACAAAGTTACACATGGAAAAAAAGTATGTACAACTCCATACAAACGGTTTAAATGTATCATTTGTTTGTTTAATCAAATCAATAAACTACATTCAAAGCCTTAAGCTTCTCGTGCCTCCACTCATTGTTAATTTTTGCTATGAACTCTTCTACCATCCTTCTCAAATCATCGTCTCCTTCCTCATCTTCAACATCGGCCTCTTTGCTCTCATCATCCTCCTCATCCTCCTCCTCCTCCTCCTCCTCCTCCTCCTCCTCCTCCTCCTCCTCCTCCTCCTCCTCCTCATCATCATCATCATCATCATCATCATCATCATCATCATCATCATCATCATCATCATCATCATCATCACAACAATGGCTGATTTCTTTGTCCTCGTCTTCGTCAGAAATGCTCGACGCATCGATCAACGACTCATCTTGTGCAGATGAAACATCAACGGCAATCATCTCCTTATCATCACATTCACCACAATCATGATCATCAGAAGCAAGGTCGCGCATAGAGAAGCTCACCGAGGTAGTAAAAATGGAATCTTGTGAATCCCTCGAACCCGGTTTTGATGATCCAGTGAGGATCATGACTATAATGAGGTTGCAGAAACAGAACATGAGAAGAGAATTTGACGTGGCTTCTCCGATCAATTCAAACGCTATGTCCAACATTTTTTTGCGGCTTAAGATAAAAAGAAAGGAAATCAGTGAAAAATGAAGGAAGAAGAGTGTTTTGGTAGTTTTTTTTTTTTTTGATGTAACAAGAAAAATTGTAGCTTTAGTGATAGAACAGAGGTTTGGCGCGCTTTATAAGGAGGCGAAAGTGTGTGAAGGAAGCTCTTTGTGAGAGAGAAGTTTCGTGGCAACAAAGTGTAGATAGAAAGCTTTGTGTAAGATTCGTGAGACTTGGGCTTTTTTGTGCATTATATTATAGATAGTATTCTTTAAAGACCCAAAGTACAGATGAGTCTTGGGTCTCTGGAATTTATATAATCTTTTTTAATGTGAAAGTTCAATGCAATGGTCCAAACTTGTAAGATAAAAAATGTTTGTGTAGTGAAGTTACTTGGCAACTATTCAATTACACAAATAAATTAAGCTAAAAAGGCTTTCGAAGTGTCACGTGGAGCTCATCATGCCTATGTCATCCATTATGTTCCATCATCATCATTTATAGTTATATACTTTCTAATGTGAGCCAGAAGGTTCTCTGAAAGTGGATAATTCTCCTAGACTTCTTCCATCGGAAAAACATCGTCTTCTTTTTTACTTCCGGGAACAATCAATGAAAAATCGGTGAAACTACTTAACCTCATTAATTTTCTATTCCTCATAGTACTTTTTTATAGACTTTCAGATACTTTATTTTTTTTAAAAAAAATTGTTTTATGTGACACTATCACACATGACACATCCATCCCATATGTATAATAATATAGTTTCTACACTTAAGAATAACAGATAGTCTCATGGACCATATTCTGCCATATTCATTTTTGTGTGGAGAGCATCCGTTTCGCCGATTACTTTATGCGGGCTGTTTTTAGATTTAAACGTATATATATACATTTCTTTGTGGAAAACGCCTCACGTTCATGAAATTAGCCATAGAAATGCACACATGGAGTGATTAACTAACATTCAGTTGATTTTGTTTAAATAACAATTTTTTTCTTTATCTTGTTTCTTGCTAGATACATTATTTCACACGATTTACTATCCACACAAGCAAATATATATCAGTACTATTTTAAGATTTCCAAATATAAACCCATTCTGAACCCTTTCTAAAAAAACTATATGCTGATACTCTTTTACTTCGTTAGATATTGGTTTATTTAATTGTACTTTCAACTTTAAATACAGTACAGTGTAATGATAATCAGTTAGTATACTATTCACAGTTATACATATTAGAAATCAGTTTCGTGTATTGATGATAAGTTCAAAATTGGGCAAACTTGATATAAGCTAGGTTAACCACTGACGATAATGCATTGGTCATATATGTTCTCGTAATTATTGTTTTAAGTAGTAGCCTTAATTTGAAAGGGTAAATAGGGTATTTAACATGTATTTTACTCAACATGATATAAGAGCATGTACATCAGAAGATCAAGAGGGGTTTATGGCACGGTTTTTGAGACAAAAGATCTTAATATTAAAGAGACAGTATCATCCCGACGAATCTGAAGAGACGGTATCATCCCAAATGAAGCATCCTGATTGGTCGAAAATTATAATTTTCGAATTTAAAAAAAAAAAACTAAAACCAAAAAAAAATGTTATTATATTCTGGTGAACCCCTCTCTGGGGTTCACTGATGTACATGCTCTAAGCTAGGTTAACAACTGACGACAATGCATTGGTCAGATATGTTTTCGTGATTATTGTTTTAAGTAGTAGCCCTAATTTACAAGGGCAAATAGGGTATTTAACATGTATTTTACTCTATAAAAATGAAACTCCACACTACTACTCAGTACTCACAGTACAGAAGGTAGCAAACTTTCTTTCTTGTCTTCTTTTAGTTTGATTGCAACAACAACTCCATGTCAGAGCCGCGCTTCCCCGTGCCAAGGTCGTTTCAAGTGTCCAATAGTGGAAGCCAAGAGGAAGAGAAGAAAGCAGGTTACGTCAACTATGAAGTAGAGCCAGGCTTCACCATTCGTCTGCGTCAGAATATTGACCCTGCCATGGACCCTAAAAGGCTCAAACGGTTCGCTTCCAAAATTTTCGTCTTTAATTATCTATCGATTTTTTTCTTTTTTTAATAACCTTCTTCTCTATTCATCTTTCGATTTAACACCTATATATATATATATATACATATATATATATATATATCAACTCTAAGTTAATTATGGTCACCATATATATGCAATTATATATGTAGCATACTTTCGAACCGTGTTGCGGCGCAGAAGTCAAGGTGGAAGAAGCTTCAATATGTTGAAGATCTAGTGAAGAAATCCAAGGAGCTTCATGTATATGTTAATCACTTACTTCATTTTTTTTTTCACTTACTTCATTCTTCTTAATTCTTTTAAAAGACTTACTTCATTCTTCTTAATTCTTTTAATATATATACAGAATTTCATAATGATATTATATATGAATACAGAGGCAGGTGAGTGTGTTGCGTTGTCAAGTAGGGATGGCGAGCGAGCAGAAGCGATGCCTAGAGGATGAGCAAATGGAGCTTAAGGAGTGTATCTCTGCTTGGTTTCAACATTTTATCTCCAATGAAGGTATAATTTATTAGATATCTATATGTTTAAAGTATATTTACTTAACAATCATGGTGATGTTAATTTACAGGTGAGATTGAGGCGTACAGAGCGGAGATAGAGAGGCTGAAGAAGAAAATGGCTAATATGATTTGACTACCCTATGCACCTCCTTATTATCTGGATCCACCCAAATTTCATGTGTTTCGTATTACAGAATATTTTTTTCAAAGTCAAAATACATCAAATTTGTATGGTTAGTTTCAGTTTGGATTGTATTTTCTTCCTTTTGAAGATTTTATCTTCTTTTAAATAGATTTCGAATTTTGAGGGGGAAAAACTAATTTGACCAAATTAATGCTCACTTCAATTTGTTTGTTTCGGTTGGATTATGTGGAAGATAAAGAATACCTATCAAATATATACATTGCTCAATGAAAATTCATAACATAGTAGTTTATAAAATTACAGCAATTTCTCTTTTCTCAACGTCAAAAATGGATTTTTCTGTTAATATAAGAAAACGCCAATTTTGAATGATATTAAAAACGCCTGTATAGAGAGTTAAAAAAAAACGGCTATATCATGATTGGCATGCATACACAGCTACGTTTTCTAACTCTCCTTTGCTTTGTCTTATTTACTTTCTGTTTAATTTTCCCCACAGACGCATGTAATTAATGAAACATACAAATATCACAAGAAATAATAGTTAAGAGCTATTCAAATTAAGTGTGTGACTAGAAAACATTATTAGAGGAATAGAAAATGTTTTATTTTGCTTCTTCGAAATCCTTTTTTTTTAATTTGCCAATCAAGTAAAAATAGGTTGGCAATGTTTCTGGTGGAAATAAAGAAAAGTAAAAAAAAAGCATAGTAATTTTATCTACTAGATTAAGAAAAGAGGACAAATCTTTCCCACTTAATATTTTTATTTGATTTACCTCTTTTCCTCTTTTTATTTATTTCTCATTACTTGGAGTTTTTGGACTTTTGATTGTAATACGGCCCAGCCCAGTGTGAGTACTGAGTCGAAGGGTTTATTAATATACTTGTCGTTTGAATGAATCAGAGCTCAACTTCTTGTCGTTTAACTGTTTAAGGCGTGGCCATGAGAGCCTGAACAAGATTCTGCAGACATATCAGTCTTGGATCTTTGGACTGTTAAGGTATCAATCCATCGTTTCTGATTATCTTCAAACAAACCCCAAAAAGAAAGAAATCATTTTTAGTATACGATATGTTGATTCCCCAATTTTGAAATATTGAAAAACAAAATGTTGATGATACAGAGAAAAGAGATGAAACATTCCTTTACTATGCAAATTGCAAATGATGTGTATACATATATACTAATCTACACACTTTAGGTTCCTTCAGTGGATATGATCTCCAGCTCTGCCCACCACGCCGGAGATAGCCTTGGCAACGCCGCTTCCGCCGTTATTCCGGTGATCTCTCTCAGCTTAGCCACCACTTCCTTCATTTCGGGCCTCTGATTCAAACACTCGATAACCACTTCCCACAACTTCTCCAGAACACTCTCGTCGAAGCTTTTCAGGGTCGGATCCACAAGTTCTCTCGCGGGTTTGGTTTCGTGGAGCAGAGAATCCGGATCCGGGATATTTCCGGTGATGATCTCGTGCAGAATGGCGCCAAAGCTGAAGACGTAGCTGGTCTGGGGATCAGGTGGTGTGGAGCTGAGGAAAGTAAAGTCGGCGACTTTAGCGGCGTAATCTGTTGTCAAGTAGACGGAAGATGAATTGAGGCTGGTATGGGAAATGGGTTTAGGGCTGAGATTGTGTATGTGTTCTACACAGTAAGCTATTCCCATTGCGATTCTCAGTCTCTTTGGCCAGTCCAAGTGCTCTGCGTCTTGCGCTGCAAATAATTATACAGTTTACTTAAGCAAAAGGGATGGGACTGGCTCTATGGAAGAGAAGAACATTATCAGTTGAGATTGAATTACTGACCGTGCAGATATTCGAAGAGGGATCCGTAAGGAGCGTACTCGAAAACCATCATCCGGTTGAAAGGCTCGTCTTCACGGCAATATCCGATTAAATTCAGAAAGTTCTTGTGGTCCACTTGAGATAACCTCTGTATCTGCATTGCAGGATTGTCTGTGGTTTTTAGAAGAAAAGAAAGTAAAGAAGGGTGAAGGTGGTTCTGGTGCTACCTTTTCTTGGAACTGTGCTTCGAGATCATTTGACCAGTCTTGGAGGGATCCAGATGCGACTGATAAAACGGCAATCTCAGAGCCGGTGGAGAGAGTTCCTTTGTAAATGGTTGCGTCTGAGGATGTGGAGCCTATGATGTTACTGAAATCTTCGCAGGCAGTCTCTAGTTCCGACAGCTTTAGCTTGGGAACACCTTCATACGTACAGTAAACTCACTCACCAATCTACTATGTTACTGAATATAGACTAAACATAACGCAGTGAGCGAAGAAAACAGTGATACCTGTGATAATAACATCTTGAAGCTGGCCACTGCTCTTAGTCGTCCATGGCTTTATCATTACTACCTTTTGCTTTCGGAGAACAAAGAAGGCCACCAATGCGGCCATGAAACCTAATACAACTACTAGCACTCCAACTATTATGAAAATCTTCTGAGATACCTTTTTCTTGAGAGCACGAGGCAGAAATGGAGCTGGAGGAAGCTGAGCTGGAGGAGGCTGAGCTGGAGGGATCTCGGCTTGGGAACCAGTGGGAGGACTTTTACTTTTAATCTGTGGAGGAGGAGGAGGGAAAAATACATCTGTGGAGATATTCTCTGTAGGCGATGAAGGAGGAGGAGAAGGTAACGGAGGAGGAGGGGGAGCTTCTCTGACGCCTGGATTCTGGCCAGGGGGAGTTATCTGAAGTAGCCTGCGACCGAAAGGAAATGGTTCTCCAAAGTTGTTGTCACACAAATCCAAGATCTCAAGCTCCTGCAATTCTGTTACCTCTTCAGGTACTTTCCCGGAAAATGAATTGTTTCTCAGAATACTGCAAAACCCCCACAAGAACAAGTAGTTGTAGATGTATGTGTAGTTTTGAGGGAGTGTTGGGAAAAACGGTTTTACTTACAGAGATTTCAAGTGAGTAAGGTTTCCGAGTTCAGGTGCAAGTGTTCCTTGGAGGGAGAGATCTCTTAGATTTCTACGGTATTTACCCAATTACACAAATAAGATATCAAATTGTAGAGCTGAGAAAGAAGAGTACTTCTTATTAAGGATTTGGCTGACTTACAAGATGACAACTCTTCCATCATGTGAACAGACAACACCAGACCAAGAACAATGAGGAAGCTCTCCCCAATCCATCAAAGCTCCAAATGGGTCTCTCTCTATCCTCTCTTTGAATTTCATCAGAGCCAATGCTGCAAACACCATCGGACATTCCATCCATCAACAGTTGAATACACTCAGAGGAAGATGAGACAAAAGTACCTTCGGTGCTGAAACAGAGACCAAACGTGAGATTGTGAGGAAGAATGAAGAGGAGGAAGAGGAAGGAGATTTCTGTTCGGAACAATCTCCACCGTTGATCAGAACTCATCCTTTGTTTTGTTGGAGTAGTTCAAGTCGTCGTTCAGAGACGAAGACAAATCAATGTCTGCTCCTTTTTATATCCCACCACTTTCATTTTTGTTTTTTGTTTTTGTTTTTCTGACTTGTTATTTTTGAGCAAGAATTACAAGTTGTTCAAAATAAATCTCAGGAAAAGTGTTTTAGCTTTAGGACGTTTCGCTTTTTCTTATATATACTATTGTTAACCATAGAAAGTTAGAAAATGTATATGCATTTTTAATTTAAATATTCACACCATTTGCAATGCACGATACTGTCTTTCCCTCTAGAAATTGACCCAGTAAACTTTGACTTGGTTTTTTTTTCCCATTCGGCAACGATAAAACTCAAATGAACATCGTTACATTTTTGATGTAGCCAATCCATAAACAATCGTTACTTTATATGCCATTTTGAACAGTTCTAATTTGAACAATTTTGGGAAGAGACTAAGCCCATTGACGATCAAGAACAATTTTGGGAAGAGACTAAGCCCATTGACGACAAATTCAAACAAATAAGTATTAGAAGTGGGCTTATAATTAAATCTGTTCACTCTTACTCCTACCTTCCGGTCAACAAAATTATCTAAATGGGAACAAGGTTATCAAGCACCAGTGGTCTAGTGGTAGAATAGTACCCTGCCACTGTACAGACCCGGGTTCGATTCCCGGCTGGTGCATTGTTTCCAAATTTTGCTCAAAATCGATATACTTTTTGGCCACAAGCTATATGAGATTTTCGCTGTAAATATGTCTATGAATGTCATGCTTTGTTAAACAAAAATCCCATCATAATAAAGAAAGAAGATATACAAAGTTCGATTCCCGGCTGGTGCATTGTTTCCAAATTTTGCGCAAAATCGATATACTTTTTGGCCACAAGCTATATGAGATTTTCGCTGTAAATATGTCTATGAATGTCATGCTTTGTTAAACAAAAATCCCATCATAATAAAGAAAGAAGATATACAAAGTGTATGTGTATATAGAGTTTTAACATTGGGGCAAGTCCAATGGCGGAGACTGTACGGACTGCAAATGCCCTTCACCGTTCTCCACTAAAAATACCATAGCCAAACCCCAGAATATATGCGAGTCGATGTGACAGTGCATTAGCCACACTCCTGGATTGTCAGCCACAAATCTGATGGCTACCCATCCACCTGGAGGAGTTCCAATTGTGTTTCTCCGTGGTGGGTCCAGGAGGTTAAAGGAGGCTGTGTCTTTGCTTGGGTTGAAGTTGCCAATACCTGTTCCCACTACATAGAACTCGTAGCCGTGGAGATGCATTGGGTGATTCTCAATGGTCACGATGCTCGTGTCTTGCAGTATAACTTGCACCTTGGACTTGTACTTTAGTTTATAGGCCTTTGTTCCACGGGTAGGCTGCCATAGCCCTCTGCTTACGTTTCCTGTATAGTCAAATGCAAGAGGAGGAATAGGAGGGAAGTCCGTGGTGAAAACGCCGGCGGAATTGCCTTGGTAATAGGCTTGCATTATGGAGTTTCGTCTAGGGAAGACGAAAGAGACATTGTTAATGCTCGCGGTGAAGCGTGTTCGGTTAGGGCCTTGACACCTTTGCGTGTTTGGGGTTGAGCAGTTGAATAGTCCCAATCCCACTGTGAAAAACAAGTCCTCGTCAATCTCGAGAGGAACTTCCACTCTCGAAGGACTCTTCATCTGAGCTGTGAACGCTGCTGCAGTTGCTGTGTCGTTGAATCCTGGCAGCTGCGCAGGTACTGCCCGTTGTGCCTGCAAGTTACCTTGACGAGTAACACATGGAGCGCCTTTGTATTGGAGGATTGCAGTGGTGGTGGTGTTGTCAAAGGGGGCGTTGGCGCTGTTGTAGGCGTGTGCCGCCATGTAGTAATGTGCTGGTGGTTGGTCTGCGGTTAGAAGCACATCAGTTGTCTGACCTGGTCCTAACATTATGACATTGGTTGAGAAAGGCTTGGTGTAGGAAGCATCCGCAGCAACCACTGTCAGTTTGTGATTCGCCACAGCAAAGAAGAGTTCTTGGTTCAAGCCAGAGTTGACGACCCTGAGGAGGACTGTCTCTCCTGACCCCACCAGAAACCTCAAAGTTTCTGCATTGTGACAACAACACATACTATTAAGTAAACTAACACTTGTTTTTATGAGGCCTCGGAAGCATTAAACTAAATGTACCTTGGCTAGAGCATCTGTAGAAATCACCAGGCTGACCGTTGATGGTGAAGGCGTCTGACACGTTTGGTGCTGCTCCTGTGAACTGAGCCAAGTTTAGGACATCCATGGGGTTTCTGTCCCACCACTCCCCTAAGAGGAGGGTAATCTCTCTCTTGGGAAGAACTGGAAAAGGATAATGAGGAGAAGAGAGCGGAGGACGGATGATGAGAGCTCCATACACGGTGGCTCGTAGCCATCTGCTGTGGGCATGCCACCACAAGGTACCCTCTTGTTCTTCGATGTTGAACCTGTAGGTGTAGCTTCCTCCAGGTTTGATTGGGCACTGGGTTATGTATTCTGGTCCATCTGCCCATGGATTCCGTATTTGCCTTATCCCATGCCTGTAACAGACTTTATTTATAGCTATTGTTTTGATTAATCAAACATTGATACTGATACAAGGGATCAGAGTGAGTGAGTTATACCAATGGAGGCTAATGTTGTACTGAGATTTGTTTATGGCAGTGATGACAAGGGAATCACCGTTTCGAACCTCCAAGGTTGGCCCTGGAAACTGTCCGTTCACAGTGATTGACCTATGAACTCTGCACAGCCTCTTCACTGGAGTCTCTTGGATCTAACAACCACACAAACGAACAAACTAAGTTGAGCATCAAACGTGAGTAACAATGGAGGGGAACAAAAGAGAGGGAAGTAGTAAACACACAACGAACTCGTGCAAGTGAACTTCTGCATTGACAAGTGAAGCTACAAATACTAACACAAAGAACAACCATAGTTGCTCCATTACTACGATTTGAGAGAAATAGAAAGTTGATACCTTTTTATAGGCAGTTTAAGCTGAAGCCTGAAGCTCGGAGACAGAGACATTTTAGTCAAACCCGTAGACACGATTTGGTGTAACCACTAAACAACAAAAAGTTTCTGCTTTTAATATGATTCTTTGTTCCACAAGATGTAGGTGAACCCCTGGCCGGCCTACTTTAGTTCCTGTTTTTGGTTTTTTCTCAACCTCGGACACCAAATCTCTCTAAGCTTTTTTGAATCCACTCCTTAAACCAGAATCTTTACAATTTTCCAATTTAAATAGCATATGATAAAACATTCACTTCCTCTGCTGGAAAATTCACTTCCTCCCATGTCCCATTCGGGTGTCCGCATATTCTTCATTTCTAAGAACAAAAAAAAGCATAATGTTCAACACAAAATGAGTAGGCAATTGTAAGAAATCTAGGAAGATTAGGATAAATTGAGAGGTTGTGTCTAACCTACGGAGAGAGCTTTAAGAAAACCAGAGCGACGACCGCTTAAATCCTTGAAAGATCTCTTTGACGGTGCGGTGGTTAGAAGACTCGACAACCATTGATGTAGTGGAAAGAAATATTCGGAGAGGTCTTAGAAAAGATGGATTGAGCTCTCTTTTTTTTTATTTTTCTCTCGCTTATGATTTCGTCGGTGAGTAGATTAGACTGAAGGCCATTTATTGGGCCTATTTTATATGGGCCTGGTCAACCCTAATCTGAAGTTTGCCTTCTATTTATTTAACCTGGAGACTCTACGTTTACGCTAATTTATAATTTACTTACATAACAAAATAATTTATAATAACCTGGAGCCTGTATTAAATTTCTAAAATAATAATAAATGGCTCGATAACCACTTCCCACAACTTCTCTAGAACACTCTCGTCGAAGCTTTTCAGGGTCGGATCCACAAGTTCTCTCGCGGGTTTGGTTTCGTGGAGCAGAGAATCCGGACCCGGGATCTTTCCGGTGATGATCTCGTGCAGAATGGCGCCAAAGCTGAAGACGTAGCTGGTCTGGGAATCAAGTGGCGTGGAGCTGAGGAAAGTAAAGTCGGCGACTTCAGCGGCGTAATCTGTTGTCAAGTAGACGGAAGATGAGTTGAGGCTGGTTTGGGAAATGGGTTTAGGGCTGAGATTGTGTATGTGTTCTACACAGTAAGCTATTCCCATTGCGATTCTCAGTCTCTTTGGCCAGTCCAAGTGCTCTGCGTCTTGCGCTGCAAATAATTATACAGGTTAGTTACACAAAAGGGATGGGACTGGCTCTACGGAAGAGAAGAACATTCTCAGGAGATTGAATTACTGACCGTGCAGATACTCGAAGAGGGATCCGTAAGGAGCGTACTCGAAAACCATCATCCGGTTGAAAGGCTCGTCTTCACGGCAATATCCGATTAAATTCAGAAAGTTCTTGTGGTCCACTTGAGATAACCTCTGTATCTGCATTGCAGGATTGTCTGTGGTTTTTAGAAGAAAAGAAAGTAAAGAAGGGTGAAGGTGGTTCTGGTGCTACCTTTTCTTGGAACTGTGCTTCGAGATCATTTGACCAGTCTTGGAGGGATCCAGATGCGACTGATAAAACGGCAATCTCAGAGCCGGTGGAGAGAGTTCCTTTGTAAATGGTTGCGTCTGAGGATGTGGAGCCTATGATGTTACTGAAATCTTCGCAGGCAGTCTCTAGTTCCGACAGCTTTAGCTTGGGAACACCTTCATACGTACAGTAAACTCACTCACCAATCTGCTATGTTACTGAATATAGACTAAACATAACGCAGTGAGCGAAGAAAATAGTGATACCTGTGATAATAACATCTTGAAGCTGGCCACTGCTCTTAGTCGTCCATGGCTTTATCATTACTACCTTTTGCTTTCGGAGAAGAAAGAAGGCCACCAATGCGGCCATGAAGCCTAATACAACTACTAGCACTCCAACTATTATGAAAGTCTTGTGAGATACCTTTTTCTTGACAGCACGAGGCAGAAATGGAGCTGGAGGAAGCTGAGCTGGAGGAGGCTGAGCTGGAGGAGGCTGAGCTGGAGGGATCTCGGCTTGGGAACCAGTGGGAGGACTTTTACTTTTAATCTGTGGAGGAGGAGGAGGGAAAAATACATCTGTGGAGATATTCTCTGTAGGCGATGAAGGAGGAGGAGCTTCTCTGACGCCTGGATTCTGGCCAGGGGGAGTTATCTGAAGTAGCCTGCGACTGAAAGGGAATGGTTGTCCAAACTTGTTGTCACACAAATCCAAGATCTCAAGCTCCTGCAATTCTGTTACCTCTTCAGGTACTCTCCCGGAAAATGAATTGTTTCTCAGAATACTGCAAAACCCCCCACAAGAACAAGTACTTGTAGATATTATGTGTAGTTTTGAGGGAGTGTTGGGAAAAACGTTTTTACTTACAGAGATTTCGAGTGAGTTAGGTTTCCGAGTTCAGGTGCAAGTGTTCCTTGCAGGGAGAGATCTCGTAGATTTCTACGGTATTTTTACCCAATTACACAATAAGAGATCAAAATGTAGAGCTGAGAAAGAGGAAAAGCATCTTAAGGATTTGGATGACTTACAAGATGACAACTCTTCCATCGTGTGAACAGACAACACCAGACCAAAAAACAATGAGGAAGCTCTCCCCAGTTCATCAGAGCTCCAAATGGGTCTGTCTCTATCCTTTCTTTGAATTTCATCAGCGCATCTGAGCTTTCTTCACTGGACGTAGGTACTTTTGCCAAGGTTTATTATGGAAGAAGTGTTCATACAAACGAGAGTGTAGCTATCAAGATGATAGACAAAGACAAGGTTTTGAGGGTTGGTCTTAGCGAGCAGATCAAGAGAGAGATCTCTGTCATGAGGATTGCTAAACACCCAAATGTCGTTGAGCTGTACGAGGTTATGGCAACAAAGTCAAGGATTTACTTTGTTATAGAGTATTGTAAAGGTGGAGAGCTTTTCAATAAAGTTTCAAAAGGGAAATTGAGAGAGGATGTTGCTTGGAAGTACTTTTACCAGCTTATCAATGCGGTTGATTTTTGCCATAGCCGGGGAGTGTATCACCGCGACATCAAGCCAGAGAACCTGTTGCTTGATGACAATGAGAATCTCAAGATATCTGATTTTGGATTAAGCGCTCTCGCTGATTGCAAGCGTCAAGATGGTCTTCTCCACACCACTTGTGGCACACCTGCATATGTTGCCCCTGAGGTTATTAACCGGAAAGGATATGATGGCACAAAAGCAGACATTTGGTCTTGCGGTGTTGTCTTGTTTGTGCTTTTGGCTGGTTATCTTCCCTTTCATGACTCCAATCTAATGGAGATGTATAGGAAGATAGGAAAAGCGGATTTCAAGTGCCCGAGTTGGTTTGCCCCTGAAGCAAAGAGATTATTGTGTAAGATGTTGGACCCTAACCATGAGACTAGAATCACCATCTCAAGAATCAAAGAGAGTTCTTGGTTCAGAAAGGGTTTACAGTTGAAGCAAAAAAGGATGGGGAAACAAGTCAGAGAGGCTAATCCCATGGAAGCTGGAGGTTCAGGTCCAGGTGATAGCGGAGAAAACCACGAGGCACCGCAGCTTGGAAACCTCAACGCTTTTGATATTATCGCCTTGTCTTCGGGTTTTGATCTGGCAGGACTTTTTGGAGAAGTATACAACACGCAAGAATCTAGGTTCGCATCTCGAAAGCCTGCTTCAGAGATCATTTCTAAGCTAGAGGAGGTCGCCAAAGGCCTGAAGCTTAAGATAAGAAAGCAAGACGCAGGCTTGTTCAAACTGGAAGGATCAAAGGAAGGAAAAAAAGGGGCTTTGTCGATCGATGCAGAAATTTTTCAAGTGACTCAGACGTTTCACCTGGTTGAAGTGAAGAAGTGTAATGGAGATACTATGGAGTATCAGAAGCTAGTGGAGGAAGATCTTAAGCCTGCTCTTGCAGACATTGTCTGGGTTTGGCAAGGCGAGAAGGAGAAAGACGAGCAGTTACCGCGTGGTTCTCAGGATGAACCAGAACTAGAACAAAATCGTGAATCATCGTAGCAGGAACATGAAGAAGAGAAACTCTCAAGCGGCTTTGAAACATAAGCACCAAGAACAATCCATGTAAGCTGTGACAAACAAAAGCAGAGTGGAAAACGGCACAATGCACAGCTTGATTATTTACATTGCCTGCAAAAATTGTAGATAGTTGATTGTTGTAAAAAAAAAAAACCCTTTTGTTACTTGTGCACTCTATATTAATTTCCCTAAACCCTCTCAGCTTACATCCCAAAACCCCCAAATACTCAACCAACCCCTATTTCAAGTCCTACCTTAAGCCTTAGGATGATTCTTTTTGTGGAGTTAACCTTGTCATCTCGTGTCCTAAATACTGTAACATTGGTGTGCTTTTCTTTATGGGCAGGATTCTACATCCTAGCTCTTCGCATGAGGGGTACACTCAGAGGAAACAAGTTTGTGAAGACCCTTGATCTTACTGCGCTGTTTTTTGGGCTTTGTTCCATCTGTTGCTTGATGGCCTACCTGGATCCTATTATGTCAATCATACCCATCCTTGCTTCTGTCTGCATCGGAGGAGTCTTGTTCTTCACAAGAGATTGGTAGAGATAGAAGAGTCATTGGACGAATTATTGAAAGAGTTATTGGAGTCGGTATTGCTAGTTTAAGTTCCTTTTGAAATTTCCTTTTTGTGTAATAAATGAGTCGTGAGATTGGTAGTAGATCGGTAGAAGAATCTTTGAATCGATTATGTTAAGTTTCTTTTTTAAATAGACAGAGGGCAAATGCTGTCATTTGAAACACATGTTACCGTAACTAATGATTATATAAGATTTACTTTAGTTACGGTAACAGGTGTTTCAAATGACAGCATTTACCCTCTGTCTATTTAAAAAAGAAACTTAACATAATCGATTCAAAAATTCTTCTACCGATTTACTACCAATCTCACGACTCATTTAATGACTCTTCTACCGATCTACTACCAATTTCACGACTCATTTATTACACAAAAAGGAAATTTCAAAAAGAACTTAAACTAGCAATGTCGACTCCAATAACTCTTCCAATAATTCGTCCAATGACTTTTCTATCTCTATCAATCTCTTGTGAAGAACAAGACTCCTCCAATGCATACAAAAGCAAGGATGGATATGATTGACATAATAGGATCCAGGTAGGCCATCAAGCAACAGATGGAACAAAGCCCAAAAAACAGCGCAGTAAGATCAAGGGTCTTCACAAACTTGTTTTCTCTGAGTGTACCCTTCATGCGAAGAGCTAGGATGTAGAATCCTGCCCATAAAGAAAAGCACACCAATGTTACAATATTCAGGATACGAGATGACAAGATTAACTCCACAAAAGGAATCATCCTAAGGCTTGAGGTAAGGCTTGAAGTAGGGGTTGGTTGAGTATTTGGGGGTTTAGGGATGTAAGCTGAGAGGCTAGTCCCTAAAACCCCCAAAACAATATGGATCGCTTGAACACTGTCCTTCCACTCTGCTGTTTCTTTCTGTCCCACGACCACCGGTGAAGCAGGGTTTAAACGGTGGATGAACAAGATCCCGTAAGAGATCATCCTGTGAAAACTACCAAAGCTGACCCTTCCCATTTGAGTAACGAACCGCTTGAACGCGAGGATTTCCGTTTCTTCAAGAGACATTTGAATCCCAAGCGAGGACAGAGCTTGTTGCGCCTGAGGAGTAGTCAGGCTTCCAACTTTTTCGAGATCTGCGTCATCAAAGGCTTGGCGTACCTTGTAGTCTTCGTATTCCGGACGGAAACATCTCAAATACTCGGTCAGTGTGATTAGTCCATCATGATCGGCATCCAAAGCGTCGAAGAGCTTCTGCGATTGGTCGTCCGTGATAGGCACATTCTGTAGATGAAAAGCACGATTCAGTTTTGGTAAGGTGAGGCGGTTGAGATGCTCCGTATCAATTGAATAGAAGATCCTGGAAATATCTGCTTCTATATCTTCGACAATCTTCAGCTTACTCTGCAAATCCATGATTTTTAGAAAAAAAGGAAGAAGCTCTTTTCGTTTTTTGTTTTTGTTTGCTCAACCAAAGAACAAAGACACCAGCTTTTTTATTTATTTAGAGGTTTAGATGATTCTAGATCTCAATGCCAGGTGTTGATTCTTATCTCGTGGAGCGTCCTGCTTTTTGGTCCTCAACGGTCATTTTGTCTCAGGCGGAGAGGTTTTGTCTCAGGCGGAGTGGAACTTGATGGGCTTCACTTGTTTTTCTGGTTGGCCCAATTCTTTCTTCATTTAAAATTCTGTTTGGGCTGGGCTTTGCTGAGCTTGCGTTAATATCTTCTATGCTCTTCTAAGCTACACAACATATATAATTCCTGAACACGGCATCTGGAATAGAGTTTGAGATTAGGGATTTGTCGCGCAGAAAGGCCAAGATGAGTATCGGGTGGGCTGAGGATAATTTAGGGCTTAGGGATTTTGGTTTATTTCGATTTTAATTTAGTTTTTAATTAGTTCGGTTTATTTCGGTTATCGGTATAATAACCGATTCGACCAATAACCGAAAATTGCCAGTTTCAATAAACCATTTGGATACTCCGAATATATATCTTTATCCCTCGTTCATCTGCTAAATTGTAAATCCCCACCCTAAATTTCGTCTCTGATGGCCTTTGACAGTCTTACCGACAAAAATTTTGTTTTCAGACAACTGAAAGCAAAATCTGATAATCAGGTTCGAGTTCTCTATCGATTACCTGAAAATCTCCCCTTTCTTTTCCAATTTGTTTGGCTATCGCGAATGTGTAAATTTGTCCTGATTTACTCGTTTTGCTGGGCTCTTTGAATTTTGAGGTCTGCTTCGATTGTAGTGCGAAGAACCCGACCTGGGCATCGGTTACATACGGGATTTTTCTCTGCATCGATTGTTCATCTGCTCATCGAAATCTCGGTGCTCATATCAGCTTCGTGAGGTAAACAAAACTTAATTCCTTGGCATTATTGTAGCTCACAGTTGCAACGATCTGTTGATTGAGGAGGAAATGACGGGTGGTACTAGTATAGCCCATGAAAGTGTAGAAATTACTCTCCCTTTATCGTCTTAGGATGTTGAACAAAATACGAGTATGCTCTACTAAAACCGGCATGGGTTTTTAACTTCAGTTCCGAGGAATTAGACTGATTTGAATTATCGATCCACTGAGACTACAAACACACGCTTAACTGTGGAGTTTTTGTAGTATAGGTCAACGGATTTAGACTCATGGAGCCCTCAGCAGCTCAGGACGATGATGTTTGGTGGCAACAACCGCGCTCATGTGTTTTTCAAGCAACATGGATGGACTGATGCTGGCAATATCGAAGCTAAGTACACTTCAAGAGCTGCTGATTTGTATAGGCAGAATCTTTCCAAGAAAGTTGCTAAAGCTATTGCAGAAGATACTAATACTGGGGATTCTTCTTATGCTGCCAAGGAAGAATTACCTCCTAAAGAAAGCTCTTCTGATCAAGCTACCGGTCCCACTTCTTCACCTAGAGATTTTAATACAGTTGCTCCCTGTCCGTTTAAGACACATAGTGGTCTGAAAAGGACGGGAAAGACTGGTGGTCTTGGTGCACGGAAGCTGACTACTAAGGTTTGTTTTTTTTTTAGCACTAACGTTACTGCCCTCTTGTTCTGGTTGATATATCCGATTTTTTTTTTTTGTTGGGTATCTTGTAGCCAAAGGAAATTCTCTATGAGCAGACACCTGAAGAATCTGCGGCGCTTATTCCTGTAGCATCTTCAACTGATGACAGCGGAATCGAATCGTCAGCTGAGATTGAGTACAATGACGACGTGCAATCTGGAGGAAAAAGCGGTGGTGGTACACCACCAAAGTCATCAAGCTTCTCTGAAGGTTTCGGTATGGACCGTCCTTTCTCCAAGAAATCAACATCCAGCTCGTTGAAAGTTTGAGTAAGCCTGTGTCTTTTGGTGATGATTAGCATCCAGTTACAATATAATCTTCTAACAATTAAAAAAAAAAAAAATTATTACTAGGTTGAAGAATCATATGAAGCAAGAAAAAAGTTCTCAAACGCAAAGTCCATTTCCTCTGCTCAGTTTTTCGGGGATCAGAACGAGTCTGCTAATCTTGAATCAAAGGCTACCCTTGCGAAATTGTCAGTAAGTATATTAATTTGCCACCATCGTCATGTCAAACACTTGGTGCGATATCTCTTTGGTGTGAATTTGATTCTGATATTCACTCACAGTGGGATAAAGAGTTATCCTCCGTAGTAAACAGAGCGGGAAAAATGATGGAGAAGATTGGAACTTTAGCTTGCGGCATCTTCACTGATTCTGGCAAACAAGTTGAAGATATTCATGACCTCCGTAGGGAGCTAAATTGCTTAAGACAGAACCTACATGCCCCAGATGCTAAGGATTGGGCCAGTGACTTGTGTTCACGTGTAAGTTGCACTACACTCAAACCTCTCGGACAATGTTGGTAATATGCATCTTAGAAAAACTAATATAAACATTGAAAAACAAAATAGGTAGCATAACTCAAATTGTCAATAGGTGATAGAAAAAAATGAGCTACGATTCCTTTGTTTTTCCATTTTTTTTTTTGGGTGAAAAGACGGCGTCTACTACGTTGTATTAATTAGTAGATATCAAATTTTGTAACATTGCTCTCGGGTCTTCAGTTGTTCTGATAAACTTAGTATTTGGTTGGCTGATTCTAACAGCTGTCGGAAGTTTATTGGAAAGTCTGGAACGACAATACAAGCGAATATGCACGCACAGTTCATTCTACCCTAGTTGAGAGCATGGCCTTGATGCGGCAAATATATGGCGTTTCCCTAGCATCTGATGCTCAGTACACTTATTGCTGAGAAGAGCATGTTCTTTTTACATCTTTTATCGAACAAAGTACGTCTACAAAGAAGTAAAACAAAAAAAAAGAAAAAAAAAAGAAAAAAAAGAAAGAAGTACGGCTAAGAGCATGTGCTTTTTTACTTCCTTCTTTCTTTCTTTTTAAAAAACTTTTCAAAAAAAAAGTATTGCTATCGTTGCATAGCTGCCTTTGTTGTTTATTTGCCAAAAACGTCTGTAATTTTAAAACTGCTTTCGCAGATTGTGAATTATTGCAAAACAAATAAAACATGAACTCATAAATTTGGAACAAACACAATTACACAAGAGTGCAATGCAAATGACTGGGTCATACTTTTTAACTAAGGTATTTCCGACAAACTGGATTCGAAGGATGTCTTTTTGATTACTCCAAGCGTTTGACGGATTAACTTATTGCTTCATTGACTTCGCAACATCGTTTACCTTTTAATTTTATTAAGTCAACTGATTTCAAGAAAAAATTACTACTAAATTCCATACAAACATTACAAAACGCTCTACTGGAATTTTTAGCTGTCTTTTTTAATGTCTTGCAAACCAACAACATGAAATAGGAAAAGGCTTCAAAACTGAGGCAAGAAGCGAATCTATGACACAAGAGTAAAACGAAACGGCCTTGGATGATTCATTTTTATATGTAACTCATAGATTTGGAACAAACACAAGAATGCAAAGCAAAGGACTGGTTCATATTTTTTAGTTAAGAGGTGTTTTTGACAAAAACTGGATCCCACCTGAAGCTTGACTTTTTAGTTAAGAGGTGTTTTTGACAAAAACACAAGAATGCAAAGCAAAGGATGTCTTTTTATGTATTGAAGCTTGACTTTTCTAAGTTCTTGATAAGCCAATACTATTGGCCCAATAGTGCCGTCCGACCTATTAGCCTGTATTAATCAATCTCACTTTCAGTTTTTTTTTTTTGTACAAAACACTAGTTCCAAAGTTTTATCTTCTGTAACGTCCTAAGTCCTCTAAGCGCTTGCCAATTAACTTATTTTTTCGTTCATTAAGCAACATTGTTTAGCTTTTAATTTATTTAAGTCAACTGAATTTAATGAGTAAATTACTAAAATCCATACAAACATTACAAAACGCTCTAATGGAATTTTCAGCTGTTTTTTTATAACCGGGTCTTGCAAACCAACAACATGAAATAGGAAAAAGCTTCAAAACTGAGGCAAGAAGCGAGTCTATAACACAAGAGTAACACGAAACGGCCTTTGATGATTCACGTTTTTTAAGCAGCTTGTTGTGCAGAAAGCCTCTTCCTGGCTTCCTCAATGATGGACAGCTTAATACCTTTGCCCTTTGGAAGAGACACCCACGGCTTCGTTCCTTTGCCGATTGTGAACACATTGCCCAACCTTGTGGCAAACTCATGACCTGTTGAGTCTTGGATGTGTATCGTCTCGAAGCTTCCCTTATGCTTCTCACGGTTCTTAATCACACCCACACGCCCTCTGTTTCTGCCTCCAGTCACCATCACAACGTTTCCCACGTCAAACTTGATGAACTCCACAATCTTGTTCTCCTCAAGATCCAGCTTGATGGTGTCGTTTGGCTTGATGAGCGGGTCAGGGTAACGGATAGTGCGACCATCATAAGTGTTCAGGTAAGGAATTCCCTTCTGCCCAAACTGGATAGTCCTAACCTTGCAAAGCTTGAACTGCACAATGCAACAAATCACACATTACTCATTTGATACCGATCATTGAACATAGCCAAAGATATAAGAAGAAAACGCAGCAAACCTTAGCTTCCTCGTCCCTGATGGAGTGAAGACGGAAACGTCCCTTGGTGTCATACAGAAGACGGAAGTTCTCATTTGTCTTGGGGATCGATACAACATCTATATTTAAATCAAAATACAGCTTAGACCAGTGATCAAAATACATGCAACCAAAATGGTATAACCGGAAAAGAAAAGAAAATAAAAAACGTACCCATGAACCCAGCAGGGTACGTCTTGTCAGTCCTCACTTTTCCATCAACTTGGATGTGCCTCTGCATCAGGATGGAGATCACTTCACGGTATGTCAAAGCATACTTCAACCTGTTCCTGATGATTAGGACAAGAGGAAGACACTCCCTCGACTTGTGAGGTCCAGAAGATGGCTTGGGGGCCTGCAAGAAACAGCATCATGAACAATGTTAACAAATTCATGTTATAGGCAAATGTAATGAAACACAAGTTTGAGACAAGAAAACGTACGAAGGCACCGCCAAGTTTGTCAAGCATCCAATGTTTGGGGGCATTGAGCCTCTTTAGATGCTTCTTCAATCCTCTTGCCTGCAAAATTACATTAAAATATGAATAGGTCAAAATAAACACACGCCAAAAACCTAGACGACTCGATCAATACAAAAAATTGTCACATTTGATAAAACCTTGTCAAAAGAGGTTGTACTTTAAAAAAAAAAATACATAAAAGCCTCACAATTTCTATATTACATTCAAGCATTTCTTTCAAATCAGAAACCATGTGAGAATGCATCGTCTAAAAAGATCAATTTGAACATTTCCCAAAAAGCTCAATTTTCAAAGACAAGAGAACACTGCAGACAGATTTCGACCCTGAAACATAACAGTTGCCACATTTCTGTAATCGAAAACCGACCAAATAGAACATACGGGTAAACTAAAACGACCAGAGTGACCATTTATCCTAGGACACTAACAAAATGCCCATAATTTGAATATCCATGTTTATGTATAAATGAGCATTCACTGAACGCAAGAGAAACAGAACAAGCACAAGGTGAGAGCAGAGTAAGAGAAATTTGGACTAACCATGTTTGCAGGTGTTCCGGAGCTGACGACTTCTGATTCTTCTGCGGCGGCAATTCACGGTTCTCTCTACGCTTATATATGAAAAGAAAGAACCAAAACCCTAGAGTTGGTCACAAATATATTGGGCTTATTAAGTTAGCACAGGCCCATTTATATCCTGAATTTAAACCAACCGCGTGATTAATTATTTTTCATAATTTATCTTATAAACGAATCATAGCCATTTAGGAGTTACACGTGAGCGTTATTGCTGAGGTGGCGATAAAATATTTGTCATGAAAATATTACTTTGTTTGACAAGCAGCAAACAAGAGAATGATTTTTTTTTTCCTTCATTGAAAGCACAACAAGAGAATCATTTTTACACAAAGCATGAGGAAAGCATGAGGTCACAATTCATAAATGGAAATAAACAATGTGAATTACAGTTATTGTAATATTTTGGTATATTAAAAGCTTAGTGGATTCATGTGTTCTTTCAAATTGTCCATTGCAGGTTTGGGTAGCGTGACGAGCACCCTAACGCCACCATGCTTTCTTGGCAAGAAAATACAAAGATCCGGCAAATATTTGGGCACTAAGGGTATGATATTCACCGATCCACCATACCCGAAATCAACTTCGTCTAGCAATCCAAGTTGCCTCCAATCAGTGAGCAACATGAACGCTCCGTTCCCTCCTTGACACGTTACCTTCATCTTCAGGCTTTTCTCTGTCTCTTTGAGCTGCTCACACACGTATCTCTTCTCCAACGCGGATCTCTTAGCCTCTTTGATTAGCTTCACAACGTGAGACAACGGTGAGTTGCTCAACTCTCCTGCCTTCATCGCTACGTTGGCTTTCACGAACGCGTTTCCGTAGTAGCCTTCCCGTAACGGTGGCTCTACAACGCGTCGTATACCCACGGCCATTCCAAAAAGCGTGGTTCCATCTGGACTCAGCTTCAAGGCCCTGCACCTTGCTCTCCAAACATGGGCCGCGAGAATCTCCAGAGTCGTGACCTCCTCACCAATCTTCTTCTTGAGCTGAGCGATGTCTTGAGGTGTGACGTTGAGTATCTCACAGACCATGTCGTGGGTTGGTGTGTAAGGAGAAGTTGCCACAGTAGAGCAAGCCTCCCCGAAATCAACTAGCTTCTGAGCTTGTTCCTCCTCCACTTCCCCTACATTTATATACAAAATGTTAACACACTATTTTTGATGCTGTAAATCTATAAGCAAAATATATTTTGATATACTTAGTTGATATATATACATACCGTTAAAGTGAAAGTTGTTAGAGGTTAGGCAGTGTCTGTCCCAGACGGGGATGATGCTGGGTTGTGTCTTGCCTGCAGCGAACTCAGTTAAGGCTTTGAAAAACTGAGACGCTCCAAAACCATCGCAGAGGGAATGAGAGAGAGCCGTTCCAATAGTGATCCCTCCACATGCAAACAGAGTGATCTGAACAGCAAGAGCGTTGTAACCACCAGAGGTCACAGCTTCGTCACAAGGTACGAGTTGGTTTAAGGCTGCGTCAATGTCCTCCAAATAGTTGAGGGAAGAGAGAGTGCAGTCAGTGGTTGCCTTCACAAAGGGGACTCCCTCTGTGGGAGTGCACGTCAGCTCTAGCCTATGGTCTTGTGATCGACGGTGAAGTTTTCCGGCGAGAGGATAGTAATAAACAAGAGCATGAGAGAGAGCTTGCTGTAGAAGAGAAGCTGGATCGTCGTGGACGTCTTTGGAGGGTGGTGGGGCGTAGACATAAATGGTTTTGGCGAGGGTTTCGATGTAAGGATCGTTGTCGAGTGTCGAGAGAGAAAGAGAGACTTCAGGTGTTGCCTTTGAGGGTTTCACTACAACCACTTGTGATTTCTTCACAACCAAGGGACTCGATGAACTCATGCCTTGGCTTCCCATCTATGGCTCAGATATCACATGCGTATTTGTGTCTATGTTTATATATACAACTTGTAAAAGAATATAATTGACGTTTAATATGAATAAAAAAGGGGAGTAGGGATGTGAGTTGGTAAGATATGACTTTGAAGATTGGAAAACGGAAACTGCAAAGTCAAGTCTTATCTTATCTTTATATTACATTAAAAATACGTGGTTTATCATAAGTCCCTTTCAGCATTTTTGTAAAAAAAAAAAGTATTGGAACTACACAAACACAATTAATCCTTGAATTGGATGTGGAAGTCAACTGCATTGATGGATGCATTGAAGAGATTTAAGTGTTGTAAGTGTCGAAAGAAGATTCGTGAGGCACATGCGAATGAGCAAAACGCGTTTTTGTTTGTGGTGGTGGTATCACAACTCACATATTCATCACTCTCATCATTCTCTCTGTTATACATTATATTTCAAAATCCAATTTTTTTATAAAAAAAAATTATAGTACTGTCTCATAAAAAGGGTTTCTGTTGTGGAGAACATCGACATCAGTTTTTCTTTGTTTAACCTCAAATTCAAGATGGGATAAGTAATTGGCTTGGGTTGAGCAGTCATGAGGAGCCACGTACATATACGATCATCAGTAATGAGTCAGTGGTTGAGACACGGAAATTCAATGATGTAAAGTAGCCTAATCATATCCGCTTTATTACCTTCACTCTTCTTTGTGTCATGTGAAACAGGTCTTCTTCTCCATATGCAATTAAAGTGTTTGAAGTAATCTTTTTGGTTATCTGTTATTTTGTCAATTTCGACTTAACCCTATAAACCACTACAAAGCATGCCTACATATATATTCATATTTATCATGTATCGTGTATGCAGCCAGAAATTCCAAGATTACATGCAATTACAGATCTACACTAAAGATAAGTTAAGTGATTATAACCAAGTGGTGGTAGTGGGGTGGTTCCCTTTTTTAGTGAGAGTTGCCCTGTTGGTCTAGGCCAGGTATTTACATGATCTTTCTGACTGGTCTACAGGATTTCATATTTATCGATGTTAAGCCTTTTCTCAAAAAAAATATTTAACGATGTTATTGTTGACCAAACCTATGTTCATTAATTTGCAAAGGCAGTGATAAAAATAGCATCAAAATATAGTTAACAAAAAAACATTTGCGTAGCATTAATTGACAAATTTAGCATTTAATATAACAAATGCGAGTTCACAAATTTAGCAGTTAATTGGGAGTCTTTAAAAAAAAAAAAAAGAGTAGCATTTAAACTAAAACCATTGGATCTATGAGACAAAAGAGGAGAAAATCAACGATCAAAGGCGCTAGCATTAGGTGTACGAGCCCAGAGGGATACACATGCCCTCTGTCTATTCACTTCCACGCATTAACGCAACTATTTAATAATATATGTTAGATTTTTTCTCTACTTTAATTTATTAGAAAGAGAAAATATAAACTAAAAAAATCAAAAACAGAGGAGCAGAGTTGATGCGCTAGTCAAAGCAAAGATCCCAACTTTATTGATCGAATCCGCTTCATTAGAGGTATTCGCTTCTTCTTCGTCCTCCTTTCTATTGGGTATATCTCGAATCCGATTTTCTGGGTCTTGCTTCTCAATTTCTAGTTAACTTACAATCGTTGATCGAAATCGGTTTTGTTGAGTGGTGATCCGATTGTTTCTAGCTCTCTCTAGGTATATGCTATTGAAGTTTTGTAGATTAGGATGGAGAACAAACCAAGTGTATTAACTGATAGATACGAGGTCGGGAGGTTATTGGGTCAAGGTACTTTTGCCAAGGTTTATTATGGAAGAAGTGTTCATACAAACGAGAGTGTAGCTATCAAGATGATAGACAAAGACAAGGTTTTGAGGGTTGGTCTTAGCGAGCAGATCAAGAGAGAGATCTCTGTCATGAGGATTGCTAAACACCCAAATGTCGTTGAGCTGTACGAGGTTATGGCAACAAAGTCAAGGATTTACTTTGTTATAGAGTATTGTAAAGGTGGAGAGCTTTTCAATAAAGTTTCAAAAGGGAAATTGAGAGAGGATGTTGCTTGGAAGTACTTTTACCAGCTTATCAATGCGGTTGATTTTTGCCATAGCCGGGGAGTGTATCACCGCGACATCAAGCCAGAGAACCTGTTGCTTGATGACAATGAGAATCTCAAGATATCTGATTTTGGATTAAGCGCTCTCGCTGATTGCAAGCGTCAAGATGGTCTTCTCCACACCACTTGTGGCACACCTGCATATGTTGCCCCTGAGGTTATTAACCGGAAAGGATATGATGGCACAAAAGCAGACATTTGGTCTTGCGGTGTTGTCTTGTTTGTGCTTTTGGCTGGTTATCTTCCCTTCCATGACTCCAATCTAATGGAGATGTATAGGAAGATAGGAAAAGCGGATTTCAAGTGCCCGAGTTGGTTTGCCCCTGAAGCAAAGAGATTATTGTGTAAGATGTTGGACCCTAACCATGAGACTAGAATCACCATCTCAAGAATCAAAGAGAGTTCTTGGTTCAGAAAAGGTTTACAGTTGAAGCAAAAAAGGATGGGGAAACAAGTCAGAGAGGCTAATCCCATGGAAGCTGGAGGTTCAGGTCCAGGTGATAGCGGAGAAAACCACGAGCCACCGCAGCTTGGAAACCTCAACGCTTTTGATATTATCGCCTTGTCTTCTGGTTTTGATCTGGCAGGACTTTTTGGAGAAGTATACAACACGCGAGAATCTAGATTCGCATCTCGAAAGCCTGCTTCAGAGATCATTTCTAAGCTAGAGGAGGTTGCCAAAGGCCTGAAGCTGAAGATAAGAAAGCAAGACGCAGGCTTGTTTAAACTGGAAGGATCAAAGGAAGGAAAAAAAGGGGCTTTGTCGATCGATGCAGAAATTTTTCAAGTGACTCAGACGTTTCACCTGGTTGAAGTGAAGAAATGTAATGGGGATACTATGGAGTATCAGAAACTAGTGGAGGAAGATCTTAAGCCTGCTCTTGCAGACATTGTCTGGGTTTGGCAAGGCGAGAAGGAGAAAGACGAGCAGTTACCGCGTGGTTCTCAGGATGAACCAGAACTAGAACAAAATCGTGAATCATCGTAGCAGGAACATGAAGAAGAGAAACTCTCAAGCGGCTTTGAAACATGAGCATCAAGAACAATCCATGTAAGCTGTGACAAACAAAAGCAGAGGAAAAAACGGCACAATGCACAGCTTGATTATTTACATTGCCTGCAAAAAGTGTAGATAGTTGATTGTTGTAAAAAAAAACCCTTTTGTTAGTTGAGCACTCTATATTAATTTCTTAAGGTTTTGTACGTACGATAGCAGGAGACAGAAAATGTGAATAACCAAATCTTATATAGTCATTAGTTACAGTAACAGGTGTTGTTTCAAATGACAGCATTTGCCCTCTGTCTATTGAAAAAATCTATGTAGAATTTTTTTGAATTTGTCTTTCTTTCTTTTTCTTTTCTCAAAAGCCAAATTACAAATTGATGAAGACAGACTGGGGGCAGAGCTGATATACTAGTCAAAGCAGAGATCTGCACGTCCTCTTATGTTTTGGATTCATCCTCGAGTCGTCTTCATCAGAGGTGATTGATTCTTCTTCCTTTCTATATTCATACAAAAGAGAGTGATCGAAATTGGTTTGTGTTGTAGCTAGCCTTGTAGGTCTCCTAAGGTTCTTTTTTAAGTCCTGGTCAAATTGTTTGTTTCTAGTTCTCTCTTGTATTGAAGTTCTGTAGATTAAGATGGAAAACAAACCAAGTATATTAACCGATAGATATGAGGTTGGGAGATTATTGGGTCAAGGTACTTTTGCCAAGGTTTATTATGGAAGAAGTGTTCATACAAACGAGAGTGTGGCTATCAAGATGATTGACAAGGACAAAGTTATGAGGGTTGGGCTTAGTGATCAGATCAAGAGAGAGATCTCTATCATGAGGATTGCTAAACACCCTAATGTAGTTGAGCTATACGAGGTTATGGCAACAAAATCAAGGATTTACCTTGTTTTAGAGTACTGTAAAGGTGGAGAGCTCTTTAACAAGATTGCAAAAGGCAAACTGAAAGAGGATGTTGCTTGGAAGTACTTTTATCAGCTTATTAATGCCGTTGATTTTTGCCATAGCCGGGGAGTGTATCATCGCGACATCAAGCCAGAGAACCTGTTGCTTGATGACAACGATAATCTCAAGGTTACTGATTTTGGTTTAAGTGCACTTGCGGACTGCAAGCGACAAGACGGTCTACTCCACACTGCTTGTGGTACACATGCTTATGTTTGCCCTGAAATCATCGACCGTAAAGGATATGATGGCACAAAATCAGACATTTGGTCTTGCGGGGTTGTCTTGTTTGTTCTTTTGGCTGGTTATCTGCCTTTTTATGACACCAATCTAATGGATATGTACAGGAAGATAGGCAAAGCACAGTTCAAGTGCCCGAGTGGGTTTCCTCCTGAAGCAAAGAGACTATTGCATAAGATGTTGGACCCTAACCATGTGACAAGAATCACCATCTCAAGAATCAAAGATAGTTCTTGGTTCAGGAAAGGTTTACGCTTGAAGCATAAAAAGATTGAGAAACAAGTCGGAGAGGCTAGTGCCATGGAAGCTGGAAGTTCAGGTGAAACCCGCGAGCCACCTCAGCTTGCAAGCCTGAACGCTTTTGATATAATCGCCTTGTCTTCCGGGTTTGATCTGGCAGGACTATTTGGAGAAGTGTACAAGAAGCAAGAATCAAGATTCGCATCTCGAAAAACTGCCTCAGAGATCATTTCTAAGCTAGAGGAGGTCGCCAAAAGCCTGAAGCTGAAGATACGAAAGCAAGATGCAGGATTGTTCAAACTGGAACGATCAAAGGAGGGAAGAAAAGGGATTGTATCGATGGATGCAGAGATATTCCAAGTGACGGAGACGTTTCACCTGGTTGAAGTGAAGAAATGTAATGGAGATACTATGGAGTATCAGAAGCTAGTGGAGGAGGATCTTAGGCCTGCTCTCGCAGACATTATATGGGTTTGGCAAGGCAAGAAGGAGAAAGACGAGCAGCTAACGCGTGCTTCTCAGGATGAACAAGAACAACATGAACCATTGTAAAAAAACTACAAGCCTTTTCTATCTTGTGTTGTTTCATGTATTTATTTCTTAAGGTTTGGATACAATAGCAGGAAACAGAGAATGTGGTGAATAAACAAATTCTGGTCAAGTGAATTGAACAAGCAAAGTTTATAAATATCGGTAAATTGCGTCTGGTTACATACATAAACGCATTTTAAGAGGTATTTTCGTCTTATCCTTTTCCGAGTTTGCAAGGATAAAAAAGAGGCAAATTGACTCATGAAATGATGAAAATAGTAATCAGTTTCCACAGAGGTGTTTCGAAAAGAAAAGAAAGAAAAATTCCTCAAAAGAGTAATTTCGTATTTATTAATTTATCGTCTTGACGCATTCGTTTTTTTTTTTTTTGACGCATTCTTTTGTACTAAAAAAATAAAATAATAATAAATGTGGGGAAGTAGTACGGACGAACAATTCGGAGTTGAGAAGGAAATCGCCGTTGGATCTGGTTTTGTGGGCATCCACGAACTATCACCAAAAATTTCGCCTTTAAAAAAAAAAAAAAGGAAAGCTTTACAGATAGATGATTAGCCTTGAATTTCGATCTCAAGGAATTAGTTTCGTTTCAGCGTGAATTGCCCAGAAATCTCCTCCACCGCGATCCAAAATCATGAGGAAGAAGCTCGATACTCGTTTCCCTGCTGTAAGTTTTTTTTTTCTCTCGTTTCATCTCTTCTGGCTTGATTAATTGATTGATTAATTGTTCGAAAGTTGAATAATTTATTTTCTACGATATTAAAATCAAAGTTGCACTGGGTAAAGTTCGTATTTTGATGGCGAATTATAGTCTTATGTATCGAATTCGAATGATTGGATTTCTCTTGGTGTCTGTTATATTAATAGTTTCATGTGTCTCTATAAATTATTGTATTGGTGTTATCCCATTATCAACATTTGGTTGTTATCAAAAATTTCAGGCTCGCATCAAAAAAATAATGCAAGCTGACGAGGATGTTGGCAAAATAGCCTTGGCGGTTCCTGTCTTAGTTTGTGAGTCACATAGCTCTTATTACCTTCAATTTGGAGCTGTTCTTTTTTTTTTTTTGTTCTCTCACTAATATGAGTTTCCATGGACTAAATTACAGCAAAAGCTTTGGAATTATTCTTACAAGATCTTTGTGATCATACATACGAAATTACCCTTCAAAGAGGTGCCAAGACCGTGAGCTCGTTGCACCTGTAAGTCCATTGCTCAAAAACTTCTTTTATAGCTTCTCACTGCTCATTGTTACTTCCCAATGACATGAACATATCAATATTTCTGTGTTTTGTGACTATTTATTTGGCTTTGCTTATGTAACAGAACTTTATACCGTTACACTTATCTCCTGCTTTCCTTATGTTTAGGCACTTGCTTTTCATAATACTGCATCAAGATTCACTGATTTGTCTGTTTTCTGCAGGAAAAATTGTGTTGAAAGATACAACGTGTTTGATTTTCTGAGGGAAGTTGTTGGCAAGGTGCCTGACTATGGCCATGGGCATGGTCACGGTCATGGCCAGGCTGATGTAACCATGGACGATCGCAGTATCTCCAAGAGAAGGTTGAATATAGGTGTTTGATATTTCTCAGCTCCATATTCTAAGGTTTATGTTTCTGGACTCTGTGTCAAGCTGATTTTCCCGTCTGATTGACCAGGAAGCCTACGGGTGATGAAGTTAATGACAGCGATGAGGAACTAAAAAAAACCAAAGTGGTGAGCGTTTTCTGGTCGCTATATTGTCTCTATCAGGTTTGTGAATGTGTCTTGATGTGAAGCTTATTTTCGTATTGTAGCAGGAAATGGGGCAAGCGGGACCTAGTGGAAGGGGTAGAGGCAGAGGACGTGGAAGGGGACGTGGACGAAGTGCAAAAACAGTGGAAAGAGAGCTTCTTCATCGAGAGATGGAAACAGAGCCAACCATATCGTTAGCACCACCACTTACTCAAGACGGTATCACTATGCCTGCACCACCACCACAACTGCCACCGCAAGACATGGAGAAGAAGGATGTAGATGACATGTCTAACCACCCAAAGCAAGAATTGCTAAAAGAAGGTAACGACACAAACTCAGGGCTGGGTCGGGATTTCGATCTTAACACACAATCGCTGGACATCGAGACAAAGCCGCCAGTAACAACTGCCTCGAGAGAAATGAAACCAGAGGAATATCCGGGTTGGTCCATCTCGGATATTGGCAGTATTGATCCGATCCAGCTTGCTAGTATGGGTAAGAGGTTAGACGAAGACGACGAAGATTATGACGAGGAGGAAAGCTGATGCTTAGACATGAAATAGGATTTGATAGAGTAGCAGCATTAACAGTCTGTTTATGTAGAAAGTGTATCATTTGGCTATTGCTTTCTTTTCCTGCATTTGTTGTATGGAGAAAATATTGTAGGTCCTCTTAAAGGTTAATTATTATTTGCAAAACCTGATTATTTTTCTTAAAAACACTCGTTTAGAGACTAATGCGGTATATTCTTATATATGCGGTCTACTAAGATTATGAAATTTTGCACTCAAGACTCTCTTAGTATGAGACTCAACACTGAGGATCTGGTTTTTGCAGCCTTAGAAGTGCTTAAGAGATTCATGACTTTATCTGTCAAGTGCTTGATGTAGTTCTTATCTGTCAATGGTTACTAGGACCATCTGGTTGTGAGCTAATATTAAGAAGCTGTTCAGTTCTAGAATAAGCTTGTTTTAAAGTAGTGAAGAGTTATAGAAAACAAGTTGATTTGGCGTAAAGTGGCCCTAAATAACATAATAAAAAAGAGAAGAAAAGATCCAACCAATCTCTAGGCCTTCGGCTTTACATACTACAAAAAAGCATACCAGACAAAGCTATTATTATTTATCTTATATATTCATTAATGTTGATTTCCTAAGATAATTTTTTAAGATGATAAGTTTTGCCGATCCATCTTGAACCCGAATTCGTAATTGTATTACAAATATTCATATTTGAATATCTAGACTATGATAATTATCAAAGGTCAATAATTAATTCCCTCTCAAAGTTAATTTAATATGAAAAAAAAGTTATTCAGATTGTTTTGTTAACGTTAAATCAAAAAAAGTCGACCCCATACTTCTCTCTGTCATAAAACATTTGTTACCTTCTCAAATGAAAATCGAACTAGGAGATCCAAAGATGCATAACATTTGGAGAACTCGAGAACTCATCACTAGACGGATAAGTGGATAACATTTGAAGAACTCGAGATTTACTAGGTCATATTTGTTTTTTGTTCATTTTATATACATATGGTGAAGTTAGAGCCCATCATTACTCGCTCCTCCAACTTTCCTGAACAACTCATCATATCACTTCAAATTTGCGACGACACGAAACCGATTCTACTCTCCTCCTGACTCATAATATCTCAATTTTTTTATTGGAGATTAAATTATAGCCGTCTGATTAGAAAGAGTTATTTACTTTTGTGAAGGGGTAACTTAGCTTTTGAAGGATTTAATAATGTCAACTAATCCAAGTTTTAAGATATAACTTTTCACCTTAATGCCTTCTATGTCATTTGTTTGCTTACCTCATAGCCACTAAAACGATGCCTTAGATGCTCCTCGTAAACCCTCTCGTTACTTGCCACGTGTTCCCCCTACCCTACCATTTCTTTTCCCCCATCTTCCAAATAACAACTTCTGTTTCTTCTCGAATCATGCAATTATTATAGGGTTTGTCTTTTGTTTTTGTTTTTACTGTCGGCAAGCTTTGTTAAACTAGAGAAAATTACAAAGTGTTCCGAGAAACAAAACATAACAGATTTATTACTTGTTGTGTTTCGAATGAAGTGTCCAAATAGATTTTTGTTTCACATATTAAGACAAAGGAATTAAGAAATTCTTTCATTGATCGTTTTTCGAAATAAGATTCTGTCTTTCTCTATGTAGTCTGGACCTTTCAAATTTTACTTGTTTAAAAGAGAAAAAAATGGTTTAAAATTACAAGAGATCAAAGGGATCGTAGCAAAAATTGATAACATTTGCAAGGGTTTCCAATAGAGTAATTAGAGTATGTTCCTAACCCAAACTCATGGAAATACCACGACTTGTGACTAAATTTCCTAATCCATGGCTAATATTCAGGAACGGACGTAGCATATACATTATGGGGACCCGTACATCTAGTAAACTCTTAATATTTAAAATTTAGTGCATAAAATATTCTTAAGATATTTCATTGATGGGATGATTAAAGCTCTCTCACATTATTCTATGATCGAATCACCACTTTTTCTATTTTTCTTCTTTTACCAATTATGCACACAGCACATAAATCCTCTGGATCTGCCCATGCGTGCTAATACGTATACATTAGCGATCAGATCATCCGTAACTCACCTTTTGGCTAGCATGTTAACCTTAGGCCATTGATCAAATATATATGGATCGAGATTGACAGAGTTGTTTTTCACAATGTCGTAATTCATTTGTCTACTGGAAGTGTTTTATAGTAGCAAATTTGGTTATTTGTACGTTATTCTTTAAGGGAATCGAAAACAGGAAGATTCACCTGTATACGTTTTTGAGCTCCATTTGTCCAATAACTATAGAGGGGAGCTAGGTGCGTGACATAGTGATGTCAACCACGAAACATTAAACAAATGCAAAACTATACCTGTAACTACATTGCATCTTGCTATAAATACCTAAGACCACTTCAACATTTATTTACTCACAAGTCACACAAAACACATATATACTAAAACAATATTATGTCGATGGAGAACCTTAGTTGCTGTGAAAGCTTCCTCAAAAGCTCTAAACCCTACTTCGCCATGGTATCTCTCCAATTTGGCTACGCCGGCATGAACATAATTACCAAAATATCCCTCAACACCGGTATGAGCCACTACGTCCTTGTTGTCTACCGCCATGCAATCGCCACCGCCGTTATTGCCCCCTTCGCTTTCTTCTTCGAAAGGTTTATAACCATTTATTTCATTACATGCATTTGTTGAAAAAAAGAAATTCATTAGTACATCATAAATTCCTAATAGTTTTTTAATCCCGGATTTTTTATTTTATTACAGGAAAGCTCAGCCGAAAATAACATTCACCATTTTTGTGCAACTATTTATTCTCGGCCTTCTCGGGTAATTATTTAATCACTATCTCTATATAACTATATATGTTTTTGTTCGACGTTTATTTGTTTGCAAAAAAAAAGAGACTTACAACATAATTTTTTTTTTATAAACAAATTTACAGGCCAGTGATTGATCAAAACTTCTACTACGTGGGGTTGAAATATACGTCGCCAACGTTCTCGTGCGCCATGAGTAACATGCTTCCAGCCATGACCTTCATCTTGGCCGTATTATTCCGGTACGTTAATTATCTATAAGTGCACACATATAGATATTTAAGTCAGTTTTGAATGGTATTGGTACGTACGTGTATATATCATTTATAAGAATTATTAATTTTATAAATATAGGATGGAGATGTTGGACGTGAAGAAACTCTGGTGCCAGGCGAAAATAGCCGGAACGGTGGTGACGGTGGCCGGAGCCATGTTAATGACAATTTACAAAGGACCCATCGTTGAGCTGTTTTGGACCAAATATATGCATCTACAACATGCTAACGACACGACGTCGTCTAACAATCCAAATGATAGTAAGGATTTTCTCAAAGGCTCCATCCTCCTCATCTTGGCTACACTCGCATGGGCCTCCCTCTTCGTTCTACAGGTACACAATTGAGATTCTTCGAAACTTTCACTTTTACGATTTTTTGTTTTAGTTATAGGATGTTTAATCGCTCATTGGTTTTTGGTTTGATCATTGGTTTATGTATGTGATTAGGCAAACATACTAAAGACGTACGCGAAGCATCAGATTTCTCTAACCACACTCATTTGCTTCATCGGAACACTTCAAGCAGTTGTTGTGACATTTGCCATGGAACACAACCCATCTGCTTGGAGAATTGGCTGGGACATGAACCTCCTTGCCGCCGCTTACTCTGTAATACTAACCTCTCTCATCTTTTCATATATAATATATACACATGCATGCATATCGATCCTTTTTGTGTGGTTTATGTACGGATTCTTATGGGGTTGTTTGGAAAAATAATAACTGCAGGGGATTGTGGCATCAAGTATCTCATACTATGTGCAAGGGGTAGTGATGAAGAAAAAAGGACCTGTGTTTGCTACTGCGTTTAGTCCTTTAATGATGGTTATTGTTGCAATCATGGGTTCTTTTGTCTTGGCAGAAAAGATCTACCTTGGAGGGTAAGATTTCCACTTTTACCCTTTTTCTTGATATCATGCTCCAAATTAACTCAAAAAATGAAAGCTTATCAATTTACTTTTTTGCAACAGGGTGATTGGAGCCGTACTGATTGTGATTGGACTGTATGCGGTTTTATGGGGAAAGAAAAAGGAGAGTCAAGTGGTTAACTGTGAGATTTCAGAACCCACAAAGAATATTGGCTCAAGTTGTAAAGTAACTGAGGATGTGGAAGCCAATAATGGACTTGAAATGAAGAATTCTGAAGTTGACAACAATTCTACGCTGTCCACGATTGTAATCAGCTCTCCAACATCGGAAAACCCTTTGAAGAGAACTATCCAAGAGCCATGAAGATTGTACGAGGAGAATTTTAAAAGACGGCTAGTTCTGGTCGGATGAGAGTATTTTTGTCTTTTTCCACTTTTAATTTTGACCTATCTAATAACGAAAGACGTGTAAGATGCAGTACCTCCAACTTGTGCCTTTTTGAAACGGAGGCTTCTTTACCCTAATTCGGAATATCAATAGCTTTATTGCTTGATCATTATTATTTGGACCGTTTCGTCCCTTGAGGATACATCCGATACAAAAATAATAAAGAAGAAATTCGATCGGTTGTTTATTTTTTAAAACGCTAATATATATATATATATATTCCCTAGATTAAAGTGGAGAACTGGAGATCCCAAAATCAAAGCACAGAAATCTGAACAAAAAAATTAACAAAGACGTGATTTGATGGTAATGCTGAATCTCTCTTCAATTAAAAAGATCTAACCTAAACCACGTGATCGTGATTTCATGAGTCAACTAGTACGTGAGAGATTATAAAATAAGAGTTTCTCAAGGAGTTTCGGACACAGCAAAGAAAACTCATATAGTCATATGCGCTCAAATTTTTAATTCTGCTATATATGATTAGGAAAATTTACGATTTATTTAGCTTTCTCACTCCTAAAATGTAACAAAATTTCAAACTTCAAGCACAAGAGAATCTGATAATTGGTGATTAAGATTTGAAAGAAACAAAAGGTCATTAACCTTCTTCACCTGATTTGAAAGGCAAGTGGTACAAAATCGGACAAAGGTGTGGCTAGCGTAGAGGGAGCCGGTGAGTTCCTACAAAGAGGACATGTGGCACTTGTCCGGAGCCACTCATCAACACAATCAGCGTGAAAGCAGTGGTTACATTCCGGTATACACCGAACCGGATCCTTAGCTTCGTAATCACTTAGGCATATCGAACATGGGCCGTTGTTGGGCCTCGGTAGTCTCAGGCTATCTCCAAGCACTATCCTCGGATATGACTCTATAACCGGCCGGTCCAGTCCGATCTTTACTTCAGCAGCCGGCGAGCCAACAACTCCTTCACTCGTAGCTTCGTATCTTCCTGCATATTTTGACCTTATGCAGATGTATGAGGCGAGCATTATAGTGGAGATGAGAACCAGGATGCTCACGGCGATGGCGATTCCGTAGCCGAGCCCAACCCCCGTAGCCGGAGGATTTGTCGGAAGCATTGTATAGAGGGAGATTGAGTCGGAGAGAGAGAGAGAGAGAGAGAGAGAGACTAAATGTGAAAGAAGAAGAAGAAGAGAGTTTGTAGGAGAAGGAGACAAGTTTGGCGTAGTCCACGGGTAAACAATTAAATGTTGCTGCAGGAACGATTTCTCAGACAAAAATATTTTAAATGGGGTTATGAAGTTATGTAATTGTCCACCTAGAATCTTTCATCTTCTTATATAATTTTATTATTATGGATCGTTGACTCTGGATAGTCAGTGATTCTTTAAGAGGCTTTATATTTTAGCTCGGAAACCGAAAATAACAAATTTCCTTGAAGTTATGTTCAGTCTCAAATTTTGCCATTCTTGAATTTCACTGACCGGTTTGATTTTCTTCTCATGCTTTTGAATCAAGTAACAAATGTTTTTTTTTTTGTTAGCCTCTTAGTATTCACTCTTTGGGCCACTTGTGATTGTGATCAGCCCTATAAACCCATTTGTTGAATAATGAAATACCTTTTCTATTTTGTTGAAACCGTAATTTATTTTTTATTGTTATATATCAATTGCCAGACAAGTATATGCTCCTTATTATACGACTATATGCCCATCGATAACAAATACCCCACAAAAGTAGTGGAAATCCCAAGAAAGTAACTTTTGCACTACCAGAAGAGTAAAGAAACAGATGAATAAGTACATTATTGGCCGACATAAATTTTTACAAAGGAAACGAAAAGAGAAATAATTGTGGCATGCTTAAGAACAAATAAAAGTATAATAACCAAAGCACTGAACCAGCACCCAAGTTTTCACCGGTCCGTATCAATGGAGCTGCCGCAAGCTTACCTCTTGGCTCTTTCTTTGAGAAGTTTGGTATAGAACTCAGCAAAATTAAGAGCAAAGCGTCTCTGTTTCAAATGGTACATTCACTATTTTTTGGTTAAACATTGGTCGTGGTTGACATCCTATTAGAATCATTGAATACAATCACTCTATTTTTTTCTTGACGGCAAGAAGACGATCACTATTTGTGAAGGGATTGTTGAATATTTGAAAGGAATAGGATAACTTATTTTTTGGATTAATATCTTATTATATAAATGGAAATAACACCTTGCGTTTAATTGGGAGAATACTGTCGACCAAAAACGAAAAAAAAATTAAAATCTCTCCGCACTCCGCATATATGTGTAAAAGAGATGATTAACAAAATTATGAAGATACGATTATGGAAAAGATCTCGGATCAGTACCTAGCTTTTCCCCTCTCGCTATTAAAAAGAGACATTGGTCACTGGGTATATTACAAAACATTCTAAAAAAGAGCTCGTGTTATGGCCTATGGGGAAAAGAAAGAAAAAAAGGAAATATTCATTGTAAACAAGTTTTCTAGATTTGAATATATAATTAATTAATTACATTCATAAAAAAATTAACAAAATTTTCTCTTCCAAGTTCCAACTAGAAACGAGGGCAGTTTAACCGTTTCGTGTGTTTAAGTTCATTCATATCGGTTTCGAACTCAAAACCAGGTTATTAGCGAAATAACCCTTGATTTGTACCATACAGTTTATATAGTTTAATTTTAGAGATATGTTGTTATACACGGTCATTTTCTAGCCCAGACCACTATATATACCCCTCTCATGCCAACACCAATTAATATCCCATTCCAACCCAAAACATATAATACAATGACCACTCTCGTTTTATTCTTCCAACTTCTTTTCATCATCCCATTAGCACTTGGGTTAAACCACCCAAACTGTGACCTCGCCAACACTCAAGACCAAGGCTCTACCCTAAGAATCTTCCACATAGACAGCCCTTGCTCCCCCTTCAAATCATCATCCCCACTCTCATGGGAAGCGCGCGTTCTCAAGACGCTGGCCCAAGACCAGGCCCGTCTCCAATACTTGACCAGCCTCGTCGCCGGGAGATCTGTGGTCCCCATCGCCTCGGGTCGTCAAATGTTGCAGAGCACAACGTACATTGTCAAGGCTCAGATCGGGACTCCAGCTCAGTCACTGCTCCTAGCCATGGACACGAGCAGTGACGTGGCTTGGTTACCTTGCTCCGGCTGCGTTGGCTGTCCTTCTACCACCGCCTTTTCTCCGGTCAAGTCCACCACTTTCAAGAACGTCAGCTGCAGCGCTCCTCAGTGTAAGCAGGTATAATTCTGTACTTACACACCTACACTACAGATATAATAACTCTGTTCCGTGGAATGTTTTTATTATATTCTTCACACTTTTTTAAGAAAAATAACACTTTCATAGCTCCTTCATTAAATGAACCATACTCGATTATACTTGGCTCATGTATGGCACATACTATGTTGTAGTCGTATTTTAATATTAGTAACTTGTAATTTGTTTTCATCTTAGTTAAAGATCTGAGTATGAGAATATTGTTGCAATTTAAATTCAATTCTCAATGTCTCCGAATGAGAGATCTTGGATTTATTTAATTAACAATAATAATATAAAATAGAAGCACTATTTTTTTTAATTTCAAAACAAAAAGTTTTTTTTTTCAAAGAGAGAGAGAGTGGGGTCCCATGTGGTTATAATCGATTATTCCACTCAGAATCCAAAAAATAGTTCACGGGATTACAGAACACTAAAACAACAATTCAGACCGACACACTGCATTAACTCACGTGAACACTACTTGCCTTGTTGCACTTGCAGGTGCCCAACCCCACGTGCGGATCACGCGCGTGCTCCTTCAACCTCACCTACGGAAGCTCCTCCATCGCCGCTAACCTCTCTCAGGACACGATCCGCCTCGCCGCCGATCCTATCAAAGCCTTCACCTTCGGATGCGTCAACAAGGTCGCCGGCGGAGGAACCGTCCCACCGCCACAGGGCTTATTGGGCTTGGGCCGAGGCCCACTTTCACTCATGTCGCAGGCTCAGTCCCTTTACAAATCCACCTTCTCCTACTGTTTGCCGAGTTTCAAGTCTCTCGCCTTCTCTGGATCGCTGAGGCTCGGCCCCACCTCGCAGCCCCTGCGCGTGAAGTACACGCAACTCCTTAGAAATCCGAGGAGGTCTTCTTTGTATTACGTCGACCTCGTTGCCATCCGCGTCGCTAAGAAAGTCGTCAATTTACCGCCGGCAGCTATCGCTTTTAATCCCACCACCGGAGCTGGAACCATCTTTGACTCCGGTACGAAATTCTTTTTTTACATTCTTTGACGTGAACAATCCGGTTTAATTTCGGTTAGGTTTTACTTTTTGATTTCGGAATATGGATCTTGCATTGGTTTATACATAAAACTTAATTCCGGTTAATTTGGTTCGATTTGCTTAAGTTAACTTAAAATCGGTTTCCTGACAATATAACACAAATGGAGTGATTATAAACACTTTTGAATGATGTCAACAAAAAAACACTTTTTGAACTCCATTTTAATTTAAGCACTTATATTTGATTTAGTTCATTTGGTTAACCTCTTACCACATCTATAACTAGGATGTTATGTTAATAACCAGCTAATTTTATATATCTGCAGGGACTGTGTACACGCGCCTGGCTAAGCCGGTATACGAGGCGGTGAGGGACGAGTTCAGGAAGCGCGTGAAGCCACGCACCGCCGTGGTGAAGTCACTCGGGGGTTTCGACACGTGCTACACAGGGCAAATCAAGGTGCCGACTATAACGTTCATGTTTAAGGGAGTGAACATGACGATGACGGCGGATAACCTGATGTTACACAGCACCGCCGGGAGCACGTCGTGCCTCGCCATTGCCTCGGCGCCGGAAAACGTAAACTCTGTCGTCAATGTGATCGCAAGCATGCAGCAGCAGAACTACCGTGTCCTGATCGACGTTCCCAATGGACGGCTCGGATTGGCACGTGAACGATGCTCTTGAAAAGATGAATGAGACAATAATTAATTAAGAGTGTACTAGTTTTTTTTTAAGCAGAGACTTGTTTGTTTGTGTTCTTTTGTGTGTTTCCATTTTTTTGTCCTTCTCGTTTTGTTTGCTTGAGCTTGACCACTCTTCATCTGTTTATTAGAGGGGCGGTGGTGCATAGCATTTGTTCTATTAAGCAGTCTTCATTTTTATGGTTTGTTTAGCTTTTGTTGAATTCTCTTGAGATTCGGGTCGAAAAAAACCATTCGAATAATATATTTGCTATTGAGGCTTTTATATATTTGTTCCGGACAGTTACGGTTGTGCAACTATTATAACTTGAAAATCAACATACTAGACAACATACACATGTTCCGACTTATTTTAAATTTCTAACGTTCTCTTTATTCTATAGTTACTTGAAAATATATTGTTGTCGTTTACGAATGATCGATGTTCGCCAATAGTTTCCTTGGACATAGTTAGTGTCATGCTCATATTTGTCAAAGGGATCCCACTTCAAAGCTTATATAGGGTTGTGTGGCATTGTAATATGTATGAGATATATACTGTAAAACTAAATAAACAGAAAAAGGGAAAGTATATATAAATTACTCGAAATCTTTTTTTGATTAATTTTTATTTCAAGTTTCAAACGAGGGATATGGAAACGAAAAGAGAATGACAAAAATATTGGATGGAAATCATTAGCAAATGAATTCAAATAATGAAATATAATGATAGACCATTTCCTTTATAAACTGATCGATCCTGCGAAAGAGTTCAGATAAACAAAAATGTACATGAAATTTTTTCTTAAAAAAGTTCGAATTCTTTGAAAGATTATAATGACCGGCCAGAATCTTCCAACAATACACTTAACGTTGAAGCTCATCTCAGACACCCATAAGCTTAAACGTGGAACAAGATAGATTAACTTAATTTCTGTTATAACACACTAATTAACACACATAAACTCGATCAGAAACCTGAGATGTCCATACAGATCATGTTATGTGATATAGTTAATTATATTAAAATCTCAACTATTGGTTCACTCGGTAAACCATTATTATGATGATGTCTTGTTTTGTATACATTTCTTTTATTCCACAACGGGAAAGTGCCACATGCTTAAGATAAAAGGCATAGTGGCTAAGCCACTAACCCACAAGGTTTTTGGCAGTTGTGATGATTAAGCAAATGCCACACTGAAATAATTCGTTATAGACGACTACTTATAGTCTTATAGAGGAACAATGATTAAAAGTGAAAGTAGAAAATGAGAGACGAGAAAGAAGAACACACATACCAGCTGGCAATATGAACTTATGTCTATGGAGATAAATTGGTAATTATAACTTTTAAAAACGCTAATCAGTTCATTAGCTGTAAATAGTAGTTACATTAAATCAATCTAAATTTGTTGGCAATTTTTGTTGTTTCTTTTTCATTTTGTGGGTTGTTGTGATTTTTTTGAGGTGGGCACTTACACGCGTAGCCTACTAAATGAAAAGGCCCAAAACGTCGTCTCTTTCTATTGATTACCACACAACACACAACAACACACAATCGTCGTCTCTGTCTATCATATTATCTTCTTCTCTTACTCTCTGAAAGGGGCGATTTTTCCTCGGCTCTGATCAACCATGTCTTGCACTTCCAATTTCTTGCTATCACCAAACGGCTGCGTTTTGACATCTCCCAAGCCTCTTGGCAGATTCCTTAGAAGGAAAAATTTCGTCTCCGTCGTTAGAGCTTCTTCCGATGATGCTGATTGTAATGACGAAGAATGTGCTCCCGAGAAAGAGGTACTCAATCGATTTCAATTTCCTTTCTGTACCCGTTTTCGCTTTTCGAGTTATCCTACGTTTCGGAAAGTTATTATCTTTGATTATTAAATTATAGTCTTTCAGGTGAGATTTTAGGATGCTACTAGGGATTTATCCAATTTTTGATGAGAGAAATCTCAAATCTCCATGACTGTAGAGTCGGATTCTTTACTAGTATTAGGTTTTTCCAAAACTGGCTACTTAGTGAGACCTCAATATTACTAGAATTGGTGTGTACGAATTGAAGTGACTACAAACTAGGAATCATACAATTGATCAGCGTGTCGAAGATCTAACCTTGGGGTTGGTTTGGTCATGGGTGAAACACAGGTTGGAACAGTGAGTATGGAATGGCTGGCTGGAGAGAAGACGAAAGTGGTGGGAACATTCCCTCCTCGGAAGCAGCGTGGTTGGACTGGCTATGTTGAGAAGGATACTGCCGGCCAGACAAATGTCTACTCTATTGAGGTTTGTATTGACTCATACCTATTTTTATGATACCGAGAGAGAGAGAGAGAGAGCTTTAGAGAGATATCTGATTTCAGTTGAGGAGAAAAGTTTCAAGCTTTGTTAAGCCAAAGTAACGATTGATAGGCATTAGAATGTCGTGGATGCATGATAACAAGTATAAATAGGCGGGAGGAAGAAGAGATTAGGGGTCTTTGACCAGTTTTTTGTTTGGGAGCTTTTGGCTTTGGGAGAGTTAAAAGAGCTCTTCAACAAATCTCCAAGATACATTTGGCTCTTTTCTTAGAGTTTGATCATCGGATACAAAGCTCATACATTTTCAATCCTTGAATCAAGGATCATAAAGAAAATTAGCTTCTTGATCTTTTCGGTTTTCTTTGTGTTCGTACCATTATTCTCTATTTGACCTCAACCTCCACTGAATATGAATTAGCTTGCGACAAAGTATGTCATGCAAATCCCGCATCTTCTTGAGATGTGGCTCTTGATCTAACTCTATTGCCTTTTTCTTATTGGCTCAATTATATTGCTTTTTTCTAAAGTAATAGCTTCTCTTGTTATTTTTGTAGCCTGCAGTGTATGTTGCAGAGAGCGCCATAAGCTCAGGTACTGCAGGATCTTCGTCTGATGGGGCTGAGAACACAGCAGCGATCGTAGCAGGCATTGCCCTTATCGCAGTGGCTGCGGCTTCCTCTATACTCCTTCAAGTCGGGAAAGATGCACCGGCCCGACCAAAAACAGTGGATTACAGTGGACCGTCTCTTAGCTACTATATCAACAAGTTCAAGCCTTCAGAAATTGTTGAAGCTTCTGCCCCCGACCTCACGGAAGCTCCACCGGTGGCTCAGCAAGAAACTTCACTTCCGGAAACTATGGCCAGTGAGGCTCAGCCAGAGACCTCACTGCCGGAAACTTTGGCCAGTGAGGCTCAGCCGGAGGCGTCATCTGTTCCGATAACAAGTAGCACCTCTTAATAAGGGATTAGCCTAGGATTCAATGTATGTTGTGTAAAGATGAAATGAAGCCATATACCAATATTATGCATTTTGTTAATATTCGGATGTAATAACTATATATATATACTCTCCTTCTATGAGTTGGTGATTTAACACCTAGTCTTTTTTGCTACAGTTCCGGTTTTGCTTTGAGTCCATATCAGAAAGATAGTGTCGTTTCTTCTTTTAACTTCTCTTTTTAACTAATTTAACAAGTAACTGTATGTCTGTATCTGCGTTTACAAATGTGAGAACACAAAGGCAAATCCTAGAGAATTTTGTTTTAGAGATCTCGTAAAGCCAAAATGCTCTTTTCCATCTTTTTCCGACGAACTTCTTAACCTCTTTCCTTGCCGAAGACATGTTGAGTCTTTGTTTTTGACTGGATCTAGATGCCTTTTGTGCTGCAAGAGCTTGATACCAATTCTTGAGCTCTAGCTTCATTACGATTTACTGACCTGCAGGCTGCAGCTTGCGGAGTAGAGAAACTATAAGTTGTATTGGGGAGATTTGCAAACGGAATCTCCATTCACGTTAAAAAAAAAAAAAAAGAATCTCCATTCACGTAAAAAAAAAAAAATTTAACGCGGGTAAACGACCAACAGAAGACGAAACGCAGCGTTGAGTAAATTATTTTACCCAAAGAAAAAAAACAGAAGACAGAACGCAGCGTTTAAGTAATTCATAAACGACGTTTGAAGACAAAATCGATCTACTGTAGGTAAAAAAAAAACTCTACTTCCAGTCGCGTTTGGGAAGAACCATAAGTGAAATCATAGTCGGATTTCTCAGCTAGATTGGGTTTATTTGATAACAACGAGATCCATAGTAGCTGCGAGCTCAAATGAAAATCAATTTTTATTTCATAAAAAAATCAAGTTTTATTCCTTTTTATGTTCTTATTTTTTTTTGGAGAAATAATTTCACAATTTTGAGAATTTAAATTTGTTTTTAAAGTAACAACCCACGAAAATGTATTCAACTAGCAATGTTAGTTTGCCTATTTGACCCGTCAATCTTAAACTCGAAAAACACGAGGGAAAAAATCACATCACGCATCTGTGTAGCCAAGGCACAGAAGGGAAACTATGTCACGGATTTGGTTTGGCGTCGTAATCAAAGATATAAATGTAGCCATTCTCCACTAAAAGCAGGCCGTAAGTCAGTCAATTGCTTGTCTAAATTTGTCGACTTTTATGGAATACAAAAAGAATAGGATAAAGAAATCAACGTAGGCTCCACTCACCTAATGCATCAACGCATCCAATACCGAGGTTGTGCACTTAACGGCATGTCGATATCTTTTAACAAAAAAAAGATATATGTTTATCTATTCCATATACTACTTGACTACCTGTTTGCTTTTTGTTTTTGCTAACTACTATATTTTTTTTCTTTTCCTTTATTAAGGAAAGAATACAAATCCCTTATACAGTACTGTATCTATTAAAAGGGTATTTTTTTTGTTTGTGAAAGGGTATATTAAAACAGTATTATCTACAAAACAATTTAAAGTAACAAATATATTGATGAAATGAAAACAATTACTACGTAATTCTTGCCTAAAAAAGCATCACATTATGTTTATTTTTCAAAAATCAAAACTATCAAATCTTGCTTCTTGTAAACTGTTTTCAGTTTAATAATTAATTTCTTATAAATTTTTACCAAAAAAAGCTTAATATCTTATAATTTTCTAAAAAAGCAAGAAAGAGAAATTAATTTGCTAGTCAGCTTCTTGGATGTGGCATGTGAGGGTGGCCTGAAAGGAGAAAATAATGTAATCTGACGCGAACCCGACCTAAGTAGATTATGCGCAAAATATCATAATTTGTATTTTGTTAAAAGAAGTATCATAATTTATTGGTAATCCGAAAAACTATATGCAAAAACTTTTTTTCCAAAACGACTTTAATTAAAACTATTTCGTTTGTTCATAGTAACATATGAAACGAAGCACAATGAATTATTTTATTTATTGAGGAATTAACTTAAATAATATGAATAACTTAGCATTAAAACTAAACATAATATGACTACATAAACATGAAAAATTATTGTGTACTCATCTATATATAGCTCCCACGTTAGCTATAATGTTGAAGAAATATAGATGTATATATATATATATATCATATACTGTGTATATATTATATTGTTGTATTTTTGCCTTACAGCCATACCCTACTAAGAAGGTTATAGTCCATACATGATGTGTGGAAGTGAACGTGGTACCACGTGGGTATGGAGTGGTTCGTACATTAATATTGGACTCTGGAGTCTGTGTGCTTCAAGAGATAGATGATTTGTCTCTAAGAATCTTCAACTTCCAAAGATAAATATTTAAACACACAAAAGAATACTTGCAAAGATAAAGATTACGAAAAAAAGGAGTTACAAAGACAGATCAGTGTCGTATCCAAACAAACTTCTTTACAAGTGAAATCAGAGTCCTTCAAAGACATATCTATCGATCGTCTTCTTGTGCAGTGGCCAGTGTGTAGCTTTCTTATTTCTTAATTTCGTTCTTATCCTAAAATAGTATAGTTTATACGATAAAAGAATCCCATTCAAAGCTGAAGAAAACATAGAAAAATGAAGCATTACTTACCAGAGCTTTATTGAAATAACTAACTAAATACAGTAGCAAAACAAATTACTAAATATTTATACTAGCATATAAATATTGTTTCATGATAAAACGAATCAACAAAAAACACGTGGCTGGTATAGGGGTTACCAATCAAATAAAATCGATACCAAACTAGGGTGAACCTCAAAAAATGAAAGTTCGTTTTAAAATAACAGTGTCTATGTTTAAATTAAGGGATTGCGAAGATTAAAAAAAATAGATTAATATTTTGTAAACATCTGTTTTCTTATGATAATGCTGTTATCTTCGCAATCTCTTAATTTAAACATATTATAAAATAAACTTTCATTTTTTTCTTTTAAGAGCTTTCTTATATATATCGATAACCCACAAACATACAAATCTCAATTGGAAAGGAAAAACAAAAAATAATTATATATAATTATATTCATCGACAAATCTTGAAATTCATATAAATAATGTATACACTGTTGATCAATGTTTTCACTTGTTGACAAATATATATATATATTTTTTTGTAGTGTAGCTATAATTGTAGTCCGGCCGCTATAGGTGTGATATTTTATCTCTACCCAAATTTGGAACATTCAGTCGACGTCTTAAGCGTGATGTATACAAATTTACTTTTTTTTTGTTTTTTTGGTTAAAATGTTAAAATTTTATTATTATTTTTAAGTTTTTGACAGAAATGCAGAGAATAAAAAGACAGATTAACCAAAAAATCTACAGACAACAAACCACAACTAAAATACAAATTTACTTGATTGTAGGCCTTCGACTATAATATGTTTTGTGGTTTTTAATGACGAATTATTAAAAAAGAAATTTATTTCATTTTAGGTATACGTACTGTAATTTCTTGTAAAAAAGATTTACGTAATTTTTTCTCGGAAAGGGTCGTGCGGGCAATATGATGTCCACCTCTTGGGCTGAAGTTTACCAGCTTGCCAGATCTTTATGAAATTGTAAAGAAAACTAGATAAGAGAGCTAGAAAAAGAAAGAGAAGTTGAACACCCGGAAACATGTAAGACAAAAAATGCAACATAATTAAGGAACCATATGTATTGGAACCAGGATATAAATTTCGAATAATATGGATGTTTATATAGTGCTTAAAGCTGATTATCTAAGGAATACAATGGTTTTTCATTGTTGGATATTTTGGAATAGAATCCAAAGGCTAACTGTAGGGGGGAAAAAGGTCCAAAGGCTAATTATACATACATGCTAATGAGATGGTATATTGAATTCAAATTCAAAATTATCCAGTTTCTGACTAAGATATATAGTATTTATGCTAGTTTCGTTGTTGTGTCATCATTCGAATTAAAATTCGATAAAATGTATTATGCATGTTGTTGAAAAAATACTAGCCGATTCAGTGGCATCTTCGGTATTTTAATTTCATCAAAGTTAGAAATTCATATTGTTGATATAAAATGAAACTTTAGTTATAGAAAGTGATTTCTAAACCACTTTATAGAAAATGATTACCTTATTAATAATAGTTTGGCCGTTTATTCAGTAAAAAAAAATCCAAAGTTGTGTCTGCCGACAACTTTGGGACCAAAAGCAAACGAGAATAATAAATGCGAAAGCAGCAAACGAAGCCGTAACTCCAAGAAGAATAAGGACAACAATGACACAGCACTCTTACTAGAAATTAGAAAGCGTAAATGTGGAGTGCAAAAAATAATATATGGAGTGGGCCAAACTAATATTCGCACACGCCGTTTATTTCCCACGTGCGTGATAAAAACTGAGGCTGCGTTCTTTTATTTTATTTTTTGGGTAAAAAAGTTAGGAGACCAAGAAAAATTAATATTTAGAGTGAATTCTTCAACCACTAGACCACCATCACTTCAAAACGCTCTTCTCTTCACAACGCATCTTCATGCATTTGCGTCATTATATAAACAGCCAACGTACTCACGAAATAATATCAAACAGAACTTATAGTTTTAGAAAAAAAAAAACAGACACACATACACACACTTTTTCCCAAAATATGACAAAGACAATGGCGACCTCAAGCATCAAGACCATTCCAATTATAGCGATCCCAAATTTCGCCATCTGCCACAAGCTCGAGCTCCTCAAGGAAGAAGGCGAACGCAGGGACCTGAAACGCCAAGAAGGAGGAGATGAAGAAGGGCTAAGCTACGAGTTCCGAGAGATGTTAGATTCTCTTCCTAAGGAGAGAGGATGGAGAACTCGTTACCTTTACCTTTTCCAAGGGTTTTGGTGCCAGTCCAAGGAGATTCAAGCTATCATATCTTTCCAGAAACATTTCCAGCCACTCCAAAACGACGTCGTTATTGCGACCATACCAAAATCCGGTACAACATGGTTAAAAGCTCTAACTTTTACCCTTCTTAACCGATACCGGTTTGATCCGGTTTCCTCAACTAATACCGACCACCCTCTTCTCACATCCAACCCTCATGACCTCGTACCTTTCTTCGAGTACAAGCTTTACGCAAACGGTGGCGTTCCCGATCTGTCCGGTCTCGCCAGTCCCAGAACATTCGCGACACACATCCCTTTCGGCTCTCTCAAGGGTTCGATCGAGAAACCAGGCGTGAAGGTCGTGTACCTGTGCAGGAACCCGTTTGACACGTTTATCTCGTCGTGGCATTACATCAACAGCATAAAATCGGAGTCAGTGAGTCCAGTCTCGTTAGATGAAGGGTTTGATCTTTATTGCAGGGGAGTGATCGGGTTTGGTCCGTTTTGGGAACACATGTTAGGATACTGGAGAGAGAGCTTGAAGAGACCAGAGAAAGTCTTGTTCTTACGGTACGAAGATCTGAAAGAAGACATCGAGTCTAACTTGAAAAGGCTTGCGAGTTTCTTGGGCGTTCCTTTCACGGATGAAGAGGAACGAAAGGGTGTTGTGAAGGCAATATCGGATCTGTGTAGCTTCAAGAATCTAAAGAAGCTAGAGGTGAACAAGTCAAGCAAATCTATCAAGAACTTTGAGAATAGGCACTTGTTTAGGAAAGGAGAAGTGAGTGATTGGGTTAACTATCTGTCGCCTTCACAAGCCGAGAGATTGTTAGCCTTGGTGGATGACAAGTTAGGTGGAACTGGTCTCACTTTCAGGTACAGCTAAATAAGGCCACGTGCTCGCATTTCTACTACTTTGTGTGTTTGAACTTTGAGGGCCTTAATTTGAGTGAAAAGCCAAAACTAAAAAAAGACAAGTTAAAGGCAGTTGTTTGTTGTTACAGATAGAAGAAGAAAACAATGAAGCAACGTCCACAAAGTTTTTATTTCAATAAATATCATTGTGTTCCATTATATATGTTTTCATTTCTATTTTTTTTCTTCCTTTTTTGACATGTTTTTCATTTCTTTTTAAGTAGTAGTCGATGTGTGTAACTGAGTGTATTGATAATCATGTTAAATATACTTAAAACTGTGTGTATCATAAATAACAGAACTTTGAAAGTTTTTTTTTTTGAACAACACTTTGAAAAGCTATATAAAACTTCAAAAACTAAAACCGAATGGGAAACTAGTCAGGCCTGACTATAATGGTACATAGCCAAAATTACATGATCATCTACTCGGATTTGAGTTCTCCAACATTTCTCTCACAGCCACATAAGATGTATATATATTCATGTTTTACATCACCACTGAATTAATCATTTCGAGTAATTAATTACCGAAAAAGAAAAACAAAAGAATAACCAAAAAAAACAAAATCAAGAAAAACATATTACAAAAAAAAAGGATTTAATGAGACGTACGTATGTGGTTCTTTTTGTGTTTCCCCTAAAAAACGATGTCGTTTCCGTTTTTTTAAACCCGAACGAAAAAGATACTAAGCTCAGGCCCACTGTTCCCGTCAGGATTCATCATGTAATACGTCTCCGAGTCTCTCGACCCAATCACTCTCTCAAAATGTGCTCTCATGTATGTCAAATCTCCTTCTTGTTGCCCCCCTCCTCCTCCTCCGCCTTGCTCCGCCGCTCCTCCGCCGCCGCTACTCACCGGTAACACACCTGCCCCCATCGACACCGCGTGAAGCATCTGCATCACCACCAGATCCTCTTCCGTCGGCTGTCTCTTCACCCCGTAACCCGATTTCTTCCCGTTACAATACAAAGCCCAGATCGGCTCGTCTATGATTTTGGTTTTCTCGCTCGGTTTCTTCTCGCACTCAAGCGCGATCCTCACCAATCCGACCCCGAGATCCTGGAGGAGTTTCCCCGTCGGGATCGCTAGCTCCAGCAAGAGGATCGGGAGTGAACGCGGATTCTCCTGAACCGCTAGATTCACCCGCGTTTTTCTGTACCCGAACAGCGTTCCCGTGACACGTGTCCCTCCGTGGACGTGGTTCTCGTGCAGCCTTGCCCCTCCCACGGGGAATTTACACATCGGAGACATGATCGGAAGCGATCGGAACACTGAACGGACTCGGCGGAATAGCTTCGTCGATTTGGACCCGGCTGATTTGTTCTTGCCGGACGGCTGCTCCAGCGTTATCTCCGGCCGTACAGTTGCCGTCGATTTCTTCGACCGTGGACTCCCAAGTGGCGACATTGTCGTCGGAGTCAGCATCCTCGGCGTTAACGGCGGTGTTGCCATTTTGAGAGGAGAATCAGTAAAAATTTACACAACCAAAAGTTTTCTCAATTTGTGAGAAAAACCAAAACTTTATACAATCTTCAGAAACTAATGGATCGCACGTTGAGTTGATCATCTCTAATATCTTTGTTTAATTTGCATACGTGAGTCTGCGACTTTCTTGTATATACAATTGTTATATATTTCAGTTCGCCGGTTTTCGTTTATGCTCGGGGGATATTATTTGATTAATCTAAAGATTTGATTAGTGTTGTTTCTGTAAAACCATTGGTGTTTGTGTTTGGTGGTGAGACTAATTCTCTGCGCTGCTGTTTCCAATTGTTGTTTCCCACTTACATAATGTCTCTGTGTCTCCTATCATAATCATTAACAAAATAATTTCTTTTGACTAATTTTAACAAACATCTTTGAAGACTTGTACACCGAATTTGTTGATGGTTTTAAGTCGATCAGGTATTGTAAGCGAGTTCATTTTACATTATGTTCTTTTATTATAGTAGATTCAGTAAGTAATACAACATATTGCATCGAGAAAATGAAATCCAGGAACAAAGTCAACGAAGCTCATCAGAGTGTATTGAAATAGAGATCAAAACTGAAGCTTGGCAAAGTCAAGCCAAAGCATATACACACACACACACACGCACAATACATAATATATACACATACTAAAGATGATGATAAGGTTTTTGTTCTGAAACTTTCCCCTTATCCTTGATTACAAGAAACTCTCTTTGGTGGAGGCAAATTTCTCATGTTGGATTCCATCTTGTTGAATGTGAGATTGGCGATTGCTCTGTCGATTGAATTTGTTTCCAGTTCAGTCTTCTGATCTCTGTTCCTACTGAAAATCAAAGATGATGATAAGCCTTTTTACATATGTAGACGAGTCCATAAAGTCTGATAAATGAAGAAAGCTCTCTAGCTCTAATTACCTTGTTCCATCCTCAAGGAACTCCTCCGGGTTGTTGTTGCCGGATTCTGACTTCTGTTGTGAGTTCTTCGCAAGCCGGTAAAATGTATCGCGGAAGCATTTGCGGGTATCATCTGTCAACTATAAAACAAAAAAAATTTAACGATTATATAAGACTGATCAAATATCAGAAAATCTAATACCACAAGATTGTAAGCAGAGATCAAGAATTACCACACTCACCTTTTCTGTAGCCCTTTGTAGATCCTGCAACACAACTTCTTCATTAGACGGCTCCTCCATATTTTCCTCACATAGCTCCGAGATCTTCATTGATGCCTCATGCTCCCCCTAGAACCAAAATAATGTTCCAAGATTAACATCTCTATAACATTACACCAAGTTGATTTTCTTGGAACATCAATAGTCACAGGAAACCCTCACACATGGCTTTGTAACCAGGAGATCTAAAACCGAAATTCTGTGGCTGCTAATGTGTATTCCACAAGATTTGTCTCGACCAACAAAACGTTTCTGCTATTTCTGACATTGCTAGTGTATCAAAAAGAGACATTTCTTACCATAAGAGGCATGTCTTGACAAGTTTCCCAATCATAATGGAACATCGGGACTTCTATGCCATCGAGATTGCTGAGATACGCAGAGGAAGGACCGGGACTGTCATTATCCAACTCACTGAAAGAATGAAGACCCTCATTCCCTGGAACATCCTCCAAAATGGAACTTCTTCAGTAAGAACCGGAAACAAACCAAAGAGAAGAGAGAGACACGAGACAAAAAGATAAACATCTGAAAGTATTGAATCTTTACGTATTATATATAAAGAATATTTTCAAAGAGAGTGTGTAGGGCTATACAAGAATATGTCATCCATCTGTTGGATTCCATCGAAATCATGAAGCGACGACGTTGGGCGGTAGAAACAATCACCAGCCGCCTTTAACCTCTTTGATTCTTCTTCTACTTCTCCACTCGTCCCCATCTCCATCTCCATCTCCATCTCCATCTGACTGTATAATCCTCCACTGAATCCATTGTTAATCACATCAAAGTCGAAGCATTTCTCCGCAGCTTTCTGAGAGTTCATGCTCCATCCACCCCACATATCAGGAGATGGGTATGAATCTGATGTCTCCTGATAGTTAGGCACTACTAGATCCTCTGAGTTCCTCCTTGAATAACGATCCATGATTAGTTTCAACTGTTGAAAAAGAAAAACCAAAAAAATTCAAAGTCACTATTTTCAGAAACCACCAGGAGCAGAAAACATCTGGATTTGAAGACTTCAAAAAATAGCAAGAACTCACCTTTGTTCAGATCTGAATAAGAAATCTCCTCTCTTTTTTTCTTTTACGAAAACCAAGATTATGAGTTCGTGTCTATCTTGCAGATTTGTGACTTGTGAGTGAAGGAGAGAAAGACAAGAGCAAGCAAGTGGCAGGAAGTGGGTTTTAACTTATTTTCGTGGCTCAGGATTCACAGACGAGATCTGTGGCTCAGATTTTGCCTCCATCTAAAGCAACGGTTTCATTGGTCCATGTGGTAATAAAATCTTTTTCTGTGTGAGGTCGGCAATTGAAAAAAAAACTAAATTTTGGCCTACTACTTGGCCAACTTGCACATTTTTGTAGTTCTTGGAGTTTGTGTGTTTACGAACATACCCTCCAGATTTAGGCAATGGTTAGAGCACAGCTGCGTTGACACATGTCACGTTCGGTCGACTTGGTCTCTACACGTGGCCTGTAGGTATAGGGAGGTGAAGACACATCACAGACTGTCAAGCGGTGGAGTGGGACCGTTGTTCATGGTGATGAAGGGCATAATGGATAATGTTCCTCACTATACTGTCTTGCTTTTGTCTTTTTATCAATGTTAGTATTTTTCCAAAAATAAACTTTACAGATTTGCAAGATCGAAACTTTATGAAGTTAAAATCGAGGATTATAATATTTTGTTTGTAACAACTCATTACTAACCTATAGTCAGCATAAATCTCAATTTAAATATAATAGTGTGGTTTCGCCGACAAAACAAAAAAATATTAGTCTGCTAAAGAAAAAAAAAACCAAAAAATATTAGTGTGGTTTTAACTTTTAATAATACGTCTTAAAGTTATTTTCTAAACAAAAGAAAATGTCGAAACATACATCAGACGGAAACGGAGTTAAGCGACTAAGCGTCTTACAATTTCTTATTTTGGCTCATAATTTTTAGGTTTTTTCCAGATCTAATTGAATCTTACCAGACTAGATCCAATAAAACATAGCCCATGGGTTCAAGTATGTAGGCCTAAATTCTGTTTACTAGAAACAACATTTTTGAGTTAAACAAACATGTCGCAGATTATTTAGAATGGGTCCAACTTTCAGGGAAATCATATACACCTATCGCAAGCAAGCACATTGTAAACAGCAAATTTGTCGCATAGTTTTTTTGTGGATTTACGGCGTCAAGGGGTATGTATATTACCTTTGATAGGCTGAATATATCCCTTCGTTCTTTAAAGAAGGCTTAAACCAAAAAAAAAGAAGAAGATTGAGTAACAAGAGATTGGGCCTGCAGGTCATGTTGATATAATCACGTTTTACATTCCTGCTGTAAGGCCATTGCTGCTGGAGCTTGGTCCTGTGAAAATTGATCATGTTATGGAGGCCAACATTCAAGCCTAAAGTTATTCAAGAATACTTGATATTCTTTAGCAAATGAAATATAAAAAAAAGAAGACATACATATTAATTTGCTACAAGTATATTTAATAAGACTAGATACTCTTTTTTTTTTTTATGATCTCCTTTTGTTTGTTTGTTAGTTAAAATCGTCATGATAATTTGTATTTCTTCTTTTCGCTTTGTAATCTATCTTAATAGTGGCCAACTCGTTAGGACTTATCCGAGCTTTAGGAACTTCCATCGTTCAAGTTCTAGATCTGTTGTAGCATATGTTAGAAAAAAAAGAAGCTCAGCTATAGGAATCACATTGCTAGTGTGATCAACAAGTTCATCTATTTAACAAAAAATGAACATGTTCATCTATTTAACAAAAAATGAACATGTTCATCTAAAAAGTTGCCAAATGATCTACAACAAAACAAATTAAATATCTAATTAAATTTTGATATCAGTGAAGTTGAGATCGGAATCACAAAAGAACCTAAAAAAAAGAGGTAAGAGTTGAGAGACAAATCAGCAAGATAATATTTAATTCCTATTTTTGGGCTTTTTTTTTTCTTCTCAAACTCGGAAGACCCGAGACTGAGAGAGGTGATAGATCTTTCGGCCCTCCCGGCGCGTTTATCTAGATTTTCTCTCACTTTCTTTTCCAGGAATTTCTTCTCCAAACACTTCATTCCTTTTACACATTTCGAGATCAAATTCATCTCTCTCAAATGGATTATTTCTAAATCAATTCATCTGTTGAATCGTTCTCCTCGAAACCGCGTTTGATTTCCGCTCTCTTGACTTCTCTACCATCTCACGAGCGGACGAGCCTCGATCTCGCTACTTAGAGTATCTTTCTCGGTATCTGAAGAAAATGATTGGTAAGCTCAGTTAAACTGGACTTCTAGTACTAGATTTTGCATTTATTGCACTGTACATTGCATTAAAGGATCCTAAGTAGTCTCAACTTCTCGTACTTGCTTCATTTGAGGTCTTTCCATTTGATTTGTTGTGTTACGGCCTCCCGATTTCACAGGTTAATTGAAATCTGAGAATCCGTGGAGTATTATTGCAGCTGGATCGCGATGGAAGAGTATGTTTTCTTTTTCTTATTTTGATGTGGCTATTTTCACATTCTTCATTTTTTTCCTTGTTCTAGTTTTTGATCGATGTCAATAAGAGAGATAATGTTTTTGATCGATGTATTGGTTATACTTCTTTCTGTACAGAGAAAATGCTGTTGAGATTCTTCAGAGGTATCGCCGGGATAGGCGGAAACTCTTGGATTTTATGTTGGCCGGTAGCCTAATCAAGAAAGTTATAATGCCTCTGGGGCAGTCACTCTTGACGATGTTGATTTAGATCAAGTTAGTGTTGATTATGTCATTAACTGTGCTAAGAAAGGTAATTATAGTTTCCTTCTTCTTCTCCTTCTGCTGCAGTTACTCATGTTTGTTCTGTTTTTTTGAGTAATGCATATTGTACTTTGTAAATTGTTATAATGCAGGCGGAATGCTCGAACTTGCTGAAGCGATTCGGGATTATCATGATCACAGTGGATTGCCTTATATGGTATGATTTTCATATGTCACCTTCCAATATTTTGAAGGATAATGCAAGTTGCAACAACTGCATTTCTGGGAATCCTTTTGGCAGAATGATCTGTTCACATATATAGCGTGCCTTACTTTCTATATCTATGCCTGTCACTGTATCATTCATTTTCTAATAGCTTGGGTCATATGCACATTTCAGAATACCGTGGGTACTGCTGATGAATTCTTTTTGGCTACAAATCCTGAATCTTCTGGCTCACCTCCGAAAAGGGCCCCGCCACCTATTCCTATATTAACTTCTTCATCCTCTGCCATCGCTACGAATCCAGAGTGGTGTGAGTCACCAACTGTGCCATCATTAATGCGATCAGAATCTCTTGATTCACCACAAGCTCAAGAACTGACTGTTGATGACATTGAAGATTTTGAAGACGACGATGACACTGAGGAAGTTGGTAATTTCAGGATCTCAAGGCGGACTGCAAATGATGCGGCTGATCTTAAGCCAAAACTGCCCGACTTTGCCACCGGTATAAGATTGGAAAATGCATATCTTTTAAGAAAGGAACGTGATTAAATTACTATTGTTACTTTTATTCGATTGGGTAGACCTCATAAAAGTATTCAAAGCATCCGTAAATTTATATGCTTGATGGTTATCGTTAATGGCCAAGGTATTTTAGTTCGATAAACAAAACTGTACGTGTACATTTATCATTAGTTTATACCTTCCAGTAGCCAGAGCTAACTGTGACTGGACCATAAGTAGCACCCACATTAAAAATCCATAACCCAGTGATGCATTTCTTAGTTGCAATGTATTTATGTTTCAGGTATCACAGATGATGATCTCCGTGAAACTGCATTTGAAATCTTGTTGGCCTGCGCTGGAGCCTCAGGGTATACAGAACATCAACTTTTTGTTTCCTTGTTTAGTTGCTGTTTGCTTATAATTTCACTGAGAGTCTTATTGACATCGTTTTTCTCTTGCCTGTGTTTTCAACATGTATTCTGTAATCGTATAGGGGTCTCATAGTACCATCAAAAGAGAAAAAGAAGGAGAAAAGCAGATCTAGGCTGATTAAAAAGCTTGGTCGCAAAAGTGAGAGTGTTTCCCAGTCTCAAAGTTCATCAGGATTGGTTGCTCTTTTGGAAATGATGCGGGGCCAAATGGAGGTAACTCTCTCTCACTGGTTCTTTCTTGTCACAATTGTTGAAGCATATATGGTTTGTTAGAGCATGGATTTACATATTTATTACTCCATACTATCCCAAACAATTGTTCTTATGTAACAATCTTGTCAAGATGTCCTAGTTTGAGTTAGCCATAAGTCCCTGCTTCATTGATATTAGTATACGGTTGGAGAAACTATTCACTTTGCTCCTCCGTCTAGTCATTCCACATGCTAATGTATTGTGCTGTTGCCTGCACTACAATATGAATAATCATAGTTCACCCACTTTCTGTGTTTCTTGTGTATCTGGCAATCAATCCTTTGGGCACCTACAGGTTTCTGAGTCCATGGACATCAGGACAAGACAGGGGCTGCTTAATGCACTAGCTGGAAAAGCTGGGAAAAGAATGGACAGCCTCCTAGTACCTTTAGAATTGTTATGTTGCGTGTCTCGTACGGAGTTCTCTGAAAAGAAAGCGTACTTACGTTGGCAGAAAAGACAGGTAAAGACCACCTTTTCACATCTTGGTGTAATATTGACCGCTTCGTTCATTTTTGTAATTTGGTTCTATCATCTAATAACGTTTTAGTATCTCAGTTAAACATGCTAGCAGAGGGGCTCATTAACAATCCCGTCGTTGGATTTGGAGAATCAGGTCGTAAGGCAACTGACCTGAAGAGTCTCCTGCAAAGGATTGAAGAATCAGAGGTATTTTTTCTACTTTATGTTCATGTGATTTATTACATGGTGTAGACACCAGATATCGGAAGGGTTTCCCTGAAAGACTTTCTTCAGGAAATCTTCCTAGTTATTGTGAAAGTTAAGGTGAACTGCACATTATATATGTCACTGCTTTCAAACTTCCCTATTATAAGTTCTTCGGCTTATATCCCTTATACTGAAAATTGAATTGGCTTAGATTAGCGGTTTCATAGTATGCTTCTTTTACTTTTCTTTTGCTTTCTTTTCTATCTGTAGTCTCTTCCCTCCTCAGCCGGAGAAGTGCAAAGAGCAGAATGTTTAAAATCCCTTAGAGAAGTCGCTATTTCACTTGCTGAGAGACCGGCTCGTGGTGATTTGACGGGTGAAGTGTGCCATTGGGCTGATGGCTATCATTTGAACGTCAGACTATATGAAAAATTGCTTCTCTGTGTCTTTGACATATTGAATGAAGGGAAGCTCACGGAGGTCTGTGATTTTTGTCAAAACTTTGTTGAATACATGTTCTAGCAACAATATTCCTGGTCATTTAAAAATCATATTGATTTGAAAGATTTATTTTTTCTCAGATATCACTCTTTGAGCTGCTTAGATTCCTCTTATGTTTTTTTTCTTTCCCTCATATTAGTATTCACATATACATTACTTACAAAAAAGTATTGACAAGTTGCCCGTCAGTTACATGTTTACGAAATAATGTTGCTCATTTTATTTCAGGAAGTGGAAGAAATTCTTGAGCTTTTGAAGTCAACGTGGCGTGTTCTTGGAATTACAGAGACCATTCACTACACATGCTATGCCTGGGTATTGTTTCGGCAGGTAATGGTGGAAAAGAAATTTCCTTTATTACAGTGATTTTGATGCTTCATATTGGACTTTTACGGTAGCTTTATGAGTATTTTCTGTGGTCGCAGTATGTAATCACTAGTGAACGAGGACTTCTGCGACATGCTATTCAGCAGCTGAAAAAAATCCCTCTAAAAGAACAACGTGGGCCTCAGGAGCGCATACACTTGAAAACCTTGCAGTGCAGGGTTGAAAATGACGAGATATCCTTCCTGGAGTCCTTCTTGTCACCTATAAGGAGTTGGGCCGATAAGCAGCTGGGTGACTACCATCTGCATTTTTCCGAGGTTTTACCTTATAACCATTACGTTCAGTTAGAGGAGTTTCGATTCAATAACAGTAATTCATATATAGGATCAGCCTTTTTCCTTACTTTTGTCTGCTGAACTGTTCGCTTGCTTATGTGGCATTGCGTTTTCCTTATGAATACATAAGTCTCAGTAGTGTCCAGAAACTTGACGCATCATTTACATGTAAAATTCTTCCATATGCATGCCAAACAAATACACACGCAGTGACACATGTATGTATTTGCATTTAATTTTTATATCTTACATGAATTTAAATGAGAGCATATTCACCTCAGGCTCCTTATATCTATTTTACTTCGAAATATATTTCTATTGAAAGGGCGTTTTTTTTTCTCTATCTATACCACTGAAGGTAGTCATTTTTTTTTTCTTTTTCTCTCCAACTTTTTCAGGGTTCACTTGTCATGGAGGATACAGTTACAGTTGCAATGATAACTTGGAGGCTTTTGTTGGAGGAATCTGATAGAGTATGTAACCTGTTTATAGTGGAGCAATGGTGACATAGTTTGCCCTACTTCACTTCTGTACTTTTAACTGAGAATGATGGTTATTATTCTCTACAGGCGATGCAATCTAACTCTTCAGATCGAGAGCAAATTGAGTCCTATATTTCATCTTCCATCAAGAATACGTTTACAAGAGTAAGTGTTATATTAAACTTCTATATGCTCGATCAACTATGGCATATAAGTTCTCATTTATGCCCATTCTAAGAATTGAGCAAATTCCGTTTCCAATGTGCACAATTTGACACACCTTATGGAATATATGATGGGGCTGATTCTGCAATTTACAGATGTCACTTGCCATTGATAGATCAGACAGAAATAATGAACACCCTTTGGCATTGCTGGCTGAGGAGACAAGGAAACTTATGAAAAAGGACTCCACCATCTTTATGCCAATTTTATCTCAGAGGCACCCACAGGCGATTGCGTTTTCTGCATCCCTTGTTCACAAGCTTTATGGGGTCAAGTTGGTAAGCTTGATGCTGGCGTCCCATATTACTTTTTGGTTGTTACATTTCATTCATAAATGACATATTGACTTTGTATTTTGTTTCAGAAACCTTTTCTTGATGGTACTGAACACTTGACTGAGGATGTTGTCTCTGTTTTTCCTGTGGCGGATAGCCTTGAGCAATATTTGCTGGAGTTAATGACCTCTGTCTGCGGAGAGGATACAAATGGTCCTTACTTCAGAAAATTAATTCCATATGAGGTTAGACTCATTTGGTTTACTTTGAAATCTAGGAAGACTGGCTTAAGCCACCTTATAAACATGGTCGAATTTAGCGATACTATGTTGGCTCTAATATTTCTGAGTTTTATATCTGCTAGCTCGAATCTCTCTCTGGCACATTGGTTTTGAGATGGATCAATGCACAGCTGGGAAGAATTTTAAGTTGGGTGGAGCGAGCTTTTAAACAAGAGGTGAGATTTGGTCGTTTGCTGATCTGTTGAAGAATGGCTTTCCTTTCCTCTGTGCTTTTATATCAGCTTTTCCAAACCATAACACATCTTATCTATTCTGTATAGCATTGGGACCCAATATCACCTCAACAGCGGCATGGGAGCTCAATTGTCGAAGTTTTCAGGATTGTAGAAGAGGTATGTATGTTGGGCGGTTTAGAGTACATGTTTTTCTACTTTTACCGAGTCTCATCAGTTGCTTGAGGCATATGTTCATTTTGTGTTCAATTTGTTCGTGGCCTAACAAATTTAGAAATTCCCAAATTTTCTGCATGAGAAAGCGCTTGACTGAAGCTTTCTAATTGATGTTTTGGATAATATTTGATGCAGACCGTTGATCAATTTTTTGAGCTGAAAGTCCCAATGAGATCCATCGAACTAAGCGCTTTAATTCGTGGCATTGACAATGCCTTTCAAGTATATGCTAACCATGTCATGGAGAAGCTAGGTATGCACCATATGGCTGGTTGAATCTTCTCCTAACCTTTGAAGATTAACATATTCTCACTTATATTCTTATTAGCCACAGTTATTAAGGTTTATCTCCCTTAACCTGGACACTGATTTTCGGTCTACTGGAATATTCTGGTATCGGATTCTTATTATTTCAGCTAGCAAGGAGGATTTGGTTCCACCTGTGCCTGTTCTTACTCGTTACAAGAGGGAAGCAGCAATCAAGGTTTTTGTTAAGAAGGAACTCTTCGAGTCAAAATTGCCTGATGAAAGAAGGTCGATTAGCATTGATGTCCCTGCAACCGCTGTGCTTTGCGTTCAGCTCAATACTTTACATGTAACTTCAAGACTCGTTTCCTCCGTTCAAAGCACCATTTATTAAGTTTTGCTACTATCTATAATGATATTGTATGCTTTTCACAGTATGCTGTTAGTCAACTGAGCAAGTTAGAAGACAGCATATGGGAGCGATGGATAGCAAAAAGACCTCGCGAAAAGATTGTCATCAGTATGGACTATCTATTTGCTCATTTAATTCTGAAGTTCATCTCCCTTTACAGAGATTCTTATTCTTTCTTGAATTTATCTTAGCGTATGAATAATACTATTCTCATTTTGGCCAACTTGTAAGGAAAATCTTTGGTTGAGAAATCCAAAAGTTTTAACCAGAAGGAATCTTTTGAGGGGAGTAGAAAAGATATCAATGCAGCTCTGGATCGTATTTGCGAGTTTACTGGTGAGATGCTGTGTCTTGACTTCCTCGAAGTAATCATTATCAAAGAGTTAAATTAATCATGATTCTTTCTCACTGCAGGAACTAAGATCATCTTCTGCGATTTAAGGGAGCCATTTATTGAGAACTTGTACAAGCCAAGTGTTTCTCAGTCAAGACTGGAAGCATTAATTGAACCCCTTGATACGGTGATAAATCTGCCCTTAAACAAGTCATTTTTTAGGTGACCCAGGCATTTGTAGATGCTGATTTAGGGCTTTAAAAAGTATGGTGCCTAGAAGTCAATCGAGCATAATGATAATGCGCTTTGGCACCGATGAACATTTTTATCGACATTACTAAACTAAATTTCCAATTACCGTGAACAGGAGCTTGGACAGCTGTGTAGTGTCATAATGGAGCCATTGAGGGATCGGATAGTCACTAGCCTGCTTCAAGCATCACTTGTCTGTAGTTTAATCTCAGTTGGTTTGTTTACAATATAGTCAAGCTCTCAAGTGTGTGCCTTCTGAAAGAGGATTTGCATAATGTATCAGGATGGATTGCTTCGTGTACTGTTAGATGGAGGCCCTTTACGTGTATTTCATCCAAGCGAGTCAAAGCTGCTAGAAGAAGATGTAGAGGTCTTGAAGGTAACGCTTTCTTCACGGTCATTTTATCTTCATATCCCCAAATGCCCAAACTCATAAAAACTAATGGATGTTTCTAGGAATTCTTTATTTCTGGTGGGGACGGACTTCCGAGAGGAGTCGTTGAAAACCAAATAGCCCGTGTTCGTCTTGTTGTAAAGTTGCACGGATACGAGGTATGTACAACTCTGCTCAGCTTCTTTCTTATCCTCAACAACCTCTTTTTTACTCAAATGTGGGCATTCGCTTTTTCGATTTTGAAATATTTTTGGTTTGGGTTGGGATTGGTTTTGGATTCAAGAATTTCGGTTAATTTGGACTCACGTATACAGACTCGGGAGCTAATCGATGACTTGAGGTCTAGAAGCAGTCTGGAGATGCAGCAAGGAGGAAGAGGCAAACTTGGAGCGGACACACAAACATTGGTGCGAGTGCTGTGCCATAGAAATGATTCAGAGGCTTCTCAGTTTCTCAAGAAACAGTACAAAATCCCAAAATCCCACGCCTAATCCATACGCTTGCTGCTCCTATCTTCTCTGCGGTTTTTTGGTTTCTGTCTTTATTCAGTAACAAAATCATTTGTATAATTGATTGATTTTCACAAGTACAGGTTGTAGAGAGCTTACAATATTTACCCGAGTATTTTTATAGGTACAGTTTTGACGACTTTGTCTTGCGTATGGCTTTTGGTTTTCACCCGTGGAAATATGTGACACTGATCGAACGAATATTTTCTAAGATTTTGATAAATACCCCAAAGTACACTGAATTTTCCTACAATTTGAAAACTACACTAATGAAATGCATAACACATCACAATATAATCATATTCTTGTAAAAGAGCTAGATGTCTAAACTCCTCAAATCATATACATGCTCTAAGAATCTTGGGAAGCTCGCCTTCTTTGAAGGTAAAAGACTAAAGAGTGGTATATGTGATTAATTCACTCTCTTGGTCTGGCAAGCCATAGAGAGCTAAGAGCACGTAGCCGCAATGAATAATCGTGTATCGCAAGGAGAGCCCGAGCCGATTGTCGGGTTGTTAATATTCTTAACATCTGTTGATATGTTTGTAGCCTCAAGTTATCAGCCTGCCACAAACACAAAACAAAAAAAAATCAAATTACTTGTAAACAAGTCTTCTTTTTTCATAAGATGTTATATATGTAATGTACCTGGCGTATAAATCCTTCGAGTGTACCTAACTTGCCCATCGCCATGGCCATCTGACCCATGTAGCTAGCGACGTTCCCTGATGAACTTGAACCAAGAGTCCCGCTAGACAAAGAATCAGAGAGTGATTGCTGTAAGTTGTCCATCCCTTGAGACATAGCATCTTCTGCTTGTTGAGAAGACTCTTGCAAGTTATTTAGCTCTTGCGATTGTTGTTCCGTCAACAGCTCCAACTTATTCGCTATAAGCTGTACGTAGTAAAAAGTTGCTGGTGAAAAACAGATCATCATCATCAGAAAAATTGATTGGTCTGTGTTTTGCCTTTTGACTATTATCTTATTACCTTGAGAATTTCTGATGAACGGAAACCACCAAGCCACAAGAAACATCTCTCAGCTGGTGTTTTCCACATTCCTGATAATAAATGGAAGACATCGTTCTTAGCTGCGTTGCTCTTTATCCTGAAAAGCTCCTCATAGTGAGCTATTACCGCGTCTACAATTAGCCGAAGCTCAGCATCACTCGCATGAGCATCCAAAGCAGAACTCAGCTCCTTCATCTTTCTGTTTTTATCTTCTTGCCACCGTCTGTATTCTACATCAAATGCCATTGCCCCTGTAAAGCAGAACATCAACCAAACTAGTCCTTAGTACTTGATAATCAATTTTTTCATAATTTGTCAACCAAATCATCACTGTAACTCGTGATACAAGATGCAATGAATCCATTGGAAGCATGCACTAAAAATAACTTCCAAAAGTAACCTTTGGATAGATTCAGCTAACTTACCATTTCCAGCGGTAGAATGGGCTTGATCTCCAGAGCTTGAGATAAAGACACCCTAAGATTAAAGGAAACTGTTTATTCACGCAGAATAGCAAATAACCACACAAACAGAGCCGAACACAGTTGAAACCTGTTGCCTTGCTCTTTGCAGCTCCTGCTCAAGCTGTGTTAGCTTCAATCGGCTGTTCTCTAGCTGCTGAACATATGCCTGAAAGTGCAGTACCCATTGGACATCTTAAAGTTTGCAAATAGCCATGCTTGTAGAAAACATAAAAAAAAGTTGAAACAAAGTATTAGCATACTTTCTTCCTCAATCTGCTTTTCCTTGCAGCCTCACGGTTTTGAGCGAGCCTACGAAGCGTCTGTTGATTACAATTAACATGAAAAAAATGTAACTGATTGGCTCAACTAGAAAGACAAACTGTTCCTACATAGTAATGTCTGTATCACCTTCTGATCCAGTTTATCCTTTGAACGGTCGCTAGAGTCACCCATATGGCCTCCATCGAACTGCAAAAAAACTGTTTCATTTCACAACTCCGGCCATTTAATGAGCATAAAGACGCAACACCAAGAAAGTTTAACAAGCTAACCATTATGTTATTATGATCGGTTTCGCCATCTGTTGAGAATGATGTTCTTGGACTAATGTCTCCCATTTTATTCTTTTCATCCAAATCCCTGTTACTAAATAGTGGTACCCTTTGAAGTAGAAAACTTCTACAATTCTCCTCGTGCACACCGTATTCCACTAAAAAGAGTAAAGGCTGTCAAAGTAAGATGGTAAAACAGAAAACAAAAAATTAGAGATATAGAGAAACAAAACGATCAAAAACAACGTAGGGAAATAGTATTCGGTGTCACGAAGGATAATCCAAATACAAGTCCAAATATGACGCAGGACTATTGATGTTAGTAAAGGGAAACTAATAAAAGATCTAGTCCAGAACCTCTTGATTGCAGGACAGGAAAATAGAAAGAGCGCTTTGAATTTCATCAAATGTACCACTTATAAGACAGAAACATACAAGAAATCTAATAATACGTTACATCAAGTTGAACATAGACACATACAGATACAAATCACTGAGCTTAAACATAACGTAGCGTGAAGCAGCCTTATGACCTGAAGAACTTTGCTCAAACCCAGAGAATTCAAAGTAAACAATAAGCAAGCCTACATGATTTAAAGTGGGAACCAACGAGTAACATAGCATAAACTTGATTTTCTAGGCAAGAGAATGAAAGTAGAACTACAAGATTCAAACTTTAGCGCGCTAGAAGCAATAGCTCGCCCCAGAGACACACAAAATTCGAGCCTGATAACATCTAATACCGAGCAATTTCACTTCTGTAGTGTCAGAAACGATGATTTGGTTCCTGGTCACGTAAGAGGAACTACATAAAGCAAAAAAAAAAGATCCTTTTAAGGTCAAACTGAGTCTACGCTTCCATGATAGAACCTATAAGCAGAATAAGAAAACAAAAGAACCTAAAGCCTAAAGACTATTGAAGGAGAAACTCACCTGGAGAGTGGATCCTTCAGCTTAACCCCGAAAAAGGGTTGCTCGGGAAAAGGGATTGAAACAAGCACAGCAGAGATACGATCCGAAAATTTCAATCACCCACGACGTCGAATTTTCTAGAACACAACAGATACGAGGAACAAGGTCGCTAATTTTGTTTCTTCGTTGAGGTGTGGTCTTTATGTTGTACGATCTTGAAAGTGAAAAGAAGCAGGGAAGGGAAGACCAAGTGAAGTGATGGTGGACCTATAGAGATGCTGAGGGTTTAAAAGTCCCCAGTGAGAATGCAATACACTCTTCTTCAAAAACAAAAATATTCTTCGGTTTTGATAGTGACAAGTCTTCGTTTTTTTTTCTTTCAAATAAACTATCCAGACTATTTTACGTAATGCAAATTTCAGACTTTTTTTAATGTCTTCATAATTGACAAATTTTAAATTTTTTTTTTTGGAACAAATTAAAAAATAACTCTTTTTATTAGAATAATAATACTTACAGTGAAGGTATTCGAATGTTCTCTACGCACATTGACTCACTTTTTAACTAATTGGAGATATAACATTTTGGAAATATTTTTTATTATTATTTTATCTCCACTATCTGATCTGATCTGTGTAAAGTCTGAAGCAGAATTCCCTTACCAACATTTCAGACACTCCTTCTATAAAATCTCAAAACTCAAATATAAAATTAAAGTATTAAGATTCAATTATTTAGCAAAAAAAAAATTTTAAGATTCAAGGTACCTTTATGTTGTCATTAACGAATGCAAAAAAATGAAAACACCTTTATCACAACAACAACAAGAAGAACATAAACAAAATTCAGTAACCTTTCTAATAATCAAAGAGATATAAACATTAAAAACTTTCCAAATGCTAAAAAAAAAAAGAAACCTGATGGCTACAGCTAAACAACATGAATTACCAACCAAACCATTTTAAAAACCTACAGACAAAGAAGAGTCTTCGTGTTCCCAGAGATTGCTTATTCGTCGACGGATTGCCTATGAAGAATCTGACAAGTTAATAAATAGTCTCTCCTGGTTTGTGTCCATATGGATTTTGTACAGCTGAGTGACCAAAATACAATTTTTCACTCTCTTGGTCGAGCAAGCCATAAGGAGCTAAGAGCTCGTAGCCGCGAGAAGTAATCATGAATTGCAAGTATAGCACGCGCTGACTGTCGCGTTGTCAATACTCTTATCATCTGTTGCAATGTTTGTAGTCTCAAATTATCAGCCTGCCACCACCAAAGAAATCAAAATTTTGTTTTTTCATTACCCTATTGATCACATTCTCAAGATGTTACATCTTAAACAACACAAAGTGTAGACTTTTTGTTGTACCTGGCGGATGAATCCTTCGAGGGTACCTAACTTTCCCATTGCCATGGCCATCTGGCCCATGTAGCTAGCGACATTCCCTGATGAACTTGAACCAAGACTCCCGCTAGATAAAGTATCAGCTAGTGACTGTTGTAAGCTCTCCATCCCTTGAGACAAAGCATCTTCTGCCTGCTGCGATGTCTGTTGCAAGCTATTTATGCCCATCATCTGTCTCTCTGTCATTGGCTCCAACTGATTCGCCAGAAGCTGTGTTTGCACACATTGTTATTATCACCAATTTTTTTTTTTTTGTTTCTCTGTTGTTCCTATGTAAACAGATGAAACCGATGAAGACTAATGGAATTTGACCTGACCTTGAGAAGTTCGGATGAACGGAAGCCACCAAGCCATAAGAAACATCTCTCAGCTGGTGTTTTCCACATGCCGGATAGCAAGTGAAATACATCATTCTTAGCTGCATTGCTCTTTATCCTGAAAAGCTCCTCATAGTGAGCCATCACACCATCGATTATTGTTCGAAGCTCAGCATCACCTGCATGGGCATTCAGAGCTGACCTCAGCTCGTTCATTTGCTTGTTCTTTTCTTCCAGCCATCGTGAATGTTCAGCATCAAACGCCAAAGCGCCTGAAAGAAAAGAAGTTATACATGATCAAAAACCAATCCATGAGATTCGTCATCATGTAAATCTACATCTACACCGGTGCTACTTAAACGAACAGTGTTTGGTATCAGAATAAGTTACCAACCATTTCCACCAGTAGAATGGGCCTGGTCTCCTGTGCTTGAAATGAAGACGCCCTAAAAGCGAGAAATGTTCATTTATGTACACAGAATCACAAAAAGATAATCAAAGAAATAAGAGACAAATTTGAACCTGCTGTCTTGCTCTTTGCAGCTCCTGCTCAAGCTGGGTTAGCTTCAACCGGCTGTTCTCCAGCTGTTGAACATACGCCTATGGAGGAAGCATATAAAAGGACTTAAGGTAAATAGATATCCTTCTAGGGATGCAGCACTTTAGAAAAGGAAAAAGTCAAGAAACAAAGAACCAATAGGAGGTATATTACCTTCTTCCTCAATCTGCTTTTCCTTGCAGCCTCGCGGTTTTGAGCAAGCCGACGAAGGGTCTATGAATCAAAATAAAAGGAAACAAAAAAAAAAGATTTTACGTTGGCTCAATAAAAATGGTTATTTTATCTATAGAGATGAAGATATCACCTTTTGATCCAACTTGTCCTTCGATCGGTCACTAGAATCAGAAGCAGCAGTATTTAGCAGTGCTCCTTCAGACTGCATGAAATTAACACCAGCAAAATTTATTGAAATCACACTCGTTTGAAGAACATAAGTGAGAGAATTTATCCAGATTATGAGCTTACCCCAAGATCTCTATGATCTGTGTCTCCATCTGTTGAGACATCAGTTCTTGGACTGGTATCAGCCATATTACTTTCTCACCAACTTTCTGCACTAACACTTTTGAGCGCAGAGACAATATTTACTTCTGGCCTCTCCTCTAGAAGCAACTTCTTAAGATTTTCTTTTGCGTGCACAGATTTTAACTATACGAAGAAGTGACTGCCAAGATTCTGAAAGACAAAAAAAAAAAAAACAGAAAAAACGAAGTTAGCTGATAAGGTTATAAAGAAAGAAAAAAAGGAAAGACTAAGAAAGCTAACAAGAAGGACCTACAGGAGATGGATTAGAAAACAACAGTTGGTCATCTAGACCATCAGCTGTATTACGTATCATCTGTTTCCCCAACATAGTTTTCAATTATGGACTATAAATTCAAACAACGTTCTCTAGTATATGGCATGAGAGAAGAATGCTAGAGAGTCATTTAACTATTCAACACAGAAGAATCCTCAAAGGGAAATCCTGCTGACTGCCAAAAGTCGCAAATTCAAGAATATAGGAACCATTGGTTTTTGCTTGCCAGACTAAATGTGAAACAAATATGCAAACATATGTACATAGACTAACTGAATCTGGATATCACTTTAAAGAAGAGAAATTGTTAGTTAAAACAGGAACAAATAAAGACCCCTACTCCTTAAAAAGACTAGCTTTAAGGCAGTTCCATTGAGTAGAGTGATGAAATGAAACCCTGCCATCAATTTCTCCAAACATACATGTAGCTTTCATGAAACCCTTCAAGACTGAGAAACCATTCCATATTTCAGCTGTAATGACACTGAAGTAGCTTCAGTAGCTGAGTCGCTTGGTTTGCAACTCCAATTAAAGCAAAAGCTACTCAGTGTTCAGATACGAGTTAACTCAATTCTACTCAGTATTCACATCGTAAAGTAAAAAACTAAGGATCCAAAATCTAGAAACCAGCGATATGAAGCTGCAGCTATGAATTCAAACCAAGAAAGTACTAAGAATTAAAGGGACACATAACATGTTGACATTTCAATCGAAATATCCGAATTAGATGATTTTGGTCGCTCAAAAAAAAAAGAAACTTTTTAAGCTTCTGAAAGTCAACTAGGTTCGCTTGTAAAGCAAAACATAGAGCTGGAAAGAAGCTTCTAATGACTGTGAAGCAAAACAAAGAAGGAGAAAACTCCCCCTCCCAAAAAAAATATATGAAAAAGAGAACCCTAGAAAAAAACTTGCTTTGAGGAAGAAACTGACCTGGAAAACGAAAATCTTTAACCGGTGAAGGAGTAAAAAAAAAAGGGTGAGCTTGAAATCGGATTGAAACAAGAAGCAGAGAGAGACACGATCCGAAATTCCAATCTCCGAGACGTCGTTTTGTCTACAAATCTTACCAGTTCCCCAAAAGAACCTCCCGATGAATTTAACGGGAAATTTCAAACTAAACCCCGGACGTTTTTTATTTTACAATAAACGAACTCTATTCTCTTATAATTGCAAAAGTCATCTCTTACTTTTGTTTTTATCTTTTTCTTAAAAGTAGATTATATACGTCATTGCTTTCCTCCTACACCATTAAGCTCGGCCGATCAGACATATCGAACAGCCATCTAAGAGTTAGTTTTAAAAAGTATAACCAAAATTTGTAAAAAGTGATGTTTAGAAAATGAATTGAATTGATAACTAAAAGCTTGTTCTCAGGTTCTTCAAGTGGTACAAGTAGGTAAGTTGAGGACACGCGAGGGGCACGTGCGAAGTATTTTGATAAAATCGGTTTTGACTTTTGAGTGGTTCGGTTAAGCTTTAAAACCAGAGCTCATCCGTTTTCGTGGATCATATCGAAATTTGTTATCGTCCGGTTTTCTCTTCTTTCTTTCTCGGAAATCATCGGAATTTGGTGTTCGACAAACTTGTAAAACTTATTTCTTGTTCTTGGAACACTAGAAGACATTACGGAAAATGATTTTATTTCCGAGTTTTGATTAGTGAAAATATATAGATTAATCAACAAAAGTCTTCCATCTCGTAATTAATTTGAAAATAGTAGTTCAACACAGTAGTTGTTATTTATGTAAATCTAAATCATGTGTTCCAAATATTAAGACAAGAGACATAATAACTATGATCTGAGAGATATGGTAATGATGTTTAACCTGGATCAAGAAGAAAGAACACACCGTACTGTTCTATAATGGTCGTTAAGCTCGAGCCAACCAATTCCAGGCTCAACTACAACGTCCATATCCTCCACATGTAATGCTTTCACCCTCTATAGTTTGAAAGAAGATTTGAATGAGCATAAGCGGCATAATTTCACTAACATCTACACGCACACTGTAAGTTTAAATGTAAAAATGATAAAAGACAAGTCATGTCAAAGCCAACAAATCAGGGTAGCAAAAGCAGGAAAGATCAATCCACCAAGAAGCTATATACCCCCAAGGCCCCAAGTAATATAGCATGTTCAATTGTAACGTCTGAGCAGTGAGATCGTCTACAAGTCAAACTTACAAACCTTATATTTGTTGCAGGATTTAAGAATCTTGGAGACTTCTTCTTCGGACCTAAACAATATTTATAAGCAGAGCCATTCTCAACAACTGAGCTGAATATAGATGGCAAAAGAAAACAATGCACAAGAGAGAAGTGTGACCTCGGGAAAACAACAACATCAGGAATGTTTACTGACTTGTGAAAACTGTTCTGAGGCTTTCCATGGAAGTACCTCTCATCGTAGTCCGTTGTCAAGTTAACCTTAACACACAAGGAAATAGTCAGGCAGCTGAATTCAGAAACACTGCTACAGATTAAAAATCCATTTCCTAATGATGACAATGCAGTTTTGCAGAAATATGCTCTCCACAGCAGAAAAATCAGAAATTTCAAGATAGAAATTGCCCAAAACATGAATAGAGAAAACAAATTCCAAATTTTTTTGCAGCACATCGAGGATTATTTTCAATTCGGTAATAAGCTGATGATTCGCTGATAGAAGGCTGTGACTGGTTCAGGAACGCGAAAGTGGTGGCGGAAGCTGCAATCGCCAACGGGACAAGAGCAGAGCTCGACCACCAATTCCGGCGACCTTTCTCCGTAGAAACTGCGGTCAACTCATCAGCTGTCTTCGCCGTCGACTGTAACTTCCGGCGACAAGGCCGGAGAAAGGCGGAAACAGTTTTGGAGGAGAAACGAGAGCGACCCAACCATGAAGACAAGGCCATGGATGCCAAAATGCGAATAGCTTGCTTCGACCCAGAAAAAGAATAAAAAGAAAAAAAAAAGGATTTAATGCAAAACGGCAATGGATAACAAGTAAAACGCATATAACATCGATTGATGTTAATAAGTAGAGCTAGGAGCATTGCTACTATTTTCACTAAATTATGACCAAAACGACAATTTGATATATAACAAAACGCAGATGAAAAAAAAATAATAATAAAATAATCGCGTGACATCACGCTCTGCGACATAAAACCAATAATATTATTACACGTGCGATGAGAGAGAGAAAAAAAGAACTTATTCAAAGCAAATATAATAATCATTCAAATAACAGAACATATTTATGTATATCAATATTTCGTGGATCATATCGAATTTTGTCATCATCCAGTATTTTGTTCTTTTTCTTTTCTTTCTCAAAAATCATCGGAATTTGGTGTTCGACAAACTTGTTAAACTTCTTTCTTGTTCTCAGAACACTAGAAGAAATTACGAAAAGTTGTTTTATTTACGAGTTTTGATTAGTGAAAATATATAGATTAATCAACAAATGTCTTCCGTCTCGTAACGTTTAATTAATTTGAAAATGTAATTTAACAGAGTATGTAGTTGTTATTTACGTAACTAAATAAAATAATAATTTTACATATTTTGCTCATTTAATAAATAAAAATGCATTTATTGACAAAAAGGAATCCTAATGTTTACTACAGTCTTTTTCGGGTAAATTATTACTCGTCAATAATCCTCTAATTCTCACTCTCACTCTCACTCTCACACTCGCTTCGCTCACTCAGCAGATCCTCTTCATTCTCTATCTGTTAACCTCATTAATGGCTACTAGATTCAGGCACCAGTTTTCAATCTCATTGGCCCTCACATTCTTCTGCTTCTTCTTCACGACATTCTCTTTCACAGAAAATGAGGAACTTGGTTTTCTTCTCAGATTCAAGGCCTCCATTGATGACCCTAAGGGCTCTCTTTCAGGTTGGTCAAACACTTCTTCTTCTTCTTCTCACCACTGTAACTGGACTGGCATCACATGTACCAGAGCTCCTTCCCTTTACGTCTCTTCCATAAACCTCCAAAGTTTGAATCTTTCTGGTGAAATCTCTGACTCAGTTTGTAATCTCCCTTACCTCACCCACCTTGACCTCTCCCAAAACTTTTTCAATCAGCCGATCCCACTTCATTTGTCTCGCTGCCTTACGTTAGAGACTCTGAATCTCAGCAATAATCTCATCTGGGGCACAATCCCTGATCAGATTTCTGAGTTTAGTGCCTTGAAAGTTCTTGATTTCAGCAGCAACCATGTCGAGGGTAAGATTCCAGAAGATTTAGGGCTACTGTTCAATCTGCAAGTTCTTGACTTGGGAAGTAATCTGCTTTCTGGTCTCGTCCCTCCTGCAATTGGGAAACTAAGTGAGCTTGTTGTTCTTGATTTGTCTGAAAATAGCTATTTGGTTAGTGAGATTCCTTCATCTATTGGGAAGCTAGACAAGCTTGAACAGCTTCTGCTGCATAGGTCAGGATTTCATGGAGAGATTCCCACTTCGTTTGTGGGTTTGACAAGTCTGAAAATCTTGGATCTTTGTCTGAACAACCTGACCGGTGAAATCACTAGATCCATAGGGTCGTCTCTCAAGAACTTAGAGTCTCTTGATGTCTCACAGAACAAGATATCTGGCTCTTTCCCTAGTGGCATTTGCAGAGGCAAAAGGCTTATTAACCTCTCTCTCCATTCGAATTATTTTGAAGGGCCATTGCCTAACTCCATTGGTGAATGCCTTAGCCTGGAGAGGTTTCAAGTGCAGAACAATGGGTTCTCTGGTGAGTTTCCAGTTGGTTTATGGTCATCGCCGAAGATTAAGATTATTAGAGCGGATAATAATCGGTTAACAGGTCAAGTGCCTGATTCTGTGTCTTCGGCTTCTGCATTAGAGCAAGTTGAGATAGACAGCAATTCCTTTTCTGGTGAAATCCCACATGGTCTTGGACTGATTAAGAACTTGTATAAGTTTTCTGCTTCAGAGAACGGGTTTGGCGGAGAACTACCGCCGAATTTCTGCGACTCACCTGTCCTTAGTATTGTAAACATCTCCCACAACAAGCTCTTAGGGAAGATCCCAGAGCTGAAGAATTGCAAGAAGCTTGTCTCTTTGTCTTTGGCGGGCAATGAATTCACCGGAGAGATCCCGACATCACTTGCTGATTTGCATGTTCTGACTTATCTTGATTTATCTGATAATAAGCTTACTGGTTTGATCCCTCAAGACTTACAGAACCTGAAGCTTGCTCTCTTCAATGTGTCATTCAATCGATTATCAGGTGAGGTACCACAATCTCTGGTCTCTGGGTTACCAGCTTCTTTTCTGCAAGGAAATCCTGGGCTTTGTGGACCTGGTTTACCCAATTCCTGCTCCTCTGGTCGGTCTAGCTTCCATAAAACAGGAGCTTTGATGTTAGCTTTGATATGTTTAGCACTTGCTCTTGCCACTTCCCTCGTCATGTCATATCGATATCACAGAAAGAAAGTCCAATTTAAGAGTACTTGGCAGTCGGAGTTTTATTATCCCCTCAGGTTAACTGAGCAGGAGTTGATGAAAGTGATGCAAAACGACAGTTGTCCTTCCGTGAGTGAAGTATACGTTCTCAGTTTATCGAGTGGGGAGTTAATAGCTGTGAAGAAGCTCGTGAATCCGAGGAATATATCCTCGAAAGCTCTGAAAGCTAAAGTGAGAACCATAGCAAAGATACGGCATAAGAACATTACTCGAATTCTTGGTTTTTGTTTCACAGACGAATTGATCTTCTTGATTTATGAGTTCACACAAAATGGTAGCTTACATGACATGCTATCGAGGCCTGGCGATCAATTGCAGTGGAGCGTTAGGTTGAAGATAGCACTAGGTGTTGCTCAAGCATTGGCATACATTAGCAGAGATTATGTGCCACACTTACTCCATAGGAACCTAAAGTCCACAAACATTCTCTTGGACAAAGATTTCGAACCGAAGCTCAGTGATTTTGCCCTTGACCAAATTGTTGGAGAAACTGCTTTTCAGTCTGTGCTACACGCCAGCTCCTACCCCTGCTACACTGCACCAGGTACGATGTCTAGTGATCATACTGATTTTGCATGTAGACTACTACGAGTGAACTTTTCGGTATCATGATCTGAAAAACTTGTGCTTTTTTCTTGATTGTATCCAGAAAACAACTACAGCAAGAAAGCAACAGAAGAAATGGATGTTTACAGTTTTGGAGTTCTACTACTAGAACTTGTAACGGGGCAAAGAGCAGAGAAAGCAGAAGGAGGCGAATCTGGAGAGTCCCTTGACATAGTGAAGCAGGTCAGAAGGAAGATAAACCTTACAAATGGAGCTGCCCAAGTTCTTGACGAAAAAATCTTGTCCAGTTCTTGCCAATCAGAAATGCTAAAGACCTTAGACATTGCTCTCAGTTGCATCGCCGTTGCTGCAGAGAAACGACTTTCAATGCTTCAAGTTATCAAAGCACTTGAGAGTATAAGCTCTTCTACCGAGAAGCTTCCAGTTTCCGCGTGAACAATATATCAAACAGAGACCATTTCTTAGCTCTGGTTTTTACTCAAAAATCAAATATTTATTGAATGGTCTTAAGTGCAAGATGGTGTGCTTTGTTTCTGGAGTGTGAAAGTTATGTATGAATGTACAAGGATAATAAGCATTGGGTTTTGAGTGTACATCTGATGAGCTTGGACTCTTTTGGTCAAACAAGCCAGGTTTAGGTTTCTTTAAGGAGTCTGTATCTTTCGTTTGTTGGAGAGAAACTAAGGTTGTCCTTTTCTTCAACCCCTTTAATGATGCCGTTGTATGGAGGAGATGTTGTCATAGAAACTTTAAGCTTGTCAATGGATTCTGCAATCATGTCTGTCAAGTGTGCACAAGAAGGACGAGAATACTGAACCGGATTGATTTGTCGGGGAAAGCTTCTAGTTGCATCTCCAGATGAGCTTCTACTCTCAGTTATGCTCTGGAAACAAAGAAACGGCATATTTTAAGCAAGAGAATATTCTTTGTATCTAGTCCCTGGACTGAAATCAACCTGTGCATTGAGTTCTTCAAGAACAGTTCCTGGGACAGGGTATGGGCAGAATTCATCTGGGGTGAAATTGCATAATATCCTTTTTATCAAATTCAAACCAATTGATGGGCAGACCTGGGAAAGAGAAAAAAAAAATATTAAACTGGAAGCTAGCTGAAGAAACCAAGCCACGATTAAACCAAAAACATACATACCTCATCTCTGGTGGAACTGTCCACAAGCATCTCTTTTGGAAGCATAAGGAGATCACTGAGTTCATTGAGCAAGTGGAAAGGTTTAAATGTCCCATCCCCTCTTTGCATATGTTGCTCCTCCAGAGAAGAATCAACATCGATCTCAAAGATGTCTGTAAGCAATCTAGACCAGTAGCCAACCTGTATAAATGTTATACTAGCATCCATGAGTTCTAAGTCGTGTCACAAGACTTTCAAGCTATAAAATTCTACAACTCTCTTCGGATGAAAACATTTACAACTAAAGTATTAAGCTGAGGAAAAAAGGGGCATGTACAACTTCAAATGATTTATATGAATACCGTGTTTTTAAGTTTTACACCAGATTCAAAGCTCAAAACCCCTGCTGGAATTGGCAGAACTCTTGGGTCACCAATGGGATCAGAGTCAGGATCAGTTGGTATCTGATGAGCCGACTCACGGAGAATAGCATTGAACATAGCCACATCAAGTCGTACAATGCATTGCTCCATAGCCTAGTTAGACAGAACATGTCAGTTCAATCCAGTAGAGAGAGCACCATTCCAAGGGAAGGAAAAGAGAGTGTACCATTCTGGTCAACACATGCAAACAACCACATTTACGCCTTGCTGCTTGAACAGGACAGAGCCGGTGAAGAGCCTCCTCAAAAGCTTTTTTCCATAGGTTTACCGAAAAGCTCTCTTGTAACCGGTCACATGTTGCTGGTTCTGAAAAATTCCCCATCATATCACCCATCGTCGAGTCTACTCCTTGAGGTCTCATAAAAACAATCATTACCTACCAGAAGGAGTGGGAATCTAAAGCCATTTAATAAATGCATCTTGCTTTAAAGAAAGGATGGTCCATAGCTTTTTTGGTTTTTACCTGTGACCATATGGATTCGACTGCTTGGGTGAATAAACATGATTCAACTCTTCGTAATGCCTCTATCAGAGTTCTTGCATCTGTCCAGTCTTCTTCAAGCGATTTTGATCCATTTAGATTTGTGCCACCAAATTCATGTGAAATGATCTCTCGCAACATGACAGTGTTGGACAACCAGAAAGTTAACCTGAGCCAAGAAATAGACAAGCAACATAATAAGGTTTACCAGATCCTATAGAAACATATATATATAGACCAATAAACATCTAATTTGATTACCTCGGTACATCGCTTCCACAGGATTTCAACACCAAGAACAGACCAGAGACGATGTTTTTGGTTACTGAGATTAATTTGTTATCATTCTGACTTTTTCTAGCAAGTGCGTAGAGTCTAGAAAGGTCTCGTGCAGGTCTGTGCAGCTTGTGTGCTAAGCTCCCATGTTCTGGAAATACAGAGTATAGTGACATCTCAAGAGTAGCCACTTCTTTCAACTCATCTTCAAGTTGCTCGATTCGAGATTGCAGGGTCCCGATCTTTTGAGTTAAGACTTTCTCTACTTCACTTGTTTTGTGTTCCTTGTCCACAGACATTTCACTGTCACTTTCAGTGTTATTAGCACTATTTAAAGCATCTTCGAACTTGTCATCTTCTTTGGCCTCCTCGAAAGGCTTGGAATCAACTGCTTCAGAAGAGAAAGCCTTCTGATTTTCTGAGCTTCTATAAGAGGAGAAATCAGACAGAGATTTTGCCTGGCTTTTACTGGATCTTACGGTCTTTCTAGCAGTGCTGTGGAAGGTATTGGATCGAGATCTAACCGAATTGACATTGGTTCGTCCCTTTGATGTGACAGGTCTCTCCTGGGAGCTTTTGCTCTTTGAAGCCACTGATGGCCTGTCTGATCTCTTATCTTCAGGGCAAAACAAATCACCTTGAGAATTATTGTTCGTTTCAGTGTCTGATTCATGGCCGTTCACTTCTTCTTCACAATCCATAAGATTCACATCATTCCTTGGTTTCTCGTTAGCATCATCCATGTAATGCACCTTCACATTGTCGTAGACTTCAGAAGACTCGGATCCAGTTGTTGAATCATTTACAGTGAGTGAAGAAGGCTCAGACGCAGTCGCGTCCAAGACTCTGGAAACCAGCTGAGCCGCATTAAGCGGCTTCAAGCCATTCCCTTGACTACTAGAACGCTGTTTCTGATCTTTCTTTGCCAAACTGGCACTGTTTCTTGGCTGCGAGTTAGTCGAAGTTCTTGGCCTCTCGAATCTTTTCATAGCCTTCTAACCACCTGGAAAAATCTGCAGAGGACTACTAAGAAAATGAAGTTTGAACTTTTTCAAGCCAATCACATTCTGCAGTAGAAAACAAAAATACTTAAATGTCTATGACAGAGATTATAATGATTATGATCTTTAGAGACAAGCAAGAGAACATGAGCACTACGTGCATCACCGACTAAATTGTCGAACACCTTACGGACATTGATTATTATAGTCTCATCATAACTCGTGACAGCAAGAGATGTTTCCTCATAGACAAACAAACATTTCATTCATTCATGAGAATGAGATTCACACAAACTTCATAATCATATTTTAATTATATATTAAAAATAAGAAATTAATTAATAATCTAGCAGACAATATTTGCCGCTTAACACGACACATGAGGGCAATTAACATATGAGCACGTCTTGCTCTTAATAGTTAATTAAAGACAAAAAAAAACGAGTCTCTCTCTCTCTCTCTCTCTCTCCCCGTTAAGGAAAACGACATTGACGTCGGAAAAGATTTGATGATGATGATGATCGGATTCTAATGTGAAATGTGATCGACGAAGCTAACAATGACGTGAATGAAATTCGAAAATTCTCTCAAGGATGCATTGAATTTGTATAAATACAAACCTTGAAACAGAGCTCGAGCGACGAGATCCAAGTTGGTGATCTGAAGAATCAGGATCAAGAAAAGAGCAGAGAAGAGAAAATGGAATTGAGAGGGGTGGTGCTTTTGTTTGTGAGCGTATTTGCAGGGAAAAAACAGTTATTGTGAGTTTGACTCGGGTTTAAAAGAGGATTAAGGTGTAAGCAATGTCTCTTTCTCTCTTTGGATCGGTCGGTGATTAGTTTAAATCAAAATCAATTTGAAGAGGATCGGTTACACCAAAAGACAGACGCTGCGTCGTGGTCTTCACACTCCATTTTACCATATATATATTTTCATCAAATTTTAATATTTATATGGATCCAAAAATCGAATAAAGATGGTTGAATGGTAAATTGATACTAATTACAGTATGTTTACGTGAATGTTGAAATATATTATTAGCTCAGGGATCAAAATGGAACAAGTGGGTCCGTCCAGTAAGAAATTTAATGGTATGTTTATTGGAATTTACTGTATAACTCATAATTGCGTTTAGGCCTTATGAGATTGTTGAAAGAATTATATGCATAAAGAAAGAATCACATGTATGTGTCTATCTAAAATGGTACAAAGAACAAACAAAAAAAAATGCTTAGGCAATTGAATTATGACCGTGGGATCTCTAGAGTGTGTGATATCCCATGAATTACAAAGCTGGAAGAAGAGAACATATCTGGAGCTACAATCTCAACTCCCGAAATCATGAAAACTCGAGACGAATTAACAACATTTCTCCGTGTGATTATGAGATCTTGGTAAGGATCCAATGTCTTGAGTGAGGTTTTATCAGGCATCGATGCAATATCTTCGTTGGTAAGCCGTTGGACTAGAATGTGACGTCTCATAGTCTCATAGAGCAAAGGGGAAGCAGATGATAAAGAGACCAGATTCGGTGTAGCTAGAATCGTTACGCCGGTCAAGTTCTTGTCTTGATCTGCAACAATCCTATTGAGAACAGAGTGCAATCCAATGGCAAATGGCACAAACCCATTTGAACTTAGCAGCTGAACAATCCGAGTCCAATCTATCTTGACCGTAACTTGTTCTTCTTCTCTGGTTGTGTTTGAATCAGATTGACACAAAGATGGCTGGAGGATATAATGAGGTTGCAGAGGAGAGAAGGGTCCAAGAACTCCGTGAATAACTAATGAATCTCCAAGAAACATGTCGGGATGCGAAATCAGGGCATGGTTCACTTCTGCTGTTCTTGATTCTTTATCGACGGTGGAGATCTCGACGTTCTTGTGACGGAGAAGCGTGGGGAGACAGGTTCCTTGAGGAATCTTGAGAAGTTCGTTCATCGGAAGCTTTAGAGGGAGTGTGTGATACTGAAGAAGCTGTTTGAGAAACAGAGGAGGAAGCGATGACGTGTTGAACAAGGAAGAATCGTCCATGGCGAAAATGGTTGTGTTGGGAGATGAAGAGAGGAAGATCTCGGGGGATATGTGGAGGAGAGTGGCGATTGCTTTGAAATTTGATCTGCTTAGAGCATTCGAGGCGTTTAAGGAGAGAGGATGAGTAATGGGTCTGTTTGGTTTTGTCAAGTCGGAATCTGGAGGTGAACGTAGAGTGGTGGAGACGGCCATGAAAGCTAGTGCAACGGAGAGGACGAAGTAAACAAAGCAGTCCGATGAACAACAACCCATCGCTTACAAAGATAAACTCTAACGGAGACGAAGAAGAAGAGATAGTTCGTCAAAGAAATGTTTTCTTGGAGTGATTTTGGGTCTAACAAAAGAGTTTTTCGACTTTACCGTTTGGGTTTAGTCTTGTCGTTTTATCTTATAGTCATCTTGTCAATTAACCCTTTTCCAGTTTTTAGCTTCTTCAGGCATTTTACTTCTGGACAAGAATCTTTTATATAAATCCTAATAATTAATAGGTCTGAATCATTTTTCTTATAAAGATCGTCAAAATCAACAGACAAAATTAACTATATTAAGTCTGCCTGAAGACATTTGTTCCAGACTTCCAGTGATGAATACCGACTCCAATTTTTAAAACACATTCTTCTCCAATGGCAAGCACAGTACTAGGAAACAACTCTGTTTTATGACCTTTCCTTTCCTTTCGACTTCTTGGATGATCTCCGGCTCTCAATCCTTCTCTTGGCAGCTTCAAATTCTTCTTCAGTGGGCTCTGCTTCAGCATCACCACCATACCTAGAGATGAGTGATGAGAACATCGAATCCACCTTCCCTTTCCTCTCATCCATTCGCTGCGAAATCAACAAGGCAAGATCTGTCTCTGAATCTTTTGCTGACCTACAAGTATATGCAAATTGAAAGGAAGCGAGGTGGTCACAACAAAGTCAAGTTGAGTGGTGGAACTAATTTGAAACAGAGGCAGAGACTTTACTTCTGCCTCTTCCTGGTTGGATTGGTGGGCGGCTTCGTTTCTGAAATTTTCTTTGCCCATTTCTCATATGCCTTGCTTGATTTCACTTCTCCTGAAAACGAAATCAGTTGTATTGCACAACACACTCATAATCAGCAAGCCTCCCAAAGTTCACAAAGATTTCAAATCAGGTTCTTAACTAGGCTAGAACCAAACTGGAACCAGCAAATATAGATTGGTACTGAAATATCAAACACTCAGCTCAAGGGATAAGGTACATTTTACAACATTAATTCCATTGCTTTATTAACATTGATCCATGTTCAAATACGAGGAAAAACTCATTTTGTAACGTCAAGGATTTGATTTGTTATACGAAAAGAATATATTCGATTTACAGCAATATAGACTACCTGCTGCAATGGCCTCATCAAGAATGTCTTTGAAACGATGTGAATCAAGCTTGGGGTCCGAGCAAAGCATTGAGCAGAATAGCCTGGGAAGGAAATATATATATAATCAATCTCACAACCTCAACAAAACCGAAAGTGAAGGATAATGAATTACCTGTTCATTTTACCCTTAAACTTGCTGAACAGCTCAATCAGGTCTTTCTTCTCTGACTCAGAACCCCTGTAGTTTGCCTCAAACTCTTCAATATCTGCTTCAGTGACCTAAATCAGCAGGGACATAAAATCGAGTTAGTGTAGGCAGCAGAACATATGTGTACAAAGTCCAGAAAGTACCAATTGAATAAGTTGCTGCTACCTTCTTGTACATGGCCTGGAAGAAATCCCGCAAGTTCTCAAATGCATCGCCAGAAAGATCCTACCAAGCACGGAAAATAACCAATTGTGAGAAATCTCAGAATACAATTACAGAAGTTAAAAGCTTTATTTAGACTGCATTATGTGAATTGGGAATTTCAGTCAAAACCATCAAAAAATTTACCAAAACGGCAAATGCGAAAAGGTTAAGTTCAAAGAAACAGAGACTCACAGCATCATCAAATGAGCCAGTTTGATCATAGACTGCCCTTTTCTCTTCATCCCCAAGAATCGACATCACTTTTTGCAACTGCTGGAATTTCTCTTTAGCTTCCTGTTAAAAAAACACAAGAGTAGCAGTTCCATGTAAATGGACCCTCCAAAAAAAAGCTCAAAGGAAAGAGCAAGAAAAGAGTTGTTTTTTAACCTCATCATCCTGGTTTTTATCAGGGTGAAGCCGTAATGCCAATTTATGATATGCTTTCCTAATTTCCTGTGGAGTAGCTGTTCTTTCAACTCCAATAACCTTCAGTAAGTAAAAGAGAGATTAGTTTGTCTCATCCATCTTATGTGTTTCCGGCAAAATCTAAGAAGAAAAAGTAACATGCTTGAGACACTGTTTAGGCCATTCTGATACCAAATAAGCAAATAATACTGGCTACTGACAAAGTAGTGTTCCGGATTGAGACATCAAACACACAAATTAACAAAGGATTAGGACAATGAAAGTAAAATCCAACTACTTTCTCAGAATCGTATAATAAATCAAACCGATTTCCAAAGTAGCAACAAAAACTGAGACCCAATCTAATAGACCCTAAATTACGCTAGAGAAAAGAGCAGAGGTTCGGGGGAAGATAAACCCTAAATACCTCGTAAAGGCTTCTCTCACAAGATGGCGCATCGTTAATCTCATCTTCCTCGCCCCTAGATTCCTTTTTCCTACCCATCTGAACCCTAATAGATCGATACAGAGTAATAACTGGCTCTGGAGATTGGAGTCGGCGACTTAAATGCTTTCACAGAAGATCTATCTGGGCGCCAATTCCTTCCCCATTTTTAGCTGAAGAAGATTTCCTTTTGGAATTTTTTTTGATTATACAAGAGTAAACTCATTTTGATGAAACTTTACTGTTGACTGAAAAAAAAAATGAAACTTTGGTAACAAAACGACGCCGTATTAGGTTAAAATAATATCCAGAATGTTTGTCGTCAGGTCGTTATCAACCAAGAATCTTGTACTATTAGATCCTTCATGGCAACAAGACAAGTTTAAGTATGTGAGCTCTTTTATATAACATCTTATACTAGTTTTATCCTAATCAGGACCATCAAACATACAGTTATGGTTACGATGAATTTGGATATTAATTACACATCATGTTCCTATCTCTTCTTCACATTTGTTACCATCTTCCTTCTTCACAGACTATTCAGCTCCTCTAGTCGCCGAGGTCTTCCTCCAGGACCGCGAGGACTTCCGCTTCTTGGTCATATGCATCTTCTACGGTCAAGCATCCCTCGTTCTTTGCAAGCCTTGGCTCACACGTACGGTCCTCTCATGACCATACGCATCGGATCACTTCGAGTCCTCGTTGTCTCAGATTCCGACACAGCTAAGCAAATCCTCAAGACTCACGACCCTGATTTCGCCTCCAAGTTCGTCTTTGGTCCGAGACAATTCAACGTCTACAAAGGAGCAGAGTTCTTCAATGCACCTTATGGACCTTACTGGAGGTTCGTGAAGAAGCTATGCATGACCAAGCTATTCGCGGGTTATCAGCTCGATCGATTTGTAGATATAAGAGAAGAGGAAACTTTAGCACTACTGAGATCTCTCGTTGACAGATCGAGAAATGGAGAGGCGTGCGATCTCGGTTTGGAGTTCACTGCTTTGACCACAAAGATCTTATCAAGAATGGTTATGGGGAAACGTTGCCGCCAAAACTCGAATCTTCCCATAGAGATCAGGAAGATCGTGAGTGAGATAATGTCTTGCGCCACAAGGTTCGGGTTCATGGAGCTATTTGGACCGTTACGGGATTGGGATGTGTTTGGGAATGGTAAGAGGCTTAGATCTTCCATTTGGCGGTACGATGAGTTGGTTGAGAAGGTAATGAAGGAATATGAAGTCGATAAGAGCAATGATGAAGGAGAGAAAGATAAAGATATCGTTGATATCTTATTAGACACGTATAATGACCCAAAAGCCGAACTCAAATTGACTATGAATCAGATCAAATTCTTCATCCTTGTAAGACTATTTTTCATCAGCTTTTCTTTAGCTTTCATTATAATTAGCCTCTTTCAAAACATTTGTGTACCTCGTTGCAGGAGTTGTTCATGGCCAGCCTAGATACGACCTCTGCAGCTTTACAATGGACAATGACAGAGCTAATCAACCATCAAGATATCTACACGAAGATCAGAAACGAGATCAAATCGATTTTAGGAAACACGCATCGGTTAATCAAAGAATCAGAATTGCAGAAGCTTCCTTACCTACAAGCAGCTATCAAGGAGACATTGAGACTTCATCCAGTGGGACCATTACTACGCAGAGAAAGCAACAGAGACATGAAGATCAATGGGTACGATGTAAAATCCGGGACAAAGATCTTCGTAAATGCTTACGGGATAATGCGTGACCCAACCACATACAAAGATCCCGACAAGTTTATACCTGAGAGGTTTCTTGTTATGGAGCAGAAAACAGAGAGAACGAAGGGTTATTACCAGCAATATATGTTGGAATTAAAAGGTCAGGATGTGAATTATCTTGCGTTTGGGAGCGGAAGGAGAGGATGTCTTGGAGCTTCTCACGCTTCTCTGGTGCTAAGTCTCACGATCGGATCACTCGTCCAGTGTTTTAATTGGACGGTGAAAGGGGACGAAGGCAAAATCAAGATCAAACTACCTACCGGCTTTTCGGCTTCAGGCACTGCAGGAGGAAGTTCTCTGATGTGTTCTCCTGAGTTATATTTTGATCCATTCGGATACCAAACTAAGTAAATTTCTGCGGAGAAAACATCACTAGGAATTTGGAAACATATTTATACTCTGCTCTGCCTTTGTAATGCTCTGTTTTGTGCTTTGGTTTCGTAAACTTCAGACTTTTGATGAAATATAGATATGTTTCAACATTGTATAATCACACGACTGTAAATAAATAAACTTTTCTAATGTTATCATGAGCTCTAAAATTTTATACTTGGTAATTATCCACCTTAATTACTAATCTAACTACACTTTAAAAGGTAAAGATGTTTCTGCAGAAATACACCAGAGTTCTGAAACATATTATCTGCTCTGTTTTTCTCATGTTCTGTTTCTACTTGTAGCTGTACTCTATTTTCATAAGCTTCAGTCTTTTATGAAAAAGGAACTGTTTCAAACCTGTATAGTCTTACGACTATGATAAAGTATCCTCTTCTATTACTTTCATGAGCACCATATTTACATTAAGCAATTAATTACCTTAATTACTAACTTCATTATACCTGAAAATGGCTTAAGCTTATGCCATAATTATATACAATGAAACATTTCATATTCTGTCAGCAGATAATGACAGCTTAACAACGTTCAAGTACATTCTTCTATTTTTTTTAGTTGTTTGAAACCGACAAAACGCAAATAAACATAAAAGAGAATCAAAAACAGAGATTATACCCTCATAGAAGAGACAAAAACAGAACAAAGACAACAAGAGAAAAGAAAGAATCTTGAGGTTGGATTTAAGAGCTGTGACTTTGCACATATCCTATAAAATCATCTGAATATCGCTCTCATACACAGACAGAAACGATAATGGCGGATTTACAATACTTCTTTGTAATCATTCTTCTTTGCCTTGGAATCACAGTCTTGATCCAAGCCATTGTTACCAAAAGATTCCGCAACAAACCACCGCTTCCACCAAGCCCAATAGCTTTACCGATCATCGGTCACATTCACCTACTTGGTCCCATAGCTCACCAAGCACTTCACAAGCTCTCAATCCGCTACGGACCTTTGATTTATCTCTTCATTGGCTCCATTCCTAATCTTATCGTCTCATCAGCTGAGATGGCGAATGAGATTCTCAAGTCCAATGAGCTCAACTTCCTGAACCGACCCAAAATGCAAAACGTTGACTACCTTACTTACGGCTCAGCAGATTTCTTCTCAGCGCCTTACGGGCTTCACTGGAAGTTCATGAAGAGGATTTGTATGATGGAGCTCTTCAGCAGCAGAGCATTAGATAGCTTTGTTACTGTGAGAAGAGAGGAGTTGAAAAAGCTTCTGATACGCGTCCTGAAGAAAGCAGAAGCAGAAGAGAGTGTTGATCTCGGCGAACAGCTAAAGGGATTGACAAGCAACATCATAACGAGAATGATGTTCAGAGAAAGGCAATCGGATCGTGACGGGTGCGGTAAAACAGAGGAAGTTATCAAAATGGTGGTGGAGTTGAATGAATTAGCAGGGTTTTTTAACGTTTCTGAAACGTTTTGGTTCTTGAGAAGGCTTGACTTGCAAGGACTCAAGAAGAGGCTCAAGAATGCTCGAGACAAGTATGATGTGATCATAGAGAGAATAATGGAAGAGCATGAGTCTAAGAAAAACAAAGATGCAGGAGCAAGGAACATGCTAGACATTTTGCTCGGCATACACGAAGATAAAAACGCAGAGATGAAGCTAACTAGAGAAAACATTAAGGCCTTCATCATGGTAAAGTTTTGATATTTAGTTATATCACAGGGCCTAAAAATACTTTGAGACATTACAATATTCATAATTCATTGTTATGCAGAACATTTATGGGGGTGGAACAGATACATCTGCCATAACAGTAGAGTGGGCTCTAGCAGAGCTGATAGACCATCCAGAGATCATGAAGAAAGCACAACAAGAGATAGAGAAAGTGGTGGGAAACAAGAGAGTAGTTGAAGAATCGGATTTGTGCAATCTCAGTTACATCCAAGCAGTTGTGAAGGAGACATTGAGGTTACACCCTGGAGGACCAATATTCGTGAGAGAATCTGATGAAGAATGCGCGGTGGCTGGATTCAGAATCCCAGCTAAAACGAGGGTGATAGTTAACGTTTGGGCGATTGGAAGAGACGCTAACCAATGGGAAGATCCATTGGAGTTTAGACCTGAGAGGTTTGAAGGGACCGAGTGGAAAGTGATGAGTGAGAAGATGATGTCTTTTGGAGCTGGGAGAAGAAGCTGTCCTGGAGAGAAAATGGTGTTTAGATTCGTTCCATTAGCTTTAGCTGCGATAATACAGTGTTTTGAGTTAAAAGTGAATGGAAGTGTGGAGATGAATGAAGGGGTTGGATCATCTCTGCCTAGAGCCACACCTTTGGTGTGTGTTCCTGTTGCTAAGGAGGCTATACAATCATTTGTTCCGCTTGAACCAAAGGTCATCTTCTAGCTACATGGTTCAGAACAAGAAAATAAATAAGAGCAAGCAGGAAAACTTAACTCCCTTGTGTAAAAACCATTTTACCACACTTTTCTTTTGAAATCTTGGTCTCTAATAATATTGGTTGTAACATACAATGCATGTGAAGCGTCAAGCAGGACCATTTTTATGGATTAGCCACTCACTATGACTGATCGAAATGATTCAAAAAAAAAAGAGAAAGTTTAGAGGCAAGTTGAGATCCAAATCAGTGACAAACCAAACCAGTGAGAATGAAGCTTCTTAACCTCTCTCTTCTCTTCTTCTTCATCATCTTCTTCACACGCTCTGAAAGCTGCAAGTCAAATGACAAAACAACCCTCCTCAAGATCAAGAAATCCCTAAACAACCCTCGAATCCTCGATTCTTGGGACCCACTTACGGACTGCTGCACCTATTGGATCGGCGTCGTATGCAACCACGGCCGCATCACCGGTCTCACCATCGCCGCCGGAGAAGTTGTTGGTGAGATAGCGGAGGAGATCGGCGACCTCCGTGACCTCGTGATCCTAGACTGGAGCAGTCTCTACGGTCTCAGAGGAACCATTCCACGCTCAATCACCAAGCTCAAGAATCTAGTCTACATGCGGTTTAGGATAACCGAACTCTCCGGTCCAATCCCGGAATACATCAGCGAGCTACAAAACGTAACCTTCTTGGACCTCTCTTTTAACCGGTTCAACGGTTCAATACCTGGTTCGATTTCCCAGATGCCGAAGCTTGAAGCAATTCAGCTCAATCATAACAAATTAACCGGTTCTATACCGGAATCTTTCGGTTCTTTTCTAGGAAAGGTCCCAGATCTCTTCTTGGGTAATAATCACCTCTCAGGTAAAACTTTTCACTCAATTTTTTTGCCTAATGTTGTTTGGTATAATAACGATATGCATACATATAACATGCAGGAAAAATACCAAAAACGTTATCCAAATCCGACTTCAACACTTTGAGTTTGTCAGGAAACAATTTCAGTGGGGATGCTTCCATGTTCTTTGGACATAACAGAACAACCGTACGATTGGATTTGTCTAGGAACAACTTCCACTTCGATCTCTCAAAGGTGAAACTAGCCAAGAGCTTGGTGTCACTAGACCTGAGCCATAACCGAGTTTTCGGAGAACTTCCTTTGGAACTGACCAAGCTCCGTCTTGACCACTTCAACATAAGTTTCAACCGTCTCTGTGGAACCATCCCACAGGGCGGTCTGCTCCAGAATTTTGAGGTCTATGAATTCTCCAACAACCTCTGTCTATGCGGTGCACCGCTCCAGCGATGCTAGCTCATCGATCAAACACATTTTCGAAAATGTAGTATGAATTTTCATCAAATGCAAGATTGGATCATGTATTTATTAATCATTCGGAATGGAAAATACAGTTGTCTTGAGACTTTATTGATTTATTTTGAAAAGATAAAGCTTTGATTGCTTGAATGTTCACTTGCAACTCTGAAGAGGTGCACCACACAGACACTTGTTGTGAAGATAGGCATAAGAATCAAATCTCTGAAGATCCCCACCCTTTGGGATGCGTCCACACAGTCTGTTATAGCTAACATTGAATGACTGAAGACTAAGTTCAGTCCATTGAACAGGAATATTCCCTGTGATCCCATTGTGATTCAAGTCTAATTGATTAACTGTCTTAGCGACCTTAACTTTGGAGAGATCGAACTGGAACATGTTTCTTGATAAATCAATGGACCATGTCGTTTTGTTGGCTCCAAACAACATTGAAGCATCACCTTGAAGCTTGTTACGGGAAAGATCGATCCGGTAAATGTCGAGCTTGCCTAGTGATTTTGGTATGGAACCAGAGAGCTGGTTGTGCGATAGGAAAAGGTCAGGGACTTGTCCTTGAAACGACCCAAATGACTCTGGTATTGGACCTAATTGAAAATTCAAAAATTTGAGGTTAGATGAATTAATACTTCATTGCTGAATAACAGAGACAAATTAAGTGAGTTGTTCACCTGTAAGCTTGTTCCTGCTGAGTTCAAGAAACCCGAGTTTAGGTAACAAAGAGAGAGAGCTTGGTATGGAACCAGAGAGGTCATTGAAGGAAAGGTTTATGTACTCGAGGTTCTTGAGCTGGCTCAGAAATGCAGGAACAGGGCCGGTCAGATTGGTCCAGCTGAGCCAGAGAAAACTGAGATATTTGAGCTTGGCGATGGTGGGTTGGATTTCACCGGTGAGATTAGGGAGTTTGCGGAAGATGAGAGTTTGCAGATAAGGTAAGTCGCCGACTTCAGGCGGGATCTGAGCGGAGAGCTCGTCGTTTGATATGTCTAAGGAGGTGACGCGGTGGTTAACGGTGGCGTCGCCGCACTCAATGGAAACCCACGAGCAGCAGTCGTCTTTGGGGTCCCAGGAGATGATGGTGTAAGGGTTGTTAAGTGATTTCTTGATCTTGAGGAGGGTTTTTTTGTCATCTTTGTGACAAAGATCTTTAGAAAGAGAGGTGGTGAGGAGGAGCGTGAACAAGAACATGAACAAGAGCAATGTCGTTGTCTTACTGTTATCCATGGTGTTTCTGTATTTGTGTTTGTGTTTGATTTTTAGTGGAAACTGTAATGATTTATAGGCCAAGGCTTTGAACGGGAGAATATTGGTGGGGTATGTGTTTATGAATTATTTTTGCTGACTAGACCACGTGTTAAACATGGTGCGGTGCCGATTTTAAAAATGTCACTTTCGAACGTTTACGGTTCAATTGCCGGCCTGGTTCAATCGACTGGGTTTCTAAACCGGAAAATATATTTAAGTTTGGAGAAGTGACTATGACCAAGAGGAGAGTTATGCGCGGGAGTCCGCAAATACGAGCTTTTAGAGGCCCATATTAGAGTTAGTTGTGGCCGTTATATATGAAAACAGAGCATAAATTTTCGTCCTTCGTCTTCTTCTCTGTTAAGCTTAGGAATTTATCAAATACATTTTGAACATGTCCTATAAAATTTTCATCAAATGACGGTTGGCTTCATGCTTTTATTAATTATTCCGACTGGAAAAATACACTTGTCCTTAAGACTTGATTGATTGTTATGGTAAATTTAGAGATAAAACTTTGGTTGCTTGAATCTTCACTGGCAACTCTGAAGTGGTGCACGACACAAACACTTGTTGTGTAAAGAGTCGTAAGAATCAAACTTCTGAAGATTCCCTCCATTGAGGATACGTCCACACAGTCTGCTAACATTAAAGGACTGAAGAGGCGTTTCGGTCCATTGAACCGGAATATTCCCGGTGATGCCATTGTGATTCAAGTCCACATTATCAAGTGTCTTAGAGATCTCAACTTTGGAGAGATCGAACTGTAACATGTTTCTTGATAAATCAATGGACTTGAAATACAATGGCAATATTGACTATTAAGGTTCCTATTAAAACAAATATCTCTTTCTATAGTCAATATTGAATAACATATATGCTCACATGTCGATGTTGATTTTTTTTTTGTTGCCAAAATGATGTCGGTGTTGAATATAATGCAAGAGAATATGGCTTTCTCTTATCAGTATCCGAATGATATCCAAAGTGCGATGTCATGATGATATATAGACTATAGATAGAGAGATAGATAGAGAGAGAGAGAGAGGGAGAAGTTCTTTGATATGTCTATTCATATGAACCTTAATAGTCAATACATATGCTCAAGATGTCAGTTGGGTAATGCAAAAATCAGGACATGTTGGCAACTACGGAGTATTCGAATATGGCTTTGGTTCAGAAAAAAAAATCTTATTCAGAAAAGTTAGCTTTCTATAAAACCATATACCTCCCCTCACAGGCCACAGCATTTAAGTCACATGAATCAACATTTAAGACGTATTACAATACATATTGCTTAACAAGAACCCGGCGATCGATCTTCGTTTAAATGTCGAAGGTAGTTCAAATACGTGAGTTGTTTTAACAAAAGTTGGATCCTTTATAACTTAATAAGTTGGCTCAAAATTATTAAACCATCTATCCTTCATAAAAGAAAAGATATTGTCTATAGACTTATTGAATTCTCTGGAAAGTAGAATAAAAGGTTTAGGCTTTTAGCTCATTGAGTAAATTCACTTGCAACTGTCAAGTGGTGCACCACACAAACACTTATTGTGAAAATAGGCATAAGAATCAAACGTCTGAAGTTTTCCTCCATTGGGGATGTGTCCACACAGTTGGTTGTAGCTAACATTGAAAAACTGAAGAGGAGCTTCGGTCCACTGAACCGGAATGTTCCCTCTGATGCCATTGTGATTCAAGTCCAAGATACCAAGTGTCTTAGATATCTCAACTTTGGAGAGATCGAACTGGAACATGTTTCTTGATAAATCTATGTACCATGTGGTTTTGTTAGCTCCAAACAACATTGAAGCATCACCTTGAAGCTTGTTACGGGAGAAATCGATCCGGTTAAAATCGAGATTGCCTAGTGATTTGGGTATTGAACCGGAGAGCTCGTTGTGTGATAGGTAAAGGTCAGGGACTTTTGCTTGAAACGACCCAAACGATTCTGGTATCGGACCTACACTCAATTTAACAGTTTCTTAATATCAGATTGAGAAGATATGGCAAATAAGTAAAGAAACCGATCATTGAAATTAGAAAAAGAAACTTCTTTACCTGTAAGCTTGTTCCTGCTGAGATCAAGAGATAGGAGATTAGGAAACAAAGACAGAGAGCTTGGTATTGAACCAGTGAGACCATTGAAGGAAAGGTCTAAAAACTGGAGATTCTTGAGCTGACTGAGAAAACCAGGAATTGGACCGGTCAGATTTGTCCAGCTGAGCCTGAGGATCCGGAGGTTCTTGAGATTGGCGATGGTTGGTTGGATTTGACCGGTGAGGTTAGAGAGTTTGCGAAAGATAAGGGTTTCCAGGTACGGTAAGTCGCCGACTTCAGGCGGAATATGACCGGAGATCTGACCGGAGAATATTGTTAGGGCGTTGACGCGGTGGTTGACGGTGGCGTCGCCGCACTCGAGGCAGTACCAGGAGCAACAGTCTGTTTGGGGGTCCCACGAAGCGAGGTGGTAAGGGTTGTTTAGTGATTTCTTGATCTTCAGGAGGGTATTTTTGTCATCTTGGTTACATAGGTTTTTGGATAAAGAGTTCGTCAGGAGTGTGAACAAGAACAAAAGCGAGAAAAGCAACGTCGTTGTCTTATCCATGTTATGTTGTGCTTGTTTTTGGTATCGATTTTGAGTTTTTTATTGAAGGTATGATGATATATAGTCATAGACTGTGGAGAGATTTGTTTTGATTTGATCTCTTCTCTACCAATACATTCATAGGGACCTCAATAGTCAACATTTTAGTGGTCAACGTCGGTGTTCAATCTGTTTGGGTAATGCAAGAATACACAATATAAATATTTAAAAATGTGTTAATTTGCAAAATGGCACAATTTTTATTAATTTTTTGGGTTAAATATCTTATTTATATACATATGTCGAAGTTAGAAATGAGTATTTCTCAACAAATAATCCGAATTTATCAAGCTTTTTTATGGGAATGTTGTTAATGTACATTTTAAAAAGAAAATTGACAAGGATCATCTATAAAACTCTATTCAGACACAACAGAAAAATCATAGCACTCCAGAGAGAAGCGATTTCTATGAACAAAGACATCGTCCACGAAAAGGCTTAAGTGTGTGCTTAATTTATATGAAACGTGACTGAGGCCCAATTAATTTATTTATAACGAGCATCTATTGAAGCCACTATTATGTCCCATACAAATACAAATCTTTTTTTGGACAATCACACATACTAGATTTAATAATAAACATTTTACAGACACTAAAAAGACAGCTTGCCTTCTAAACCTAACTTGATCGTATGTATACCAGTTTTCGTTTCGTTGTACACTATTCATTTGCATAAATGTGAACCAAATTAAACCAAGAAAAATTAGATAGTATGTGACAAGTCTACCAAGTTGATTAATGTGGTGGTGTGGAAATTTCTACATAAATTAACTCACAATAATATAGCCATCATTACTAAGCATCATTGGGACAGAAAAAGCGTAACACTAAAGTTGCATCCTTTACAACTTGATAAGTTGGTTTGTAGAGATATTAAACTAAGCCTTCAATTTTATTTTTTGGTCAGACAAACAAACTAGCCTTCAATTTTTTTTTTGGTCAGACAAACAAACTAGCCTTCATAAAAGAAAGAGAACCATTCCATTTTAATATAGTGTACACACCAAGTTATTGTTAGAACCAACTGATAACCTTTTTAGATAAAGAACCAATATATACGAACTTATTCCACACCTTTTCTTTCTTTCTTTCTCTTTCTTTTGGTAAGGTTTTGAATTCTAGGCAACTAAAATTTATCTTTGTTGACAAGAAATTAAAAAAAAAAACTTTATACTCAAAAAGGTTTCTTTGGAAATTGTGGACAACTCATCTATAGTTTGTCTAATACATTATTTTCAAGAAAATTGTACAACATCCTTATGCGGATAGCTCATTTGCTATCTACGGATTACCTAAGTAAGAGTAGTGGTTAAGATTACCTTATGGTCCTTATCATTGCATTAAATACATTTTTCACCTAATGATCTGTTTGTTTCTAGCAATAGCAACGGATATCCAGTGTTCGAAATTCCCAAAAAAAATACTTCCAAAATTGACTTCAATTAACGTATCGAGAGAATTGCAATAGATGTTTGTCTTCGCTCATGAATATGATGAACGCAACAAATCAATTTTAGTTTTGAGATCACGAAAGCGTCAGGTTGGTCAATCTTGCAGTTGTTGTGTTGTATCATTGAAGTATTTGCGAAGATCTTGCATGTTCCCATTCGCACAATCAAATGTGTATGACTACAACTATAATTATGAGTATATGACGAATAATTACTGTGTTTTTCGAGTTGTACTCGTAAAACAAAGTAAACGTAAATGTTAAAGTCATATATTTAGTGCCAAAGCGGCTAATTACGTGATAATTATAACACCAACTTTCCATGTGCTACCTTTATTTCTCTCTCTGATCCGAATAACTGAATAAGCATCTAAAAAATAGCTTTTTCGAGTCTGGAACCTTTAAATTTTTTAAAAAGCAGAAGGGCAGGCTAAGTACTGATTATTAATTCTAATGCCCGCACTATAGCATATAAAAATATCTATTAAAAATATACTATATTGATCAAAGCAACAAAAAAATTATAAAGAAAATTTTCTGTTGCTTGCAAATATATATTATAGGTAGTATTTCTGTATTTGTGATCCATTTCATTTTCTCAAATCAACATATTATTATTATGAACCATATCCGCTCCAAATATAACTAGATATCTAATATTTGAATATACATTAATAATATGTAATATATATATATATTTATATATATATATGTAATCCATATCCAATCTGTTTTGGAAAAGATATTATTAAATTTAACCACAGCATATACCTATTTTACGAAACTTGAAATTTTTACGACAAGAAAAATAGTTATGTTTTCTGCAAGATTATTCCAATTTTTTATATTAATGCAAATGAAGAGAGTGTGAAAATCAACTAATTTACCTTTCTCAAAAAAAAAAAAATTATGAATGTGCATAAAGATTGAAGACCAACAACGAATCTGCTTCCCCAATTTATAAAGAATCAGCTTCCCTCTAAAAGAAGAAGGAGAAAAACAGAGAGAATAAGAGTAATTTTTTTTTCGTTTTTGCTTTTTCATCTGATTCCTCTTTTTCTGTGTAATAGAATTGTTTCATTTTCGTTCTCTCTCTTCTCCATCTCCTTGTTGCTTTATTCTTCGGTATCAACCCAAAGTTTGATTATCCAACACCCTTAACCTCTCATTTATCAAAAAAAGAAGAAACACTCTAAACATCTTGGTTTCCTCTTAATTTTTGTCCATTTATCTGCTACAGCCAACACAGAGTTTTATAGCAACTTCTTCAGCATCTTTGCTAAGGTGCTACTTTGTAAATTCGTCATTCATACGTATATATTGTACATGCATACATATGAATTCATATGATTTACTGCTCTTGAAGTACAGTTAGTCCATATAAAATAGCTCTGTTATTTTTTTTTTTGCCCTTACAATATAGATTCTCTTTCATTGATTTTGTTTGATAGCTTGTTTTTATAATTTATATACAATTTTTCTCGACTTTTTACCTCTGTATTTTTCGTTTTGGGACTAAATCTTCACTTTGTATGTACAAAAGATGATCGAAGCCAACCGTTTAACAAAAAAAAGATGATCGACGCTATTCTATATTTTCCTGCAAACACTTGAATGAGTTCATGAAACAGAGCAAATAAACAGAGTTTAGATTTGCGTCAAAATCAAGTAAGAATCTTATCATTTATATGGTTTTGGGATTAAAACAGAATTACTTCATACTACTTATTATGGTTTTTAACCAGTTCGAAGGAGATACAGTACTTTCTTTACATCCAAGAAAGTTGTTTTGCGTAATCATTTTTTCCTGCAACTCTGCAATTCTCAGACTCTGCTCATCTTTGCAACTTTCTGCTTCTTTTATGTATGTCAGGTATTGAACTAAAACATTTTTGAAGGAGAAAGAGAATCTTTTGGTTCAAATAACCTAAAACCATGGCGGCGAAAGATGGAGCTAAGAGCCAAGAAGAATATAAGCTTAAAGACATGAAACCAGATCTTGGAGAGAAATGGCCACATGGAGGACAACGTGGAGGAAGTGGTTGGATCAGCAGCGAACGAGTTGCAAGCACATACGACCTTGTTGAGCAAATGTTTTATCTCTATGTCCGAGTCGTCAAAGCCAAGGATCTTCCTCCAAACCCGGTCACGAGTAATTGCGACCCTTACGTGGAAGTGAAAATAGGAAACTACAAAGGAAAGACTAAACATTTCGAGAAAAGAACAAACCCGGAGTGGAATCAAGTTTTCGCCTTTTCCAAAGACAAAATCCAATCTTCTACTGTCGAAGTCTTTGTGCGAGATAAGGAGATGGTTGGAAGAGATGATTATATAGGGAAGGTTGTGTTTGATATGCATGAGATTCCTACAAGAGTTCCTCCTGATAGTCCACTTGCACCTCAATGGTACAGATTAGAAGCTCGACGCGGCGAAGCTAAGAAGAGAGGAGAGGTTATGGTAGCAGTTTGGCTTGGAACGCAAGCAGACGAAGCGTTTCCTGATGCTTGGCATTCGGATGCTTCTTCTGTACAAGGAGAAGGTGTCCAAAGCGTGAGGTCTAAAGTCTATGTATCTCCCAAACTATGGTATCTGCGAGTTAATGTGATCGAGGCACAAGACGTTGAGCCTAGCGATAGGAGCCAACCACCTCAAGCTTTTGTCAAGGTTCAGGTAGGGAATCAGATTCTGAAAACAAAGTTATGCCCTAACAAGACAACGAATCCGATGTGGAACGAAGATCTTGTTTTTGTAGCTGCAGAGCCATTTGAAGAACAGTTCTTCTTGACGGTCGAAAACAAGGTTTCATCAGCTAAAGATGAGGTCATGGGAAGGCTGATCTCACCATTGAATGTGTTTGAGAAAAGATTAGATCATAGAGCTGTTCATTCCAAATGGTATAACCTCGAAAAATTCGGGTTTGGGGCATTGGAAGGAGACAAGAGACACGAGCTCAAGTTCTCGAGCCGCATTCACTTGCGAGTTTGTCTTGAAGGAGGTTACCATGTAATGGACGAATCGACTCTCTACATCAGTGACGTGAAGCCTACGGCAAGGCAACTGTGGAAGCAACCTATTGGAATCCTTGAAGTAGGAATCTTGAGTGCTCAAGGGCTTTCGCCGATGAAAACAAAAGACGGTAAAGCGACAACAGATCCGTATTGTGTTGCCAAGTACGGACAAAAATGGGTGAGAACAAGAACCATCATCGAGAGCTTTAACCCTAAATGGAATGAGCAGTACATGTGGGAAGTGCATGATCCTTGTACTGTCATTACATTGGGAGTTTTCGATAACTGTCACCTTGGCGGGAATGAGAAATCAAACAGTGGATCCAAAGTCGATGCAAGAATCGGGAAAGTGAGGATCCGCTTATCGACTCTAGAGGCTGACAGAATCTACACTCACTCCTACCCTCTTCTTGTTCTGCAGACAAAAGGGTTAAAGAAAATGGGAGAGGTCCAATTAGCTGTGAGATTCACTTGTTTATCTCTGGCTCACATGATCTATCTTTATGGCCATCCTCTGCTTCCAAAGATGCACTATCTTCATCCATTCACTGTGAACCAATTAGACAGTCTTAGATACCAAGCCATGAGCATTGTCTCGGCCAGATTATCCCGAGCAGAGCCTCCTTTGAGGAAAGAGATCGTAGAGTACATGCTCGATGTTGATTCGCACATGTGGAGCATGAGGAGGAGCAAAGCTAACTTCTTCAGGATAGTCTCTGTGTTTTCAGGCTTGATTGCTATGAGCAAATGGCTCAGAGACGTCTGCTACTGGAAGAATCCTTTGACGACGATATTGTTCCACATTCTCTTCTTCATACTGATTTGTTACCCGGAGCTGATACTCCCAACCACATTCCTCTACATGTTCTTGATAGGGCTCTGGAACTTCCGGTTCAGGCCACGTCATCCTGCTCACATGGACACAAAGATCTCTTGGGCTGAAGCGGCTAGTCCCGATGAGCTAGATGAGGAGTTCGACACTTTCCCGACTTCAAAGGGACAAGACGTTGTGAAGATGAGGTATGATAGGTTGAGAAGCGTTGCGGGTCGGATCCAGATGGTTGTTGGAGACATTGCAACGCAAGGGGAGAGGTTTCAAGCACTGTTGAGTTGGAGAGATCCACGTGCGACTTGCTTGTTTGTGATTCTTTGTCTTGTTGCAGCGATGATCCTTTACGTGACCCCTTTCAAGATCGTAGCTCTTGCGGCTGGTATGTTCTGGATGAGACATCCCAAGTTCAGAAGCAAGATGCCTTCTGCTCCAAGTAACTTCTTTAGGAAGTTGCCTTCCAAAGCAGATATTATGCTTTAAATTGTACAACTTCTCTATCGCTCGAGGTCTTCTCTGATCATAACTTGTGTTTTTGTTGTGCGTGTGCGCGTGTGTGTGTGAGTGTGTCTACTCTGTTTTATTATTTAATTACTATGACATTTTGGATTTTGCACATTGTATGAGTCTTCTGATTATTTTTTATTTGTGCCGTCGGTAATTCAGAGTTTCAGACTTCGGTCTCTGATCGAAATATTTGAAGTGACATTTTGAATAAAACATATATACGTGATATATTGAAATATCAGACGCAAATTCGAGTCTTAAGTTTGAAATTTGAAATTTCTTGATTATCAAATAAAACATGTGAAAGTAGTTCTTGATTAAGAAAGCTAATGCTAACCTCTCAGGCTCCAAGGATAAAAGGAGGCTTCATCTCCCGGCATGGCTCACATCGATTCTACCATCAGGAGGAACAGATGTTCCAGTTTCAGAGAATCGAGACCCTCTCTTAGACTCAGAGAGTCTTTTCTTATAAGTTACCCCGACTCTGGCTAGCTATGTGCAAAACCTTTTTCTCGTTAACTGTGCCATATCGAGACTTGGTTTCTCCACTCGATTTTATCGTCTCTGGTTCAATCATTCACCTTCAATGAATCCGTAAATGCTTCGGCTCAAATGCTTCTTTGTTATAGAGGCTTTTAATGTGGTGTTGGGTTTTAGGTTAAACACCGAAAATTAATGGGCCTAGTTATGATGGGCTGATTGTAGTTTTTTTTCTTTTTCCTTTTCCCTTTTTGCAATTTCAATAGAAAAAGTTTCAATCCAAAGAAAAATGTTCCACAGAGCGAAACGTGGCATAATAAGCTGAAGAAACGGTCAGAACCGCAACACTGACCTTTCGTTTCAATGGCCCACCAGCTCAATGCGCGATACTCATAGACATGCTATTGCATAGTTTATTATCATTTGTGTTTCAAATTTTAAATTAATCGGATTGTTGTTGTAAATCAAATCAACCTCGATTTGTGTAGGGCAAAAAAGAAAAATACACTCTTGTTTTTTTTGTTTGACCATAGTATAAAGTTCAATAAAAAAAAAGGGGCGGAAAATAATAGCTGGTGACAGCAAAGAAATAATGAATGAGAAAGAGGCGTTGAACCCAAAGCAAAACGTTACTGATCCCCAAGTCCCTGACGGTCTCCTACAAAAACTCACCATTTGTCTCCTTCTCAACTGGTCAATGCTTCCTTTTGACCTAAACCATTCCTCTCTCTTTCTCTTCCTATCTTTCTTCTTGCATGCAATTCACAAAATTTGTTGCCATCCTTCTCTAATCTGTTCCCTTTCAATTCTCTTTGCTATTCTTGGAAATACGAATTAGGAACTTTCATGTGTTTGGAATTGAAGATCAAGTCTTAATTTTCACATGCATTGGGAAAGGTATGGAACAGTACTTTTTATCGTCTATAGCTTCGTAATTAAAAACATATATATTAATTAAGAATCATATAACAAAAGAAGCCAAACCATTTTCCCTAGTTAATTACTGTATTTGAGTAGATCGATCGAGAGACAATATTTAAAGAGGTGGTCAAGCTGGCTAACTAATAAACCTATTTTCTTGTTTTTTTTTTTTCTGCCATGTATCATCAATCTTGGCGCGGACGGGCTAGCCAGAGAGAACTTAGAGCTTGAAGACGGTGGAAGTACTCCGCAACGGCTAGAATACAGCGCGCCTCTTGTCGGGTCGTCAACAATTGGTTCAACCTATGGATCGTTTGGTGCCTCAAATTATCCGCCTGTAAGTTTTTTAATTTATTAGTTCAAAATATATAAGATAGAAAAAACAAAATGGAAAATTAGTAGTAAAAGCAAAAACAAAATAATATGGACAAAGTTGCGTTCATGTTATTGACTAAGACTTAAGAGGCAATGACCATCACTAATAGTTTCTTCAGTTGGGAGTATAAAAAGCTAACTAGAAACAACAAAGATATTAAGACTAATCAAGCATTATTTTAACCGCTAATAGTTGTCAAAATTGAAGTATGAATCAAATGATTGTACATGCATGACCCGAAATTATATGGTTGATTGACGACTAATACCGATTATTCAAAATGTTGATCGAACATATTAAAATCAAAGCTTGTACCACACTGATAAGAACATGACACTAAATTGTCAAAAAAGTGAAACCGTGAATTCCATATCTCGGTCCCACGCCATGCTTCATGATACTAATTTAGATCACTAATTAAAATCATACATAAAATATAAACTACTATATAATTAGAAATGCTTACCAATAATTATATTAGTAAAAGGATGCCGAAATTAAGAAGAGACAAAAAAAGGAGAATCGAATGTAACTAAAGGAATTTTTCTCAATCGAGTGTTTTGGGAGGATGGGATACTCGGGCAGTTACGTCCATGACATCATGGAACGATATGGGCTCCAAGCAATCCATGTTTCCACATATGATGTGATGATTTATCATACATATACGTATTGCTTTTGGACTATATATATATGTGAATATACAAATACATACATGGTGGCAATTGTCACGTGCGTTTTTAGAATTTTAAATCCTTTATCCTTTTTACGTTTTAATAAACTATCCACAATTTTACTTCTCTTTACCAACAAAAAGCCATATTTACCACCTCTTTTGAAGTTGGACTTTTTAAGAAAGAAAAAAAATCCTAGATGAAAGGCTGTAAGCGTTTGATTAAACTAACACGAATATAAACGAAAAAAATATATTAAGAAAGTATTGAAAGGAAAGATGCCGATTTGTATGTGCATGAATGTTGTAGAAATAGTAGCCTAAATTCCCATTTGCATATAGAATATAGGCTGATACACATTATTTAAGAAGCATAAATATACTTTGTTTCAAAATCCTGCCTGCTCTAAACTAGTAAACAATAAAACAATTATGAAACTAAATGTTAAATTAATAAACTTGGTCTTCTAAGAAAAGCAACCCGACCAAGTTGATATAAGACAAAGAGAAGTGTTTGTTAGATACCTACTTACATAATGTCGGCATCAAGATGCTAAATACTTTTCATTTGACATACATACATATAAATACATATATATATATATCTATGTATGTTGACAAAAAAAGAATATACATATATGTAGAATAATTTCGCAAATCAGTTTTAATATTCTCTTATTATCTTCAAATACAAAACTCAACCACTATACCTATTATAGTACTATAATTCTAGTATAAATTATGTTCTCTCTAATCAATTAAGACCGATGGTTACCTATGTATAAGTTGTACAGAAACATACAAACGTCTATATAAGTGTAGATAGCGTGTTATATCAACAAAATATATAAATATATGATAGTAGTGTTTAATAAGGAGTAGTTCAAAGAATCGAAATATGTATTCCTAGTCTGATTAGGACCACAGCCCTCGGGGTCCACTTTATATAATCTACATATATATAATATAAGATTGGTATATGTATATATACAGTTTCTTATAAACTTAATTTAAAATAACAAGAAAAAGAATTATAAGAGGGTACCTGAAGAACTAAGCCCTCGAGAGCAGAGAGCTTGTTGAGAGCTAAGGACATGTGTGACATGAAATTGGATAGATGAGGAGGAAGTTGTGTAGAGGCAGGCGAGAGAGAGTCGGATACAATACTATCAGATAGCGATTGATTCAATGCCTCGAGGCCTTGTGAGAGAGCCTCTTCGGCCTCTTGTGTGGACTGTTGCAGCCCACAAATCCCAACTATCTGTTGCTCTGTCAATGGTTCTATCTGGTTCACAATCACCTGCAAGCGTTTCAAATTAATACACATATATATCAATTACAATCTTAGGAGAGAATTATAATTATGGTCTTATAATAGATGCATACAGAACGTTGAATGCATTAAATGTTTAGTGTACTATGCACAAGTTACTAGCTACAACCAAAATCTCTTCTTTCCTTTTTGTTTCACTAAAAAGGACATAAGATTGTGACATTGCCAAATGTCTTGTCAGATATGCACACCATCCTTTTTTAAAAAAAAAAATTTATACAATAGTACGTATTATTCTCTAATCGCTTAGACATATTAATTCGAATAAAAGATAGGCTTAAAAAGGCGTTGTGGAATAATTTTAGGTTTAAAGATAGGTTTAGCATACTGAATAATTATAGGTATCACATATTGGGTCTGAAAACAGATGTTTCTTTGTTGGTTTATTTATTTATTTTGATTTTGTTTCGTTTATTATGGTCGTTGCTGTTAAATTTCATGGTGGTTTCTGTTTCTCTCTCTTCTATGGACCATAAATCGAAAAAACAGACAGACACTTTATTTTACATTATGCCAAAACCTAACCTTTTCTAGAAATACTTCACCATCACAAAACTGCATGCCTTTTTGTTTTTTTTTTTTAAATTTTATTAAATTTACGTGTACTTTTATATATTTTCTTAATGTAAAGAGTAAAGACATATATGTATATATATATTTTTTGAAAATGTAAAGACATATATATATATATATATATCCAAGCATATAGGTTGGCTTTATACATATACAGGCCACCCCATGCAATGTTATATATATATATATATATATATATATCTTGTCCAACAATATCACTATACTCTATGTCTTGTCTGTCTTATCTGTTATTACTATACCGTACCCTCTTATAAGAGAATCAAAGACCAAAACTTTTGCAAAAAAATCGGGGAAAATCAAAATTCTATTAATTGTATAAAGTTGGAAGTACTATATATTCTATGCACATGTACGTTAAAAATAATAAATGACACTATTTTTCAAGTAACCCACAGAATTTGATAATGTTCAATGATTGAATTCTGGAACGTGGACTAGTATATATAAGATGTGGTTTAATATAGTTAGTCTTAAAGTAAAAATCCAAAATGTTAGGATTATATCTAATGATCCACATTGATTAGTTTACAATATCATTATGACTATGTGGATAAGAAAAAAATATTTTGATACGGTATAAGAAGACACGAGATGTACCTTAATAATCTCAGATGGGCGAAAACCACCCATCCACAAGAAGCATCGCTCGGCTGGAGTTTTCCAAGCGCCAGAGAGGAGGTGGAAGACATCGGTCTTAGCGACCATGGCCTTGAGGTTAATCAAATGGTCATAGTGAGCTAAACAAGTGTCTACAAACATCCTAAGCTCGTTCTCGGCCAAGTGCTCTTGTGTCGCCACCCTCAGTTCGTTTAACAGCCTTTGCTGCTCCTCTAGCCACCTCGTGTATTCCATATCGAACACCGCTGCTTCTGCTTCACAATATTGCATTCACTCATTTTTTTTCGAAAATTTATGGGGTTTTTGAGGCATTACGTATACCTATGAAACTGTTACGTACCGGAGCTGATGTTGCCATGGCCAATGGCAAGTCCACCTTGCTGTTGGTCTCCTCCTATAAGAGACCCTCCAAAGAATACGCCCTAACCATCGAAAACCAAATCGTAAAATTTAGACTTTATTATAATAGTTAATTACAGTGATTATACGGAAAGACAGGTAAAAAATGTTTACTTGGGATCTGGCCCGTTGAATCTCCTGTTCTAGTTGGGTCAGCTTGATCCTACATGACTCGAGTTGCTGAACATAAGCCTGTCGTAATTTCACCAAAAGTAAATAACGTTATATACAATTTATATATATATATATATAAATAAATAATGCTTGGAATTCACAACTACTGAAGTCATGTACGTATGCTGACTTTTTTTCGTAATCTGCTTTTTCTTGCTGCTTCTCTGTTCTGTGCTAGTCTTCTCAATGTCTGTCAGGAAATGATATTTATAAACATAAGAGAAGAACATATCAAACACACAAAAAAAAATATTTTTTTTTATTATTATCTTATTTATGCATAGTCGTACATGAAAACACACACCTTAGGGTCTGATGATTTTGGTATGTCATGGTCCGATGAGCCAGGACCCTTGCGGTTTCCTTCTTTCTGCCATGACATGTCAAAATGACCCAATATTAACTTATGAAACGACTACAGCAAGTCTAAGAGTATATTCCATTTATATATCAACAAGGCAGCTAAATTATTTTTAAAATAATAGATAGGGACCTTGATGGATTTAGAAGGCTGAGGAAGTTGAAACTGGGAATGATTGGTCAAGTCCATGGACGGCTCAGAAGATGGTCGAGTCGAACCGCTAGGTTCAGCAGCCGGAACCAATCTTGTGTTATCGGTCTTACCAAACACATTTCAAACAAAAACAAAAAATTAGTACTCATTAGGAAAATGAGAAACGTATAATAATTGGTCCGACTTGATATTATATGAAATAGCTAGTAGTTGCGCTGACATTATATTAAATTAGAAACAGAAACCACCTAAAATTGGCATATATAGAAATATATAGTAATGATTATTACATTGGGTGTAGAAGAAGAAGGAGGTGGCTCTATGTGCATTGGCTGAGATGGGAAGATGTTAAGCGTCGATGTTGGAGGTCTCATCGCCATATTATCTGCCATAAGATTCATAGATGAGTCATGTGATGTGTGGAAATGGTCTGGTTATATATGCATATATATAAATATGTGAGTGGACTAGTTCTAAGAATTAGAAGAAAAATAAGAGAGAGAAAAGGGTTTAAAGAAGAGTTTGATCGTATATGGGATTGAAAGAAAGATTTGATGTCTGAAAAGAGAGGATCTGGTCAAAGCTGAAAGTAAGTACTGATGGCAGAAGAAAGTTTGAAATCTGTTTGGCATGGTTTTTCTGTGACTCTCTCTCTCTCTTTCTCTCTCTCTCTCTCTCCACAAGGGAATCTTCCTAATCTGCTAAAACAAAAACCAAACCACAATTCCCAAAAAAAGAAAAGAGAGAGAAAGAGAGCATACGGGTTGTGTGATGATGAGGTAAAGGAGCAGTTGATGGAGGATCATGATGTCCTTGTCCATCGAGATAGAGGAAGAGTGATGGGTCAATATCTCCAAGATCATATCCATCTTTGTTCCTGAACATATAACACACACACACACACACAAAAAGCTGTTTAAACTTGGGGGATCATCAATTCAAAAAGTTTATGACTTTAGGTCTAAGATAAAAAACTCTTCAAGTACATGAAGTTTCCATGGGAAGACGTGGCGGAGGCTGATGATAACTTTTGATGATGATTCTGGTGATGACCTTGCATTTGATGATGATTATGATGGTTGAAGTCTATGGATGATGTTTTGAGAGCGTGTGTGATAGTAACAGGAGAAAGATGATGATCGAAGAGAGATTGATGATCGAACTCTTATGTTGGTCTTCTCCTGAGGCAGCAGCTTATGATGATGACGGTGCTTTGATCACTAGATGATATCTTCTTCTATATAACTATTATTTTTTCTTTCTCTATATTCTTGGAAAGAGATAGAGATTATGTAACGGAGCATTTAAAGCTACTTTTGGTGTTTTCAGCGAGAAAGAGAGAGAGAGAAATATAGAGAGAGGTCGGCTATATTGAAGTGGAGAGGGTTCAAAATCTTAAGGATATTGGAGAAAATGGAGATTGGAGAGGAGAAGCAAAAGACAAACTCCTTTTTCATCTATTTTTTCCCCCATCTTATTATAATTTGTAAAGTTTCTTCTACCTTAAAATATTAGAAGACGACTTTGTTTTTGTATAAACCCAAGAAAAATATTCTGATAAAGCGGTCAAGAAACATGTCCTTTTCCATCCCTCTCTCTTTGTAGAAAAGAAATTGCTGATTATAACAAACTTGTATAAATATTTTTTGTTTGTTTTCTAACTTATTATTATTATATTTTCATATTGTTCAACTATATTCTTCAAATTTTAGATTTTCTTAATTATCTTATACGGTAAATAGTTTTCAATTCCATCAGATATCATTTTATAAGAAACTTAATAATCCATTAACCGGTCTTACATTCCATGGATAAACCACTAGAATCTGGACCAAGTTCAGTTGTTATTATATATCCATCAACTGCTCCATTGAAATTTGTTTGGATGATGAGCACTATGGTCTAGGTTTGGTTTTGGTTTAAGCTTATCGGTTCGATAAAGAAGATCTAACCGATGGCCAGGTAACAATGTTTTTTTTCTTTTTAAAACTGGACCTGTAAACTAAATCGGACTTTCTTTTCGATAATTTAATTTATACACATTTAATCTTAAACATTGAAAATTTAAGAACTAGAACTCAGTGGATTAATCAATAAACCAACCAACCCATCAAAACCATAAATAATTTTAATCTGCCGCGGACCGGAGTAAATTGGCACGGTTAGCTCGAAAACCGAATTCGGTTATACGATGAATTTTATGCGTTTCTCGTCGGAATTGAGGAAGAGGAGCAACTCAATCCAAACTCGAGAAGGACCAAAACCTTTTATACTGAAAGTCTTCTGAGATAGTTTTCCTGGAAAACAAAAATGCAGACACAAGACGATGTTCGAAATCTTCCCATCGACATCACCTTCTCCCGTCTCGGCGGTAATGCAGAATCTCAATTACGTTTCGTTTTTTTTTTTTGCGCGTTCTACGTTTGAATCGGAATCTCCTTTCGAGATTCTAGTCTTAATTTGATTATAATTTTGTTGGATTCGAAGAATGGTTGGTGGATCGGAAGAGAATTCCGGCGGATTGGAGGAAGAAGTTGGCTGCGATCAGAGTCAAAATCTTAAAAGAGTTCTCTTCTTTGCCTAAAGACATCGATCCATACTTTCAAACCCTAGATCCTGAAGGTAATTTTTGTCTGAAAATCGAATTTTGTTAACTAATGTCTTATCAGTTGGCGATTTTTCAAGCCCCAATATGAATTCGTCGTTTATGAAGCAGAAATGAGTAGCATAGACTGCAAACTTCCTTTCGGTTTAACCTTTTTTGGTTCGCAGCTCTCACTTAACCTTAAAGTGTTGGTCTTTGTTTTTGAAAACGCCAAAGAAATTTGATTTGCGTCTTTGTGAACACCATAAGCTTGTTTGAAGTTTGGTCGTGTCGTTTTATCATCCAAGTGACCGTTCTTTTGCTTCCAGTGATTGGTTACTTGGAGGTCAAAAAGATATACGAGATTCTCCTAAAGACAACTCCGGAAAGCCGGAACATCTTTGGTCGACTTTCGGGAGCTTCTGTAAGTTATAACTCTCGCTGACTCGCACTATTCTTGTGTTCATTGTATCGTTGTACATTTTATGATCTGTTATTTTTCCCTTTTTTATAGGGTGTCTGGGAAGCAATTGTTCGTGCATTTGAAAAGGATCACATTTATCTCGGGGAGGCAGCTCAGATAATAATTCAGAATGTCAATTATGAAATGTAAGTTGGTTTCTTGCATGGCTCTATTTGATTCAACAGAAGGATTTTCACTAAAGTTTCTCTATTTTGGCATTTCCCAATTATTATTTCTTCTTGCAATATATGAAGCCCATATCTGAAAAAGCAAGTGCAAAAGGTTCAGCAGCAAATGGCAGAACTTGATCGTAAAGAAGCTGATATCAAAAGAAGCGTTGTACTCTCAGCAAGCAAATACGAGGATGCTTGCCGAGAGCTTGGGTTGCAGGTTAGCTGTAAACTTGTCTGGCTTGATCTATAGATTTGAGAAGGATCACATAAAGTCTAAACATCTTAATTGTCAGGGAAACAATGTGAGGCGTGAACTTTTGGAGACTGCGAATTCGCTTCCTAGTACCTTTGCCAAGATTTTGGAAGTTATCAACAGTGACTCAGTATCAGGGGCAATGGAGTACTACTCTGCCTATGTTAACGATGTTCATACTGAGAAAGATGTAAGAACGCTCTAAATTTATCCTCTCTCTAAATGTTTTGGTCTTTTGTCCTGGAGATTGAAGTGAACGGCTTCTGATCTGTCTGCAGAAGCCTGCGAGGATTGTCCTACAAAACTTGAAAGACATTCGTGAAAAACCTCCGTCATTAAGTGTTTTGGGGGCCTCAGAAGCTCTTGATGCTGATACTATTCATCCATCTGAGAATGCAAATGGTACAGACGCGGCTGCAGGCAGCATTGATTGGGATATTACACTTGATACTGCTGAGATAGATTGGGATGTTAGTATGGTAGAAGAAGTTGATAGTGGAAATGATCTAGGTTCATATGAAATTGTCAATGCCAGTGATATTCCCGAGAATTCTCCATTTAAAGTAGAGGAAAGTCAAGGCCCCGAAGTTGATGTTTCTGAGATTTCATGGGATGTAAGTGTTGAAACACCTCAGGTAGAAGAAATAGGTGATTCAGCTTTGGTAGAATCAGGCCTGGAGAATCAGACACAGTTGAAAGATTCCACAACTCAAGTCTTAGGGAGTGGAGAAGAGAGGAGCCAGCTGTTGGAGACAGAATATAGGAACAAGATCCTTGATGATTTGTATGAGGTACTCTTATCCCTGACTATTTTTTGCTCAGATTGATCCTGGGGACTCTTCTTGACCTCCGTAAGACACGTGATGTGGTTTCTCTTGTATCAGGTCAAGGCATTTTTGAACCAGCGTTTGATAGAACTGAGAAACGACGATACTCTGTCCTTGCAACACCATGTGCAAGCAGTTGCTCCCTTGGTTCTTCAGCAGTTTTCTCCTGAAACCATTGAGCCAATGGTGGTTGATATCTCCATGGCCATTTCATTGCTAACAAACAAGAAATCTCGGGATCTGATCATGATTCTCAACTCCAGAAGGTGCTTTAAGACAAATAATTCCTGACAGTGGATCGCAGCGAGTTCAATATCTTCTGATATATGTATTCTTTGTGTACAGATTCCTAGATAGGCTTGTTTCGGAGCTGGAGGAGAAGAAGCACCGTGAAGTGAAGTTACGAGAGAGCTTGAAAGATGTGGGTAGAAGACGCATGGAGCTTCAGAACTCACTCTCTTCTATATGGCCGAAACAGGTACGCTCATGTTGGTCTATCTGATAGGCTGTTCTCAAAAAGCATAGGTTTTACTTCTTTTATTTGATCAAGATTTAAGACTAAAGTGTCAGATTTGCTCTAGGCTTATCAGGAAATTGAGCTAACAAATTCTGTTTATTGATTGCAGGAAGCTGCCCTTGTGAAAACAAGAGCACTGAAAGATCTATGTGAGAAAAGTCTCTCGTCCATATTTGACGGCAGACCTGTGAATATAAGAGGAGAGATCAATGCTTTGCTGAACGCTGGGGTTTCTGCTTAGTTTCATCTTTTGGATTGGCTAGAAAACTTAGTTTCAGAACACAGACTGGCCCTTTTTGTTACTACAGGGGTTTCGTCTTGTTTCAAACCTTTATCTTTTCGATAATGATATATAATAAGAAACTTCCTTTTACCAAGACTAGTTTTTATTTATCATCAATTATCGCCATATATGCTAAGAAGTATTCTTTTGACAGTAGAGAATGTATGTGTATGAAGTAAGAGATACAGAAAATGGTCAAGTGGAAGGGTGGCTGAAGGTGGGTGAGGAGATGAAGCGTGTGCGTGTTGAGCAGAAAGATTTACTAAAAGGGTCAACCTCGGTCTTGTCTGCTACACTGCTTGCTTCCTTGTTCTGTTTCTGTATTAGTGCAGTGAGTGCTTCAACTATTTCTGAAACCGCTGGTCTAAACTCCTTCTCTACCTGCTTATGAATGAGTGATTAGTTATTGTATTTGTGATGATCCTGAGTGAAGAAGCTATTGACAATACCTGAGTGCATAGGGAGATAATGTCTGCGTATTGTGAGGCAACTCTTGAGGAGAATGTGCCGGCTATGCCTCCATCAATCATCTGTTCTAGGCTCCGCCTGTCATGAAGTCTGGTTGATGCCCATTTCACCAGTAGCTGTTCTCCTTGGGGTCGTGAGCTGCAATAATATCCACACAAAAATAAAGGTCAAATATCTTAAGCTTATCTATTGCACCCAAGAAGTATGTGAAATGCTTTGTGTACCTGTCAAACGCTTTCCTTCCGGTTAACAGTTCCAAGAGTAGCACTCCCAGTGCATAAGTGTCGCTCTTTGTGCCACTACTTCCTGATTGTCCATGTTCTGGTGCTATGTAGCCAGTGTTCTGTATCGCTATCTCCGAAGCCTGCTCTAACGCTAAACTCATTATGTATCAGTCAAACAACTAAACGACACAAACACATACCGTCTTTACTTACCCGAAGTTTTACACTGTTGCTTGTAAGTGGCCTTAAACTAGCAAGCCCACAGTCAGCAATACGAGGTGTCAGTTCTTCGTCTAGTAAGATATTTGTTGCTTTCAGATCGCTATGGGCAATAGGAGGGCAAAACGACGAGTGCAAATAGCTGAAATTTTTGTTTCACCAGAGTGACGTGTCAAAATAAAATCTGCAAGGATTGGGAATAAGCTACTATTTATGTTTCTAGAAGATGAGGATACTTACTCCAGAGCTCGGGCAACTCCGATAGCAATGCGGAGACGCAAGCCCCAAGAAAGTGGCTTGTATACCTCATCATGCATAGCATTGTACAACGACAAATGCCCAACATACTCATAGACAAGAAGATGCTGCCCATTATCAATGCAGAAACCGAGAAGTGTCACAATGTTTGGATGTCTTAATTTGGAAGCTGTCTGAAGCACTTCAGTAAATTTCTCCTCTTCATGTAAAGAGAGTGAAGACATTGGGATGTTTCTCACCGCGGCAAACTGTTTTGAAAAAAAAAAAAACATCCGATGGATGAGAAATAAATAGCGAAAAGTTTCCATTTTGAATTTTCTAAGAGAGAGAAGAGAAGATATACTTGGCCATCAGGCAACTTGGCTCTGTAAACAGAACCAAGAGGACCCTCTCCGAGTAGGTTTTCCTCACTGAAATTGTTTGTTGCCAATTGAAGCTCTGCAGCTGAGAAAAGCTTCGCATATGCTGGATATTGGCATGTAGCAGAGAAACTGTTTCGTCTTGCTGTTTTATCGATTCTGACAGGTGGAGGTGGTATATGTCTCAGCTGGGGAACTGGCGGTGGCCGGACCCTTTTCATCTGTGGGCTATCTTCAGTTGCAACAGGAAATTCTGTTACGCGTGAAGGTAAGAAAATCAGTAATGAGGATTCAGAATGGCCATGGTGACAATGAGGGACGAGAAAGGCATAGATCACCTCGGCCTGTACTGACTGGAAGAGAGTACGCTGTGCTATTGTTGCTTCTGTGACTAGCAGCAAGGTTTTGTGCACGTCGTTGACTCATTCTGACTGTGAAAAGTGCAAAGAAAGTTCCCAGCAAAGCCAAACCGCCAACCAGTAAAACAGTACTCCCTGCTCCTATGCCTTTCTTCTTCTTTCTGACCTTCTGAGCTCTGGGAAAGTTCATAATGGCACTCGACTGAGTAGTTGGATAGCCAGTAGCATTTTGAATCATTGGTATGACGTCCAAAGGGAACTTCCATGGTTTATAGTTGGGTTCTACGTGGAACTTGTTTCCCCAAATCCTGCTCAGAAAAACACCATTGATTGTTGAGTCTTAGGTGCTGAGCCAATTTTCAGAAGAGGGGGGAGTAGTAACTCACCACAGATGAGGAATGGACTGAAAATGACTTGGGATAATACCACTGAACTGGTTATCTTCGATATTCCTGAAGACATGTGAAACAACGGTGTGTTTTGAGCTCATCAAAACAAAGAAAGTTCAGTGACAAGCAAAATCAAAGCACAAAGAGAGTTAACTACAGGTCAGCTAAAGGAAGATCCGCGAGATAGATGATTGATCCTGTAAATTTGTTGTTCTGGAGGAACCTGCAGTTTTGTTATCGCAGCAGAAAAACCATTACTGGGTTACACATACGTGCACAAAGCAGATTGTAGATAAAATTCCGAGATACTTGCAGTGAAGTCAGGTTCATTAGAGATCCAAAAGAGCTCGGTAGATCTCCCGTCAAATTATTGAAAGATAGATCCCTAGCAAAGTCAATATTATTTGAATATGAATGAGGTATCTTTTCATCTACATATCGCGATGAAATGCTAACAGAATCAAACTGAAGACTCACATTTCTTTAATCTGTAACCCAGAAAATACATTTCCAAGCGGTCCAGAAAGTGAGTTATGGCTCAAATTCCTAGAAGACAGAGGGAGCCATACTTAGAAAATCAGTATAAAAAGAAGGCAATGTAATGAATATCAATTTGAATAAGCCACTTACAGGGACAGAAGAGGTGTCATAAGAGGTAAGGAAAATGGGAGACTCTGGGTCAGATTGTTATAAGCCATGTTTCTGTAATCAACAAACAACGAAAACTCTTTTGAATTGTACTTGGCTACATGATGATGAATGAACTTGATTCAACGCTTACATGTGGGTAGCATTTGGAGGCAAGCCAAATGGAATTTCACCTTGAAGGTTATTGAAGCTAACATCTCTAACACAAAGGAAGTAGAGAAATAATAACACAAAGGATTCAGTGATTCAGTCTCATGATGAAGTTAACAGTCAAGAACAGGAAAGCTTGATTACAGGTTCTTCAAATTGTGGAGATGTTGAAGCTGGTTTCCAAGACTACCCAAAAGCTTTAACCCTCGTAGTTGTCTGCAATGACATGAATCAGATTTTGTTCGAACCTGATAAAACTGAGGAAAAGGGTTACCAGAAATATTACAGTTCTACTATGGACGATCCAGAACACGAAATTCCCATCCAGGCTTCTCCGCATGGATCTCCTCCTTCTGATCTCCATCCTCTCAGTTGCTGTGGATTGTTCAGGGACTTGTAGAGATCTTGAAGAGCCGAAACTAACAAAGAAACACAAATAAACAACAATCAAAATGTATTCGAAGACTAAACAGTAATTTTGTCGAACAGGTTTTGGTGGTGATCAAGTAACAACAAAAGATCTAAGCTCGCGATTAAACACCAAGAGATTTCCAGTCAAGAAAAGATTTTCCGTCACTATTCCATGAATATTGCACATAAGTTCGTTCCGACGTAAGCAAATCATTTTAGTCATGCTCCATTCCATTAAACTGTTCTTAAACAGAGAGGAAATACGGAGACAAATCTTCGTTCTCAGACTCAAGAATAAGATGAGAATCTGGAAATTACCTTCAAGCGCATCGGTATCAGTCTCAGCCACCACAAACAGCATAACCGTGAGAAGAATTGCAGCGAGGCATCGCAATTTCTTTTTGTTTTTCATCTCGAGAAGTGAGAAAGAAGAGAAACAGAGTGTGCGTGTGTACGGATGGTGCTTAATGCAGAGAACTAAAACTTTTAAGCTCGGTCGCACGAAGAAAGGGAGAAAGAGAGAGAAGAGTTGTGGAGTTTTCTCGCAGTTTCTCTCGTTTTCCGGGAAACGAAACAGAAAGAAAATCCGAAGGAGAGAAGATCAAAGAAAGGGTATAGAGTGAAGAGCAGAACGAGAGATGTACGAATGCGAAAGCGTAAACACGCGAATATTCCACGTCAGCAAAAGCAGTTATAGACGTTGGAGTCAACTATATGCCACGTGGCCGTTTTTTTTTTTGTTAATGCGAGACAATTATCCAAATTAAAACTTTTTTATCCTTTAATTAAAGGATACAATATCTACGTTCATCTGTAATTGATTTATCAGCTTGATACAATACTTATGATTATATCTGTATAACCTTATTTTCTCTCCTCTTCATCTAAGCTAATCTTGATCTCAAATGATTTTCCTTTATGCTAAACCTCAGACTCTTGCCCAGTAGAATTTTACTGAATTCCATTCTCGATTCCATCACAATTTTTTATGAAATCACTTCACTAAATGTGTTCAGGCTTCGCGTAAAGTACCAATTTTTATTTCATCCCTTGACTAGTTTTTCTCTACAAAATTGCTATTGAACTTGTGAAAACATACATAGCAAATCTGCTAATGGGGAAAACACAAAGTGGAGAGATTTGAAGTTACTGCTCCACAAAATTGTCTTGATCAAAGAGCACTGTTGTTGTCACTCCTATATCTTGATGCTTCTACTCACAAAGAAGCAGTTTCTTCAAATCCTCAAAATGCTTAGGACCATCCGGGTGACGGTTTACAAACCTAGTCGCAAAGGTCTTGTCCGAGTACACAAGTATAGTACTTACTGCAGGCTTCGAGTCTACCTTTCCTCGGGCTTGAAGCCAAGAGAACATTGCAAATCTGTGCTTCATCCGCTGAAGAGTGTACTTAAGACACGAAGGGAAAGTCACCAAAGACGAAAGCGGGTAACCTAATTCGTCTACAAGGTAGTTAACCTTTCTTTCTAGGACATCACTTGCCTGAGTGAGAATACCAGGAGATGCTTTCACCATACCTTTGACATCTTTCTCATTCAAACCCAAACTCACAAGAAAATCAAATCTCTCTCGGAGTTCAGATCCTCTCCCACGGAAACTCTTCAGTGCTCTCTCCATTTCCTCTGAGTTTTCCTTGTATCCAAGGTCCAACAAGAACTGAATCTTCATTGCTTTCGACTTTGTGTCCACTCCGGTTCCCGGTAGCGGCTGGACTCTTGACCCTTTAATCCATTTTTTCATCTCCTCAGGGTTATTATGAATGACTTCACAAAGCCGTTTTTTCCCACCTTTCAATGTGTTAAGAAAGGTACTTGTTTGCTTCAAACGAGATACACCAAGCCATGAAGAGTGAGAACGGAAAACCTCACCGATCTCATCAGCCTTCATCTTGATATCTTTGAGGAACAAGAAGCAATGCCTTAGATTCGAAACACACTTCCCTAAGTCCTGAATCTTCGGGAGTTTCAGGAACAACGAAGAGAGTTCACTTCTGGACGACCCTAACTTCGTTTGAAACCCAGCTAGGATCAGAGTCCATTCCCCTGAGTTCTCGAATATCAGTCTTGGCCGCTCCTTGATTAACTCACGTAACTCATCCTCATCAACACACAGATCTCTAAGAAAGCTTAAACACCTATGCATAGAGCTCCAATCATAAGATGCTTCCTCTGATAAGTTCTCTGTTACCCAATCGAGACCAAACCCCATAGATCTCAGCATCTCCATGACTTTAGCCAGTTCAACATTCGTATTCCCAATCAGGATACTCGGGCTACAAACGATAAGTTTGGATAGGAACAATTTGCTAAACCCCAAACCCTCATAAGCCTTAATCTTTGAAGCTAAAACCCCAGTTTCATACCCGAAAACTTCCCTAGCTTCCTTGAAGATCTTCCCCATCTTCTCCCTACCAATCCCATAGTTCCAAAAGACATGGTAATTCTCCAGCAAAAAAGCATCTTCATTCAAGAACATCTTGTCACAAGGAATCAGATGACTAAACTCAGACGGCTTCAGGCCTAAACTCTCGAGGAACGGCTCGAATTCATTCACAGGGTGAAACCACAGAAACCTGGTGATGGATCTGACTAAATCTTCACCAGCATCAGCATCAACATCTAGCTTCTTCAAAAGATTATCATTGAAAACAGGCGCGTTCTTGCTCATACTCTCGGCAACCAGAAACTGCAATCCCCTGTTGTGATAGAAGTAATCAAACATCGCGACCTGGGCCATTTTCCGAATCACAGCACGGGGTCTAACGGTCCATTTCTCGCCGGAAACTTCAGCATCGATTGTTCTTCGGGTGGTGAAAAATCTAGGGATTCCTGGAGGTTGGGTTTTAAAGGGGGTTTCTACAGAAACTTGAGGTACCCAATTGAAAAGACCGGTGAAAGATCTAGGGTTTCGGATAAGAGACATTACCTCTGAATCTTTCTCATGTTTTGTCTGATTTCATTATGCGGCGGTTCCCGAGTACATTTCGCCGTTGAACACAGAGGTGTTTATTTTGTTCAACGGCGCAAAATATTTCGTAATATTTTTGAAAAAAAACACATACCAAATGAAATATGATTTAGGTGAAGCTATACGTATCATTTTGTAATTTTTTAAATAAACCTTTGAAATTTGGCTTTCTAGCGAATTAAATCATACATACAAATTAGCAATGTTCCAAGAAACGAAGAGTTATCAATGATAAACATGCTACAAAAACTCCTATAATAAAGCTTTGTTAAATCTCAATTTAGCTGCTAGTCAAGTTCTTCTTGTCTCAAACTGAGAAAACTAAAAAAAGTAAAAAAAAAAAAAAAAAAAAACAGTCTCTTTAGAAGAGCGTACCTAAATAATAATGGGATCAATACAAGATGATCAAAACAGAGAGGCAATTAGTTTTGTTCATCTCAAAGAAGCTGATTTTTCAAATCCTCAAAATGCTTAAGCCCATCTGGATGGCGATTTACAAAATATTTCACAAAATCTTTGTCCGAGCTTGCGACCAGAGTACTAACTGCAAGCTTGGGATTGGCTTTTCCTCGGGCTCGAAGCCAAGAAAACATCTCAAACCTGAGCTTCATCCTCTGAAGAGTGAACTTTAAACACGAAGGGAAAGCCACCAACGTCGAATGAGGATAACCTAATTCGTTTACAAGGTAATTAACCTTCGTTTCTAAGACATCGCATGCCTGCGTGAGGATATTAGGAGATGCCTTCACCATATCTTTGACATCTTTCTCATTAAAACCCAAACTCACAAGGACATTAAACCTCTCTCGGAGTTCAGATCCTCTCCCACGGAAACTCTTGAGCGCTCTCTCCATTTCCTCTGAGTTTTCCTTGTATCCAAGGTCCAACAGAAACTGAGTCTTCATTGCTTTCGAATCCATGTATCCTTCTGTATCTGGTAAAGGCTCGACTTTTGAACCCATTGTCCATTTCTTTATCTCCTCTGGGTTTTCTTTAACGACCTCACAAACTCGGCTTTTATAAGCCTTCAGATTAATGAGCAAGCTACTGGTTTTCTTCAACCTACAGGAACCAAGCCACCAGGAGTGAGAACCGAAAACCCTGCGGATTTCATCATCCTCCATCTCGATCTCTTTCAGGAACAAGAAGCAACTCCTTAGATTCATAACACATCTCTCTACTTGAACTTGAGGGAATCTCTGAAACAACGAGCAGAATTCACTTCTAGATGACCCAAGTTTTGTTTGGAATCCAGCAAGAATCAATGTCCATTCCCCTGAATCCTCAAAAATCAGTCTTGGATGCTCCCTGATTAACCCACGTAGCTCATCCTCATCAACAAAGAGATCTCTAAGAAAGCTTAAAGTCCGATACACAGAGCTCCAGTCATAAGATGCCTCCTCTGACAAGTGCTTCATTACCCAATCAGAGTCAAAACCCAAGGCTTTCAGCTTCTCCATAACTTTAGGCAGTTGGACATTCGTAGCACCAATCAGGATTCTCGGGGAACAAGCGATAAGTTTGGACAGAAACAACCTGCTAAACCCCAGATCCTCATAAGCCTTAATCTTTGAAGCTAAAACACCGGTTTCATACCCGAAAACCTCCCTAGCTTCCTCGAAAATCTTTCCAATCCTCTTGGGGTCAACTCCAGAATAGCACAAAACATGGTGGTTCTCAAGCAATAGTTTATTTAAGAAGAGCTCATCAGAAGGAACCAGATGAGTGTACTCAGTGGGCTTGAGACCTGAACTCTCAAGGAAAGGCTCAAACTCATTGACGGGGTGAAACCGAAGATGCCTTGTGATGCATTGGCTGATATCAGAAGCACCAACAAAATTCACCTTCTTCAAAAGGTTACCAATAAAAAGTGGACTGTTCTTGCTCATACTCTCTGCAACCATATACTGTAAACTCCTAGTGGAATAGAAGTAATCCAACATTGCTTCCTCAGCCATTTTCCGAATAGAGGGAGTGATCCGAATCCCATTCCGGGTCCTCTTCAAACTCGAGACTTGGGCGGTTCTCTGGGTGGCGAAAGATCTAGGGTTTTGTGTAGGAGAAATTGGGTGGTTAAAGGGGATTTGTACAAAAAAATTTGATACCCATTTGACAAGAGACGTGAATCTAGGGTTTCGCATAAGCTTCATAGCCAGGTACGCGATGTTAATGGACACACATATATATAGCTGACACTGAGCAATTGTACATAAAGCTTTTACCTTTCAATCTTTTACGAGTTTAGTCTGAATCGACCCTGGTGCGTAACTCGCAGCAACTGTTTTGCCATCTCCAAGGATCATCCTGCTGTGCCGGAGAAGACAGGGGAGACAGCCGATGAGGATGGGGTGGGCACTTCGGTTTATGGTTTGGTTTCGGTTCGGCTTTTTCGGTTTTTCGGTTTTTCGGTTTCAAAAAAATTCAAACCATATAAAAACCATATATATTTCGGTTTGGTATGGTTCGGTTTTTTACGGTTTTCGGTTTTTCAGTTTTATAAAAATTGAAACCATATAAAAACCATTTTTTAATTTGGTTTGGTTTGATTTAGTTCGGTTATGGTTTTTAGTGTATTTCATAATGATAAAGTTTAAATTTCTATAAACAAAATAAAATGAATGGTAATAATATATTAAGCTAATAACTGTAAAAAAAATTCAAAAACTAAAACTTCAAATGTAAATCCAAATCATATGAAAATTAAGATTACAAAAACCTAAAACAAAAATTGAAGAAAATTTAAATTTTTATCAACCTACTCAGTCTTTAAAAAAACATTATTAAACAAAAAAAATTATTTATTTATTAAATCTAAAAATCAAAGAACCTATTCGGTTTTACGGTTTTAAACCAAACTAAACCGAAACCAAAATTTTAATAAAAATGAAAACCAAATGGGTTTTTAGGTTATCCATAACCAAACCAAATTTACTCATTTCGGTTTGGTTCGATTTGGTTTTTTTAATCATGGTTTTTTTGCCCACCCCTACCCCTAGATGGGGGTTTTGTTTACTGATCAGTTTAGTGTATAGTGAGAATTTTGGTTTGGTTTTCAATTACATATTTGTTCTCCTTTTTGGTTTTTGGTTTATAGTGAGAATTTTGGTTTGGTTTGTAGGCCGGACCCAGACTCTTTTTAGAGCCGGTTAGATAGACCATAAAAGAAAGAAAAAACAATTAAACCAAATATTTGGCCTTACACAGATTCCCAAATTCACGAAACTTTATTCAGTAAAATACATTATGTTTCATGTCGTTGTCTGTTAAATCTCTTGTACAGATAATTCCTTAAATCAGTAAACTTTATCTACATTATGTTCTTCTTCAAACTCAGGGTAGCTAGTAGCTACATTTACATATAAGTGCAAAATCTTACTTATCAGGTATTTACGAGTGTCTTCCCTTTTGATATGTGATCATCTCCTGTAGTTGTTTATTTTGTTCTTCAACTAACAAGTATAATTCTCTCTGCATCTGCAGGGGGAAAAATTGCATATCCGAAATTAGCAAAAAATAATGACAATATTAATAATAGGAGACCATATATTCAACATCTTCTCTTTTGCTAAACCGCTCACGACCATCCATCCCTCTTTTATATATGTTTCTGTCATTTTCCAGGTTTTTTAGATCCCACCCTTATTGGTTTTTCTTTTGCAAAATATTGGGTAAGAAACTATATTACGGGGAAAAATGATCCAAAGTATGAAAGTAATATATTAGTTAATAATATGGTACCAAAGTGATTCATGGAACAATATTATGGAGAAGAAAGAACTTATAACAGCGGAGCTGAAGAAGCATTATATATATTTTGTACAAACACCAAAAATTCAGTATAACAAGATTGATAGTCAAGTCCAAGAACATCTCCGGTCAGAAATACGATGATAGAGACCGACTCGTTGTAAATCTTGATTTCAATTATTGATTCTTACTTTAGAGTAAAAAAAAAAGGATTTACCCGTATATAGTTGGTAGAATTGCACATAAACGCAGAGGATTAGGGAACAAACCTCTAATTGTTCTTGGAGATGTAGTCCCACTTCTTCTTGCAATCTCATCAACTCTTTAATTCTTGATCCCTCCGGATAAATCTCCTCTTCTTTGACCCTTTCTCCTGCAGAATCATTTAACAGCGTAAAAAAAAGTTAAAGAACATTTACTGCTTAGTTTTGGATCAATGGGTTAATGAGCCAGTCAACAGTAAAACCATATACACTATACCTTGTATGGAATCTTGAACATGTTTTAAAGTTCGATATTTCTGATTTGGATGGATTTAAAAATGAGATTAGCTAAGAAGGAACCATATGCATATATGTATCCAGATCATTATCTAAAAAGGAAATTGATGTGGTACTTACCTGAAGATGGCTCTTGACATGGTAGATGGTCAATTCATGTGTTCTCATAAGCTTCAAGATCCGCTTTGGTGTCGCTTCTACGAGTTCAAGAATAAATTGGGAAATTTAAAGGGTAAATTCATTTGTTTTTTTTTTTATTATTCGTTAACGAAATCGACGCACTTAATATATATATATAGGAATTACATGAAAAGATCATACTCATGGGGCCACCAAGGTGATTCACACATTCTACAAATTTGTCGTGAAGATCTATTGTCCACTTGATCCTTGTTTTGCTAGAAGATGAGCTTGTAAACTCAGAGGCAGATTCGCAACTTGAAGACCTCGCTGATGGATGTTCCTGCTGAGACCATGAACCTTAGTTAGAACTAATTATCTCTAATATACAAGTTCATAAGTACCTTCTCTACCATAAATTTATTTACCTACGAAACATTTTAATACAAATAAACTTCCTCCGGTCTCCAACCCGAAGAGATTATAAGGTCGACAAGGTTTATTCAAGATTCCTAAACTTCACCACTCAAAGCTAACATATATTTATTTATTTCTTGGAACTTGGAAGACGTATATATAAATTTATTTATTTTGTTCTTGTGGTTAAAACAAGGAAGGAAATTTTGTACCGTTGAGAGCTGTGCCACACACTCCAAAGATTGCTTTGAAAGCGAAGTGGTCCGTCTCGAATCCGTTGAGAAAATTTCGGAGATATCGTAGCATTTCCAGCAGTGAATAATGTGCTTACTGCAGCTCTTATGCGAAGACATTATCCGATGCTTTTCTTCTTCCGAACTTCAATAAGGTACACTTTATTTTATTTTTTTTGGGGGGGGGGTTATTAAAGATGTTGCATGTTTAAGGAAAAACAGTCTTCAAATAAAGTAAAATAAATAGAAAGAATAATGTGGAGGTCGAATAAGATAAGTAATATGTATATGGAATGACGACATTGTTACACACCAATGGTGAAACTTCCATAACGACATCTCCTCATGTGTTGGTCACCTCTTCGTAAATTATTCCAAAAAACAAAATAATGAAGATATTACAATCATTAATTGAAGCAAAATTTTACGCATATAATATCAGTCATCTAGTCTTTTCTTATTTAGTTTTTACTCATTTCGTTATATTTAAGTGTCCTTTAAAGAAAATTCACAAACTAAGAAAATTCTTTAAATTTCTAAGGTACACTACCACACTTAATAATACCTTAAGTTTCTATTTCTTACCAAGCTAAAATGATAGAGATAAAAATCTAACTAGAAATAAAACTTTGTCTGCGTAAAAACAATGAGCTAAAATAATGACATGTATATATATTCTTATAAATCAATTTTTCTGTTTAGAGATTTGATCATTATTTGATTGGAAAATATCATAAATTAAAATAATATTTTTTCAAAGTCTAGCTCACCAAATTCCAAAAATAATACAAATTATTGTGTGAAAACGTTTTTTGCTATAAATGAATTATAACTAAGATTAAAATATTATGTTTGGGATCTCCTTTTCCAATTAAGAAGAGATTTTATGTCATTTTTACATTGAACTTATGCTATCACTGGATCGTTAACCTACTACGTTTAGAACAAAAAAAAAAAAATAGGCTATTTTAAAAATTGTATTCAATAGATTTATAGAGATTTAAAAGAATTTTAGAAAATCTCGGAAAATTCTCGAACCAGACGAAACTATTTTACATTAGTGCACATAATCCTCGTATATCACTTTCTCGTATCAAAATTCAACCTAGATCATTTCATATGTTTGCTCGTGTCTCTACCAATGATTTGGTTCGGGACCAGACCATTGTAAGAAAATGACTCTTTTTTTTACGTCCAATGACTTTTCCTTTTTTGTTGACATAGTGACTCTTTATCACAAAATGTGACTCCATTTACAGCATTTTCTAAAACAAAATTTATAAATGGGTCTTTCTCTGTAAATGGTGTCATTTTCTAAAATAAACTCGGTTTGGACCGGGCGTGAATTGCCTGATACAATTCAAACCACCTCCATGCAAAATATTTCATGCAATACGATTTGTTTCTATTCTCCTTTTATCTAGTAATACATATTGTAAACACAGCCGAAAAAAATATTCAAAAAAAGAAGGTGAAACAAGAAGAAAAGAACTTGCCAGCAGCATATATACAGGTCGATTGCTTTTGTAAACATCGTCAAACTTCTCATATTAAGCCCATTTGTTATTATATGACCTCATGGTCTTCAGTTTGAACATAGTAATGTAGATTTATATTTGTAATACCAAAGTAACCGAGTTTAATATGGAAAAAAAAAGAGATGAAAAGAAATTGAATTTTCAAAGAAGAATATATTAAAAAGAGAAAAAAAAAGAAAGAAATAAAACGTGGGGTTCCTCATGCACAATGTTAAAAAGCAACGTTACTAATCTAAGAAGCTATCTCTCTATGTGAGTTTTTTAATAAAACAAATATTAATGAGAATAATCTCACACATCTATTAGTCTATGACTGAGACCCCATCACACACCACTTGCCCACATTTAGTACCTGATTCTGCTCCCAAGTGTTAGTGTGTGTAGCACTTTGTCCATTCTCTTGTCGCGACGCTTATAACTTTATACCACTTTGAATAGAGTAAGAATTGAAACATGCTTTAGGACTTTTCTAGTTAACCAATCTCTTCTTTTTCAACCTATCTTTGAATGGAGTAGAGCGTCTCCATAGTTTGTTAGCATCAGGGCTTCGGGGTCTTGTATGGAGACAGGCGGTGGAGAGTGATCGGGAGCTGAGAGAGGCAATGATGCTTCGGTGTTTGGCGTTTTCAGAAGACTCTCTTTTGTTTTTTGTTGTTGTTCTATCATTATTTTCAATTGTTTCCCTTGTTCTTCGATTCGCAGTTGTAGGTTGCGTTGAATCTATTAAAAAAAAGGTCGCATGAGCTAAGATTAATGGTAATTAAAAAAAATTGTATATAGATTAGTATGATAAAATAGTCAATTAGCGACATAGATATATGTTTAAACACATATATAATCTCAAAAAACTCAAAAGCCCTTATTCGTTCTTGAAAACAAGTTTTGATGTACAGCTTAGAAAACGATAGCTTTTGACAATTAAATCTAAATATTTTGAGGAAATTATGAAATAGGCGAGTGAAAGCCTATTTAACCAAAAAAAGGACTTAAGTGGGGAAATAAAATAGGAACGAAATACCAACACACCTACTTGGTAAAAAAAGTATCTTAAATTATCCAATATCTTGATTAAGGTATATATTTATATTTTGTAACTTACCTCTAATTGTTCGTGAAGATGCCTCTGAACATCCAGTTGAAGCTGGAGTGCCTCTTTAATTTGCACTCCACTGCCTCCACAAGGACCACAACACAAAAATTGGAAAAGAAAATAAATCATTAACAGGCTATTAGTTATTACTTTTTGAATAATGTTAATCGTATCTTGTTGTTATTGATACGCTAAGCCATTGTGTCATTAATTTTGGATTTATATGGAGGTAAATAGAGAACCATTTATAATAAAGAAAATATTAGGAAACTAAACGTACGTTTTTGTGTCAAGCTGAGACAGCTCTTTGGCACAAGCTCTCTTCTCAAACTTGCCTGCAACACAAAACTCTATCTTTAAATTTGCATTATTCCCAAATTATCAATGCGTTGTATATAAAAAAAAATAGTAAAGATATCTATTAGTGTACCTTCTTCAGAATCAGGGATGTATTTCGCAATCCTATACTTCTGAAATTTAAGCCAAAAACTATTTAATAAAATCTTCTTTGAAAAAAAATGGGAAAAGAGAGAGAGGAAGGAACCTTGACCTGTAAGTGGCTTTTAACATGAAATATTGTGAGTCCTTCAGAATCCATCAGCTTCAGTATCGCCTTGGGCGTTGCCTCTGCATAGTATTGCACCACTTACACTTTTTAGTGACCCACCAAGAAACAAGACATTTATTTCCGTTAAACAAATATCAAATCATCTTTCCAAATAATGCGCATATTTGCTTCAAAAGGAGAAAGTTTACAATCCACTCATATATAGTGTTATATGAGAGCGTTATAACTTCATAAGATGGCTTCTTATCTCATGTAATGTAATCATCATAACATCTACATGCTATGGTTAATACATGTACTGTCCATGATTCATTTACATATCTAAACATAACTAATTATGCTAAAGCAAAGTAAATATTATAAGTGACTGAGAACTAATAGATTAGTTCCTCTAGTACTTCTAAAGTTGAAGTCTCGTTAATGGGTATAACTTACTGTCAGCACCACCAAGGCGATTCACGCACTCCACGAACTTCTCATGAAGATCTTGAGTCCATCTTATCCGTGTCTTGTTCCCGGTTATCGTCCCACAGTTAGGAGCCATGGACCCTGATCCATGGGTTGAGAAGGAAGGAGGAGAGGAAAATCTTGGATGAGTTTGTTTAGGTTGATGATGTGACGATGAGAAATTCAGTTGTGTTACATTAGAATTACTATAGGTACTCCTACATAGTCCCTGCGGAGAACAATTCAATTAAACCATCAAGTTGAATCATCATTCTAAAAATAAATAAATAAATAACATGTTAAGAACAAAAAAAAAGATTGTAAGAAAAGAATGTTGAAGTGATTTTCTTGGCATACTTGTGAATCTTGACTTGCTTCAAAAGAAAGCGAGTATGAGGCTGATGAAGCATTTGCTGCGGCGAAATCGTTGGCGCATGATCTTTGATATAATGGCTTTAAGTATCGATCCGGAAGAGGCTGCATAGGAACCATCGATTCGGATTGGTCCAAGGATGGAGGATCGGAAGATTGATGATGGTATGGATGCAACGAGGAAGGATAGGGCTTTGATAATGAACATTGTCCGGAGAAAGATGGATTGGCTGTGCAGTCGTATGGAGTAAAATCAGAGAAAGTTTCGGTAGTCCATGGAGATGATTGATTGTAATGGATCATATTCACGTCTTGTAAGTTAAACGGCTGGGGCGGTTGCGGCTGCGATTGTAGCCGGCTTCCTTGTGAGGCGTTTGAGAATTCAAAGTTTATGTTATCCATCAAAGAACAAACAAGAGAGACCCGGATTGCCAGTTTTGCATCAGAAACATATGATCTTGTTGCACGTTCAATGATATATTAAACGGAAGAAACTAAAATAAGTTCGAAGTTGGAAAAAAAATATAAGAAAAAAATGAGAAGATTCGACTAAACAAAAAACAAAAAATAATCGGAGGAATAACGATCGAAATGAAATCTAAAGTGTTTTGTTTTTTTGGTTTTTGAGTTTTCTGGAATCTCTTTACATTCCTCCAAAGTCTTCAGGTGCAAGAGGGATGAGTATTGATATAGGCAATGCCTTTTTATTCTCAAAATGGATAGGAGTGCGCATTTTTTAATTATCCAATGGCCATAATTGCAAAAGTCCAAAATTCTTATTTCAATTGCTAATATTATACAGAGAATTGTAATATTAATTCAACCCCCACTTGCTTAGACCTTGTCTTTATTCTTCTTCATTAATTTGCAGAAACATTAAAAAAAGAGGTTGTTCACAAAAGTAGTAAGATCGCACGGAAATCGATTTTAGTATCCTAAATTAATTTAAAACCCTAACTGATCCTCTTAAACCATGCATAAAGATACTCAGTTAATGTGTATATATTGCACAGACATGTTTAAATTTTCCGATTTTTTTTTTCTTTTACAAAAACCTAAAAAGAATTTGTAAACAAAAATAGTAAGATCATACGAAAGTCAATTATATTATTAATTAATTCCTTTTTAAACCCTAACTGATCCTATAACCATGCATACATGTACAGAATACTCAATTAATGTATGTATAAGTGACTTAAGTGTATGTAGATATACATTATATGCAGGCCATTCCCTTTAGACTTGGATCAATCATCAAGCTTAGAAAAGTATGTCGATTTAGTTGAACTAGATGATTGATCCATGTGCGACTATCTTTGATCGACTTTTTTTGGTTGGTACTATTTATCGTAGATCGACTTGATGTCTTTTTTTTTTTATTTTATTATTATTTAAGTAGTATTACAAAACCCCATACCTTATTGAGAATAAAAAAACAATTAATCAGATACAAACAGCACTGTTAATAAAACAAATTTAACGGGAAGCCGACTCATGATAAACAATGTATCTGATTCAGAACGATTCAAATATTTATGTCCACATTGTTCAACCAGTAAGGATGACATAGAAAAAAGTTTCCAAAATAGATAAAACGTAGAACACAGGGAAGACTAAAAGACACATAGTCAAACCATTATTTGACGGTTGCCGGCCGGTACAGTGATTATCATGGTACGATAGGTAAAAGCAAAATAAAAATTTGCCATGCATTCAATCACACAATTTCACTGTTATTTTTATCTTCATATTAAAAAGAATTTCAGAAATAAAAGCTCGAAAAATTAAAATTTTAGTTGAATCGAAACCAGATTTTAAATGTGGTTTTCCTATATATTAATTATTGGATCTCTGATTGAGAACTTTTTTGAAAGAGGTTTAGGTTGGGAACTTCCAATTAGTATTTTTTTCTGATTTACAAAGATATAATTAAATATAATGTTTTGAAAAACTGTCATTTACCTAAAGCTAATAATCTATGTGTTTTAACCATTTTGAATTACTACTTATACAGTATATGAGTATATATAAAAAAAATAATATTCTTTAATACGTGTAAAATATGTCAAAATAACACTTTCATGAGTAAATAACACAACATATCTTCTATCAAAAAACGACACAACATAGCAGTTATTGAAATACGTATATTTAACTTAAATAGATTAGTAATGAGTAATGAATAACTCAATACCCAATCAAAAATAATTTTGCGTTTGTCAAACACTAAAGGTATTGGGTTTCGGATACATTTAGGACCACTGAATATAAATTAAAAATTAATATAAAATTTATTTTGTTCTACCCAAGATATGGGAGAATATTTACAATGGCATCTTTTATTAATAATGTAATTATAACGACGATTCTCGTATAAATCCCATTCGCTTTTTTTCTTTCAAGCATGAATTTGATAGTCGAAAAAGACATATCGAATTATTCTATCTTCAAAAAGTTTTGTTTGGCCAAATGCAACTTCGCTATCTATTTTTCAGTTTGATTTGAATTTATTTAATACTTAAGATGAGCCAATTAGATTTTCCATACAAAAAAAAAAATCAATGAAAGATTCAGTAATTTCAGTTCCACTTCCAAAAGTTTGCTGAAAGGTAAACCACATTACGCACCCAAACAACAATAGACAAATAATTAAATCCATAGGTAAGACCACGAAGAGATATAGCAGCATCGAATTCCATTCTATACTCTCGTCTAGATTAATTCAAATCTTTTTTATTTTATTTTTCATATTAAGGTACCTATTTGTATCATCTTTCAACATACGTTCAGTTTTTATTCACGGACTGATTTTTAATATTTGTGATTGGGGTTTTCCAATTAACGCTCTGATCAGGTGATCAAGGCGTTGTCGTTAACAAAGACATCTCTATGGAGTTATTTGTTTAAGTAACCATTCAAAACTATACTACTATTTGTTTGTACAAAAAAAAAGCTATACTATTTGTTTTATCTTGTAATTTATTCTTGTATTTTCCTATCTTTTCACACTAGATATTATACATCGTTTTAAAATTAAAATTCCTTTTTATAAAATATTAAATGTGCGCATTCGCAATATGACATTTAACTAAATAAGTTCTGTAGGCAGTGTAAAATAATGACACATTAGGCATTTTGATTTATTTTTAATGTGTGTAAGAAAATCAGAAAAAAAAAAACCAGTACTAGGATATGAAAAAGAACTACCCAATCGTCGCAAACACATTGACATACGCTGAAATCGTAAATCTCAAAGCTTTAGATTTTATTGTATGAGTTAATAATAATTTGTCTCTTATTATAAAGTTTCTTAGATGGCTATTTCTTCTTAAAAAAAAAGATGAAGCCGTTGCCCTTATGAAAAAAAAAACTAAAGAGAAGTTTGGTATTTGAAAACGAAAAGATGGTGGACCTAATCAATTTTAAATGGAAAGCAACAGTGGAACAACTGTAAGATTCCCCCTACGTGTTAAAAATAATGCCAATAGGCCAATACTATTCTTACAAGTTGCACTTCCCACTTTTTTTTTTATTTAATTACATTTTCTTCAGACAAGTCTTTGATTGTTTAACTTATTTTGTTTACTAATTTCGATTTAAAAATATACTTTATAAATTCGTCTTTGCCAGTCAGAGATGGCCCTCTGACGCGTGTTCACATAACAAATATTTGATACTTTTTAATTCAATATTTTTTGTTTTAATTGTCAATATTTTTTGTTTTAATTGTTCGACATCGGGTGAATTGGTTTGGGTAAATATTATTCTGTGTTACAAAAAAGAAAAACTATTATTGTTTCTCCTAGCAGGGAAATTTTCGTTATACTTTATTAAAGGCGACATTTGAAGAAATTTGACCTCAATTTGAAGTACTAATAAAAAAAAACATTTTAATAGAGGGACCACGTTCAGCAGCTGGAAGATGTAAATAAAATAAGTAAGTAATACTCAAATATCCATATAAAAATATTTCGAATACGTTCCGAATCTCCACATATGAACAAACAAATCATAAATCTCGAACAAGAAAAAAAAATAAAATATCTGTGTTTGGGGGTTCTAATTCTGAAAACAATTTCTATGTCCATCCGGCTTTATGTTAACCAAAAAAGTATCATATAATACCCAGTTAACAACAGCAAAAAAACACCATGCTATGTATTTTTAACTGTTACGGAAACTGGTAACACCATTTTACAAATTGTGCGTGCCACGGCCACCCAAAAACAATATTATTACAAGGGTCTCTTTTATATCCTCATGAATTTGTGGATTTATCGATTAGTGTTCAAGACTGCGTCATAGATTGAAAATGGACCAGTTCAATTTCAGTTTTAAACATATTCAAAAATTAGTTTATATTATAACTATTTCACACCAGCTAAAAACATGTATTAAAATTTCTATGATATCCATATAATAAGAAATCAATTTTGGTATTTTGTTCTATTTTATAATTTTTTATTAATTTTGAAGGTTGAACTGAGTATTTTAGGCACAAATATCACTTATCTAAAACATGAAATAATACTAATTAACAACAACACTTAATTTAGAATGGAGTAATAATCTTTTCAAGTTATAAATAAAATATTCTTATTCAAGAATATTTTTTCATTACTTTTAGACTTAGTTGTCGTTTTTAAAAAGTCTAAAGATTATTTACATTTTCATAAGTTATAGGATTAATAGGAATCGAGACATAAATACGAAAGAGATGGCTCAGGGTAAAGGCGCCAGAGGAAGCCTAATTGATCCTTTATCTATATGGGCTCAGAGACATTAAATCAAGCCCATATTACAAAAGCTTTCGGCTTCACCGTCAGCTCGTGGCAAAAAGTCGTGTCACCATAAAAAAGTACAAATAGTATTATCTTTTTCATAAAACACAGTTTGAATTCTTACGATATTTGTTGATGCATGTTCAAGAGAAGTAACAAGCAAAGTTGGGGACAGTTTATTCTCAATTTTGTTACCTAATCTTCTAACGTACGGGGTTGCTATGGAAATATAACAGCTCATTTTTTTGAGAAAAAAAGAGATATAAACATAAATAAATAAATATATTCAAATATTTTGAAATATATGAAGCGGGGTAGTAGAATTGTTATGGTCATGATATGGGGATCCTAGGGATTTGTTTTAAAGCTTAAAAGCGTTCTGTATATTTCATGTGGTCTAAGATTCCTCATCCACCTTTATAACGCCCGTTTGAATCTATAGTGAATTAGTAACGTTTGTTATTCGATGTTATATAATTGGTTTTACATCGATCAAACTGTGGATCAATATCAAACCAAATGAGTTGATCTTGATCAGTTTATCATCAAAAGAGAAGAAATTAGATTCATTACTTCTGGAAGTGAAATAGCTATTAACTAGTTTTATCCATTCTATACATTATATCACTTGTTATTAGCCTATTACCTTCAGACCTGAAATTGGTTGCCTAACGTATACTATGACCTGTTGAAACCAAAAAATGGAACTCAAACTATTGACTAAACCTTTTATTTGATGTATAAATTCCAAAAGGAAAAAAACATTATATTTGCCAGACCTCGGGTTTACTAAAAATTTTAGATAAAACCAACATAAATTTCAAATAAACCAAGACTAAATTTTCTTCAAAAAGAGAATGTTTATTGGGAAACAGAGAGAATTTGAGCAAATCCAAATTATTTTCAGTTCATAAAAAATTTGATTCATGACAACAACAACAACAACAACAAGAGGAGACAAAAAGAAAACGAAGCTATACCAATAACCGGTTGATGCCCCTTAATTAGCTGTGGATATTGAAAAATTAGCAAAGATGTGAAAACTGTAGTTGAAACATAGACAGTACAAAAGCAGAGTCAGAGATCAGTGTCGGAAGAGTAATATTTACTTGAATCTAAAGTCACTTCTACTCTCTTTCAAATCTGAGTTGTTCCTAGTATTCGGCAAACATGTCAGAATCAGTGGGGTCACACCACCCCGACCACAATTAAACTCTCCAAAGTGGAGTGGTATCACTTTAAATAGTCCAAAAGATTGAGGGTTTTTAAGTAATTCCATACCCTTCACAATCTTCCAATATTCAGCTAGAGTAGTATTAAAGCTCTTCCTAACAAAAAATATTTTCTAACTAGAGAAGAGAAAGAGAGAGAAAATGGCAGTGCCACTCAAATCAACATCCTCTATGTCTTCTCAATGTCCATCTTCATCATCACCAAGCTCGAGCTCCATGAAGCTCAAGTCCCTAATCCAAACTCTCATCATCTCTCATGTTTGTCACCTAATCCGCGAAATCTCCCGAGCCTCATCCATTCTTGTTAGAGTCTTGAGGAAGAAGCAATACAATCTCTTGTCACTATCTTCTTCATTCTATCCAAAGAGAGCCTCCAAGAAACAAAAGACTAATATACTCTTCGGCTCCTTCAGACTTCACTACAACTTTTGCTCCTCTCACGTAGTGCCTGTCTCTGCGCCGGTACGTCTCCCTGAGGAGCTCTACTTGGCCCATCTCCAGTACGACTCTACTTGGGAGTCAATGTACTCCACCGAATCGATGGATGGCCTCGATGATGATAGTGTTGATGATGATATTCAAGAACCATCTCAGCTCTCCAGCTTTCTAAGACAGCTAGAGGATGGTAAAGTTAAAGACGGCAAAGAAAAAGAAGAAGAAGAAGAAGAAGGAAAAAAGAAGATGATGATGATGAATGAGATTGATAAATTGGCTGATATGTTCATAGCAAATTGTCATGAGAAGTTCATGTTGGAGAAGGTTGATTCGTATAGGAGATTCCAAGAAATGCTGAATACAAGCAGTTGATGGGCCCTTTTTATCTTTCATTTCTTTTTATGTAATTTCACTCTTTTTTTTTCCTTCTTTTTTGCTTTTGAATTCCTTCATGTTATTCGAATTTATCTGGACATGGACTGGAAGCATAGGGATGGATTGTGTGGTGTTGGTTTCTGTTTCCATATATGATGATGATGGTGGTGGTTTATAAATTATATGTAGATTACACAATCCAAAAGGAAAACAGAGGATTGGTTTTTGTTACTTAATTTGGCTTTTGTGGTTTGTGTTTTTTTGCTACTTGTATCTTGTGATACCGTTGTTTGCTTCTGATGTACAAAAGGGGACCTAAAGATTTTGGAATTAATCTGACTTTTCTACGCTCCCATTTGATCTCTCTTTGAAATATTGTTTTGTAAAATTATCTTGTGGAGACATTTTGCCCTAAAAATAACTAATTTATATATGACCAAGACTTTTAGTTAAGTGGTTTGTAGTCACCGGACAATATGGGCTGATAAAAAACTTACGGCTAACTCAAAGTCACACACAGGACATCCCATCGATAGCTCACATCGCTCCATAAACACGTCACTTGTGCATTTCGCAAGCATCGAAACCTTATAATAAGAAACAAAAGAGATACTCATGTAAAGAAACGTGTAAGTGGGGAAACATTTTCGATGAATGTGAAGACGCAGCAGATTTCCAGATTCTTACACTCTTGGCCACTGGTATTCTCTTTGGACCAAGACCCTCAGGGGGGTCTCTTTCGATGTTTTCCAACCACACAATGAAGCATATTTGCAAACAGATTCAGTACAATTTGAAGTCTCAAGTAGGATTAAAACTGATGTACCAAGAACCAAAAAAACAAAAAAGTAAAGATGAAAGAGTTTCAAGATCGAGTTTCAAATGGCAATCAATTAAAGCCGGTTCCGTCACGTGTCCTGTGCGCTCGTTCTTGAGCTTCACTTCGTTTTCGAGAGCCGTGGAGAAGAAGACGTTTTCAAATTATTATTATTATTTTTTTTAAAAGAACACAAACTGTAACAAAAAAATTATCCGCTGCCGGAATTCGAACCCGGAAACATTAATATAGTTGAGGACCATAGTTTTAACCTGAGCGCTACAGCGGAACTGTTGTTTAGTTACGACTAATAGAACATATATTGCTAAAGTAAGGTTTGTTAGATATTTGCGTAAAGACCAAAAATCCAAGTTTCGGTTAACATTTTTTTTAAAAAACTTAATTTACGTTGGTTCGGTTAAAATGGCAAAACAAAAATATATTTTATGGACATTAAATTTAATAATTTTATTAAAATATTTTATCAGTGAGATTCAATTTATATTTTAGTTATTTCATGTTTCATCTTAGTCGTGTTTAACCGGAGCCTCTAGCTCTGGTAGTAAAGGACCCTCAGCTGAGGTACCCGCCATCACGAGTTCGAATCCCGACCACTGCAGAATTCACATATGGGCTGCAGCGTCCCAAGAACCGACACGTGGAGTGTATTTGGCCGCCCACGTGGCTAGTCTGGACCTACCTCGGTAGGGCCAAGACATCTGAATTATCAAAAAAACAAATCTTAGTCGTGTTTTAATGCATAAAAGAATGTATCATAACGAATCTTACATATGTATAAGTGTACTTATATCATATTTTTCTAAATTATCATATCATGTTTATATCTTTTATGTATGAAATCAACTAGAGAAAAAAAAAATGAAATATATATATATATATATAAAATTTGTGGAAAAGGAGATACCTAGAAGTTAGAATACACTATATGACTAAAGAGAAAGAAGAAAACAACAGTCATGTTTTCAATACCCAAACGAAAATTGGGAAAACCAAATTTTGAATTGGAGATGGAACCTTTAATCTGACCAATGTTGCTCTGTTTTCTGGTCAACTGGTACGTTCCCCAAGTGTTTTTTTATATCAAAGTGCTGTATGTTCTCTTCTACAACATTTCATTAGCAGTCTTGGGCCTAACAGGCTTATGTTATCATGTTACTAAAGCCCCCAAAGAAATTATAAAAAAAACGAGTCATCTTGTCTTTTAAAATGAACTAGCGCTTCCGACCAAACCAGTTTCTCTCTCCTCCAAACCTCAACTTGAACTTCCCGTCGTCGATCTTCTTTATCGCACGTTGTGCCCAAACCCAACACACACTGCACTTCCGCTTTTAAAAGATCAATCTTTATCGAGAGTTTAAAAAAAAAAACTTTTCTCTTTTTGCAAATTCTTTCAATTTCTCTCGTTAGGATCCCTACGATTTACCCGCACGCCGGATCCCATCGACCCCTTTACCGCCTCTGCTTTGGGAGTCAATTTGTTCTCAAGGATTTTTAGGGTTCCTTATCAGAATATTGCGGTTTTCAGACAGCATTCTGATTACGGCGGTATTTCCATCTCTCTACTGTTTCTTAATTACTGATTAGTTTCAAGGATTTGTTTCTGTTTTGCGTTTAGTAGCTTTTTGTTTTGTTCATTGAGAGATCTAACAGTGCTTTGAGTTTGGGTTTAAGACGTCATCTGTTTTGTGCCAGCTTCAGTCTATAGATTGTTTGTTGATGTCTATTTTTCTTTGTTTTGGATAATGTTAGTCCGTGAAGTAGGAATGGGAGTTTTGTGTGCTAAATCCGATTTATCCATCTAAAATTAAAAAAAAAATGTGCTGTCAATTTGTCATACAAGTGTTTTTAACATGACAGAAAAAGGCTTGGAGAAAAAAAGGGGCAGATTTCTTTGGATGGCAAGACTTGTACGCTAGGTTTCTTTCTGCGTGATATCAGACGACACAGTGATATGGAAACACAAATTCATATACTTGAGCAGGAAGCTTATTGTGCTGTCTTAAGGGCTTTCAAAGCACAATCTGATGCAATCTCTTGGGTAACTCCTTTTCTCCGTTGCCTTGAAAAGGTTTTAAACTGTACTGTCAAATGTCATGAGCAAAGGATCTGGCTTGTATGGTTGCGTTTTAGGAGAAAGAAAGCATGATAACAGAGCTACGTAAAGAATTGAGGGTATCTGATGATGAACACCGACAACTGTTGAACACTGTCCATAATGACGATATTATCAAAAGGATAAGGTAACAAGTCTGATTTCGCGACAGTAGAAAGCTATTGTTTTTACATGAGAACTCCGATGTATCTATGCTGTAATGATGGAACTGTACCCGACAGGGATTGGAGACAGGGAGGAGGAAACCAAGTTGTTCGACATGGAAATAACCAGTCCCTCGATGTTCTTCCGAGTCCTACTTTTTCAGCTTCTCGAAAGAAACAAAAGACGTTCCATTCCGTAAGACTTCTGGCTTACATCTTTCGTAGTAGGACAGGCAGATGATATTTGTATTTTCATATAGTTCTTTTGGTTATTTCCTGATCAAATTCATTTGTGATATTGCATGCAGTATCCATCGATTGATTCTACTAGAAATAGGTCATTCAGTAACAGCGTAGTATCTGGTGCCGTATCAGCAAATGAACCCCCTGAAGCTCTCATTGGAAGAAAAGTATGGACAAAATGGCCTGAAGACAACAGCTTTTATGAAGCAGTAGTTACACAATACAATTCAGATGAGGTAACTTCCTAGGGCTTAGACTTTCCATCGAGACTCAGTCAGCCTCTAAACTTGATCAAAATTAACCAGTTTAGTTCAGAGCATAGTTACGTGTTGATACTCTAGTGCAGGAGCATTGTATATACCATAGGTGGTTTGGTAATAGATTGTAACTGTGTTGACAGCTCAACAACTATAGTTGAGTCGCTTAGCTAGAGAGCTAAAAGGAAGTTTAGGCAGAATGGAGTTTGGAATGGTTTTTTTTTTTTTTTTTTGTATGCGTATTTAACATTGAATATGACACAAGTATCTAATAATTGATACACTCATTGTTATTTCGCACAGGGTCGCCATGCGTTGGTATATGACATAAACACAGCGAATGAAACATGGGAATGGGTTGATCTCAAGGAGGTAATCTGGTGTCTTTACAAGTCTTTGAAATCTAATAGGTACTAAGTTGTCCTTGCAAATGTTGCAAACAAGTTGTCTTGTGGGGAAAGGTGCATCTGTTTTTTGGGAATATGGTAGCTTTCCATCTGTGAAATCGCTTGTTAAACAGCTTCTAAAGTGTATCCACGTAGTAGTATGCAGTGTGCACTATGTAATATGATTCCGGTTATGAAGAATCTTAAGGAAGGTATATATATGATGATTGCAGATTCCACCCGGGGATATAAGATGGGATGGAGAGGAGAATGGGGTAACGTTAAATGACAGTGATTTAATCCGTGGGAGTAGAATAACCTTGAGCAATGGTGGTAGAGGGAGAGGTCCAAGAACTCAGCTAGCAGCACAAAACGGTGGTGAGAGGAATTTTTTCGATGAGATCGAATTGTTCAACACAGACTCACTTGTGAAGGAGGTAGGTATCTCTATCTTAGCATTCTGTGAATGAAATTTAACTTTTTTTTTTTTTTGCTCTTTAAAGTGTGGGATTTTCTCTGTTAGGTCGAGAGAGTTTTTGATTCTAACCTTCCTGACCCGCACGAGCTTGATAAGGCAAAGAAGCTACTAAAGGTTAGAGCCGTGAAAAGAATACTTTGATTAGATATTAGATTGATCAATGAAACGGTTTAAAAGTGAAAGTGGTGTTTTTATTGTATGATGCAGGAACATGAACAGGCGCTTATTTCTGCCATTGCAAGGCTCGCAGATGCTTCTGATTTCATAATGTAGAAGTAGTTATTCAACTAAGTATAAATCGGCTGGATATGATTTAGATTTTAATCAAGAATTTTTCATTCTAAAATAGTTTTGTTTTTTTACCGGATATCGAAAAAAATACTTTCATTCCTATCCATATAAAAGCTTACTGAAGAAAATACCCAAAATCCATAGGAAAACTTTTATTCCTATCCAAAAAATAATTTTTGTTCTTCATCACATTAGCATATAATTTCTGTTCTTTATTACATTAGCAATATCATTTTCCTTTCGATCAATCAGGACCATCACATTAACCGGGGCCGATGTTCTTTATTACATTAGCAATATCATTTTCCTTTTGTAGACGTAACATCGTTGACAACCGTCGAACACGGATTGAGCACTTAATAAAAAAAGAAAAAGAAAATTACCGAACTCTTTGCGTTCCCCAAAGCCTAACACGCGTCGATGCTCAAACTTCTCTACGACTCTGCAGGTCCGTACACGTGTAAGACGAAGAGCTGCAACACAGCGCCTACCACCTCTTGTTTCATGACACGTATCGCTGACGTGTCACCAAAACCGTAATTAAATAATAATCACGGTTGCCGTATAGTACCACGTGTCGAAGACGATGCCTATATTATGGGACATACTCACCGAAGCAAAGCATATATTTTGACAAACAAAACACACGTAAGAATCATTAGTATCTTTTTGTAACATTCTTTGAATTTCACCAAAGGAAGGAAGAAAGAAAAAAAAAAATGCAGTCGATGAAGGAAACAGCTTCGAACATTGCAGCTTCTGCAAAGTCTGGCATGGACAAGACTAAAGCTACCTTGGAGGAAAAGGTAATATTATCAATTGAATTGTGTTTATCATTTATCGAATCAAAATAACAATATGATTTCTGTGATCGTTTTAATAAATGATGGTGTTATTGGTTTTGGTTTTCAAAAAGGCGGAGAAGATGAAGACACAAGACCCTGTTGAGAAACAGATGGCCACACAGAGGAAAGAAGGAAAGATCAATCAAGCTGAGATGCAGAAGAGAGAAGTGTATGAGCACAACGCCGCCATGAAAGAAGCCGCTGGAGCTGGAACCGGAACCGGTTTGGGTTTGGGTTCGGCCACTCACGCGACCACTGGACACCTTGGACACGGCACTGGGACCCACCAGATGTCGGCTTTGCCTGGTCACGGCACCGGACAACCAACCGGCCACGTTGTGGAGGGTACGGCCGTGTCCCATCCGATCGGAAGAAACACTGGAACTGGTCGGACCACCGCTCATAACACCCATGTCGGTGGTGGTGGGACCACTGGGTACGGAACCGGTGGAGGATACACTGGATAAGGCGTGTTTCTTATTTGCTCTGTTTTTGTCAATTCCAAGTTTGTTGCTTTTGTGTATTTATGTTGTATTTTCGGGTCCTATCTTTGTTTATTTTTTACTAAGTAACTGTAGCCGGTAGGACTTTCGCTTTCGTTAGTTTGGCTTTTCTTTTCTTTTCTTTGTTGCCTGTGACAGTTTGGCTCTCTGAGTACGTAATTTGTTTTGTGTTATCATCCTATTTATAAAAGTTGAAACTCAGGTCGAAAATAAAAGAGTTGATAATGATACACCTATTGGCCTTATGTTACCAACAAGGCTAAAGCCGATCTTAGACTTTGCTTTTGGGGTTATGCGATTCTGTAGCATGTTTGAAATCTATTGTATCTCATCAACATATATAATCAACATAATAAAAAGTTGGATTTCCATAGTTTATATATGTTTAGTTAAAACAATTCCACCTAATCTTTTCTTCTACAAAACCAACAAAATTGCAAATTTATTCTTCGTCTCGTTGAATCGCCGAACAAAACAAAGTTTTAAACTATGAAGTACTGTTCCACGATTGAAAGTTGTAATCTTAAGGAATAATTTATGACGCAACGAATGAAACAGTGAAATAAAATAATCAAGCTATAAACAAATGTACAAATTCATTTGTAGTTTTTTTGTGTGTAATTTGTAGGTTATGTTTTCTTTTAGTATATATCTATTTTTTTATCTTGGTTAAATTTTCTAGTATCTCGCCACTAAACATGATGTTGAGTTACTTGGGTATCGCCAATGATTTCACTTTGTTTTATGAAGGTAAAACATCTACTTTAATCATGAATTATGATAAGTATATTTGTAACGTTAGTTTAAAATTTCGTCTCCTTCTCTTCCCAATATCGATGCGCGCGGTTAATAATCTGCGTTATATGTTATAGAAAGCTACGACATTATGAAAAGTGCATTGAGATTTGAGGCACAACATACGCTTTGATGGGATAGAAGTTGAGGCTGCTATTATCTATTTATCTCATTGTTCGACTGTTTTTTTTTTTTTTACTACCCATCTACTAAACCATGTTTTAATCAGTAGGATGATGATTCCGGAAAGTCGCATCCACCAATTCTGTTTGATTTATATGGGAGAATATGATACTTCGTACTCGAGCTTTTTTAGCGAGAGAATCAGCTCGGACATTTAAAGCTCGAAGTATATGAATGATGTTAAAACCAAAAAATATTTCTCAAAAATATTGGAAGGCGTTTAATTCTGAAGTGAAAGCCGGCCAATTGTTCGACTGTTATTACATGTTATTATGTTTTTTCACAATTTTTTGGGTGTAAAACAGGAGTCTATTTGACTTTTTTAGAATATGACATAATCTAGAAATTTTAGATACAATATCTCTATTTATATTTTTATTTCGTGAGAAAGAATCAAAATTATCCACTACATAATTAAGTTTACTTTAAATTTTAGATACAATATCTCTATTTATATTTTTATTTCGTGAGAAAGAATCAAAATTATCCACTACATAATTAAGTTTACTTTAATTTATGTTTATCAAATCAAATACAAACACTTGTAACCACTAATTAAATACCATAAATCCGACCTTAATTTGTAATTTTATAAAATTTCACAATAAACTACAGTACATTATTAAAAAAGAATCTCTTCACAGTATTAGTAACTTGAAATACTCCTCATAGTGTTACAAATGCTTATCTGTATGGGGGAACGCGTTTTGGACTTTTTACTTGTAAACAAATCGAGGAAGAGAAAAAATATGACGTGAGATCCTTGGGAATACTTACAAAATTACGTCAACAGTTTGATTACCCATTCATTGCGTGAAATACGAAAATAAATGTAAAAGGAGAAAATTTTAATTTAATTTATAGGACGCAACTTTAATTAAAACAAATCATATTTTTCACACTTTGCTACAACCACTCTCACTCTCTCTCTCTAGACCGAAGAAAGTCTTTCTCTTTTTTCTCGAAAATCTCTAATTTTTTCTCAGTTTTATCTGTAGAGATTCAACTCAAAAACAAAAGGAAAAAAAAAGAAATAAACTTTGCTTTTCGCAATCTCTGAATTTGCTTTTTGTTCAAAGCTTTTCCCGATTCGTTACTCGTTTTCCTCTCACCTGTTTCAGCTTCGATCCACCACATAATTAATCTTCTGATTTCCCAACAACAGATCACGAAACCCCTCTTCTCTCTCCGCGATCTCCGGTGGGTCTCCGGCGACCTAAACAGAGGTGTTCTCGGCGGAGGTGAGGGCAAATGAGGGATGTTCTCCTGGTTGGCGAGAATGGCGCTTTTTTGTTTGCGACCTATGCGACGGTACGGCCGTATGAACAGGGATGATGATGATGATAACAACGGTGACCATGACGACATCGACGGCGACTCCTCCGGTGATTCTCTCCTCTGGTCTAGGGAACTCGAGAGGCATTCCTTCGGTGATTTCTCCATGGCCGTCGTGCAAGCTAACGAGGTCATTGAGGATCACACCCAAGTCGAGACTGGAAACGGCGCCGTTTTCGTCGGAGTTTACGATGGCCATGGTGGTCCTGAAGCTTCAAGATTCATCTCTGAACATCTCTTTCCCCATTTGATGAGTTAGTCTTTTTCTCCTATTTTTGTTCTGTGCTTCAAGTCAAACTACAAGTCCTCTCTGAAATCGTTTGATTCAGCTTCTCTTAGAATTTAAATCAATGTGTTTGATTTGGTTACTGTGATCGGAATACTTGGTACAACTTGAAATCATGATTCATCTTATGAACAGTGAGCTGAATCTTGACTTTTACCAACTTGACATTTGGTGAGCTGCCAACTTTTATGTGAAGATTACAAACTTTCTTTTGGCAGATTATCTCGATTTGTCTGTTTCTTGACTCATAGCTTTCAACTTGTTTGGAGCTTTGTATTGTTCCTTTTGTCTGCAATTTTTGGATAACAACAATAGTTCCATTGGATGCTTCTTGATGAAACTGACTTTTCCTTTTTAGGACTTTCGAGAGAAAAGGGTTCCATTTCAGAGGATACTCTGAGGGCTGCATTTTTTGCAACTGAGGAAGGGTTTCTCACGCTTGTGCGAAGGACTTGCGGGTTAAAACCGTTGATTGCAGCAGTTGGATCTTGCTGTCTAGTGGGAGTTATCTGGCAGGGGACCTTGCTTATCGCTAACGTTGGGGATTCCCGTGCTGTGCTCGGTTCCATGGGTAATAGTAGGTCAAACAAGATTGTAGCTGAGCAATTGACAAGTGATCACAATGCTGCTTTGGAAGAAGTAAGACAAGAGCTTAGGTCGTTGCATCCGGATGATTCGCACATCGTTGTCCTCAAAAACGGTGTGTGGCGCGTCAAAGGCATCATTCAGGTTTGAAAGTCTTTCTTTTGACTCCCTAAAAGCACAGATAAAAGGTTTTCTTTTTGACACTATGATAAAAAAATAGAGCTATGAAACTGCTATTCTTATTCCAACTGACCAAACCGGAGAGAGTCCACTAGGCTAGCTTAAACTCTGAGCAGCTCAAGCAGACCCATTTTGTCTTGGGTTGTCACACTATAAGACAGTGATCTTATGTTTTGAACTGTGCAGGTATCGAGATCAATCGGTGATGCGTACTTAAAGCGGCCAGAGTTTTCTCTTGATCCTTCATTTCCGCGGTTCCATATCCCTGAACGGCTACAAAGACCGGTTCTATCAGCAGAGCCTTGCGTCTACACAAGAGTCTTGCAAACAAGAGATAAGTTTGTGATATTCGCATCAGATGGACTCTGGGAACACATGAGCAACCAGCAAGCTGTGGAGATAGTGAATAAACATCCTCGTCCTGTAGGTTCCTTAAAGAGTCATAGATTGATAATTTTCCTGTTTTGTTTTTCCTTTTGGGTTCTTACTGATGTTAAAACACAACACAGGGGATAGCGAGAAGGCTGGTGAGAAGAGCGATGAACATAGCTGCGAAGAAGAGAGAGATGAGGTACGATGATTTGAAGAAAGTGGAGAGAGGAGTTAGGAGATTCTTTCACGATGATATAACGGTGGTTGTGATATTCATAGACAATGAGCTCCTTATGGTGGAGAAAGCCACTGTTCCTGAATTGTCCATCAAAGGTTTTTCTCATACCGTTGGACCTTCCAAGTTCAGTATCTTCTTCTCTTAAGATTTTTTTTTTTTTTTTGTTCAACATACTCTCAGAGTTATACATTAATGCTAAAAACGAACACGGATCGATTTTGTACCAACATGTTGATTTTAGTTACAAAAATTGTAGGTACAGTAATAACATCCTTCAACTGCTCATTTGTATGCGAATAATCAAAAAATATTATAATGTTTCCATTTTCATTTTTTTTTTCTATTAGAAACTCTCGTTCGTCGTAGTACCATGGAACAGTGGAAAAAAAAAGATAATGCATAATGATAACAACAACACGTAAGAAACACATAAATTTTTTGATTAGATTGAAATTCGTTTTGCAAAATCACCAAACGGATGAACTGAAAAATGCGATTCCAACAGAAAAAAGTTGTCGCAAAAGGGCAAAATAAGTCAATGAGACCAAAATACTAGCAAAAGTTGTCAGCTCACGAGTGTTGTTGTGTTCATACTCTCTGGTTTTTGGCTAGATTTATCTGTGTTGTTCCTCCAATAAATCTGCTTCCTTGCGTTTGAGAGATAAGATCTCCTCAATCTGTGATAAAGGTCGTGTAGAATCGAACCCATACGTCTCTAGCGCGACCAATGCCTCTTTGTCTTCATCTAGTTCGTCGCTGGGAAGGTCCTTCCCCCGACTCTCTATACTCTCTGATATGTCGAGAAAAGATTGCATAAGACCTAACGCGAAAAATTGACGTATCAGTTGAGGTGTCTGGAACACCCATGGACCATTGAAGTGAGGACGTTGTGGCCATCTTTTGAAAGCCTCCCTTGACTCACACTCCTTCCACCCCGCTAAGGTCTTAGAGGTCTTGACAAAAGGTAAAACAAACTCCGAATTGGGCACTGCAAAGCAGACGAGGAGAAAGTTACGACTCATATCATTGCAAGCCACTTTACCAAATCATATAATTAAGATTTGAGCAACGAGTTGTATATGATTCCAAAAAGGTCCAATGAGACGAGAGTTATGACTAACCAGTCTCAGTCTCAATCTCGCTGCGGAGATCTCTTTTTCCTCTTATGAGTTTTCTTCTTCTTAACCTCCTCAAGTATCTTTGCGTAAGCGTAAGAAAAGAAGCTCAAAGATTAGATTACCATCATGAGGAGGATTACGTTTTCTTTGAGTGGGAATGGTGTGATTATTAGGGCAAACAAACATGTTAGATCGATTTCAAGGAGTAAGGGAATCTATTGGCATTAGTAAGCAGGTGGAGGGTATCGAATCAAGCTCAAAGCTAACAAAGATAGAGAAAAGTAGAAGGGAGCAAATCAGGATATACAGTCTCACCATAATGGCCTCATGATCAATGGGCTAAAATAAGATTTTATGTATGAAAACGAACAAGATATAACTTTACCTTCTCTCGTTCTGCATCCTTTCCCGACCCGGAGCCTAGTGCAAGCAGACCAAAAACAAGGAGAAATAGTTACGACTCATATCATATAAGTAAGATTTGGGCAACAAGTTATTTATGGTTACAAAAATGTCCAGTGAGAGGAGAGTTCTGACTAACCAGTCTTGGTCTCGTTGCGATCTTCTCTTCTCCTCTTATGAAATTTCAGAGCGTTTTCCACACTCCCTGGATTAGGCACTGAAAAAACAACGAGAAACTGCTACAAGTAAGTAATTGTTACAATCATACCAGATCATATAATTAAGATTTGGCAGAAGGAAGCAACAAGTTGTATATAATTCCAAAAGAGCTAAATGAGAGAAGAGTTAAGAGATACCAATCTCAGTCGTCTCAGTCTCCTTGAGGTCTTTTCTTATCCTCTCGTTGAGGTCTTCTCTTGTTACAATCATACCAGATCATATAATTAATAACCTGTTTGTTTTCTTTTTATGCAGTTCAAGAGTGAGTGGTATGGTGTTGATGTTGGATCTGATTTGCGACTAGAGATTCAAAGACAACTTGAATCTCTGTTCAAATATCCAACATCATGTGGTTTTCACAAAACCTTACCTGCATGGCCTCAGTTTGATTTTCTACCTGAATTCGAGAATGCCTATTTCAGCCCTATCTTACTGCCTAGCCAAATTCGGGAAAGATGTGCACTTAGATGATGGATTCACATACAAGCTTGGTAAAAGAACTACAAGTGGTTTTTAAGACCATCTCCAACGGTGAAATACTATTATAAGTATCTCACCAAATATAATATTATTAGTTTTATATAATTTTAAATGGTAAACCTAAGTTCAACTAATTAAAAAGTGACACCTTTTAACAAGAGTATTTTTTTTTTGTTGGGGCTCTCAAACAAGAACATATAGCACCGATTCTCCTTCTCTCTCATTTCTTTTTTATTTTCTTTTATTTTTTTAATAACCAAATACTCTCTTATATACTACCGATGGAGATGCTCTAAAATGGCCAAGAGAATCAAGAAACTGGAGAAGCAGAGCAAAAATAAGAAGACTAAATATCTCTCGTAAGATTGTGCACAATTGTTGAACATAAGATTTTGATCATTCATCACCATGAATGTTTTTCCTTTTCAATTAGTTTTAAAACATTTAGTTCAAAAATTAAATCAATACGTTATTGATATATAAATGGATTTGTTAATTGCTTTTGCTAAGCGCAGAAGCAACTCATCATTAGTTCCTCCTATTTTTAAACAACGTAATCTCAACTGAGATTTCAGATCCTTCTCGCCCAACTCAGCAATCGATTTATTATCTATCTTTGTAAAATACCCATCTTGTCCCTTTCTAACTCATACCGCTAAACGCAAAAGCCTACTCTCTCGCGATTCTGATACTGATAACCCACGTTCCGCAAGCTCGATTATCACTTCCTTACGGTCAAAGTCAGACAGTGATTTACCATTTAACTCTGGATACACCACTTCGTTTACATATGGATCCAAACCTGAATCGTCTTGTGTTGGATAGTTTACCGGAGCTGAAGAATATCCATTAGAGTCCTCTACTTTTTCAATGTCTAAAGAGAATCGATGTATTTCCATGTCCAAATCTGAAAAAGCTTCCACTGGATTCAACACCATGAATGTTTTTCTTTTTCAATTAGTTTTAAAACATTTAGTTCAAAAATTAAATCAATACGTTATTGATATATCATTCATTTGTGACCAAGAAGAGTGAGCTTAAAAATATATGCTCAAAGTGGGCCATCGAGTGAAGAGTGACTTTGACTTTGCGTTTTTTTTTTTTCATTCACTTAATCATATTTATTGACATACAATATAGTGCTTTTGATTAAAAATGAGGAATTACTAAAGCTAACATATAAAAGGCTTTCAACCCAGGTTTGTAGGTGTTGGATTTAGCCATGAAGATCAAGACAAAGACAAGAGAATAACTTAGAGAGCAAGCCTGTGAGCTCGGAAAATCAGGCTCACGTGACCGGAAGAAGTTTGCAGGACCACACACAAAATGTTCCCGTTGCTGAGGCTCTGATAAAGCAAAAGCAAAATGTGTTTTTTTCCTGTATCAACTACAAGTTATGGGCTAGTCTTAAATGACTAAGTGCCAAAGACAAGACAAAGACGTGGAGGTTGCAAAGGGAATTAGGTCATTTCCCTGGGCATATATAGAGCTGTATTTCACATCATTGAGATAGACATAAGAAAAAGAGAGAGAACTTTCATTAAAAAGTGTAAGCTTGGTGAGAGTTCTTGGGGAAACAGAGTAAAGAGTAGAACCGAGATTAGATCTTTGCAAGAGGGTTTATCTGTGGGGTTTAAGGATCTCTTTTGTAACTCCGTGATCTATTGGATTCTGGGGACAGTCCCGGTGAGACGTAGCGACCCTTGTTAACGGGCGTGAACTCGTTAAACGTTGGTGTGTGCTCTGTTTTCATTTTCATTTTTACATTGCTGTCCACTCTGTTCTGCTTGTCTTGACTTAGTCTCATTCTCATTCGCTTCTCTCTTGGTTTGTTGGGTCTAAACGCAAGAAAGCTAGTGGCTTTTAAGTGTCAGAAATCCTAACAGTATGGCTTTCTTTTGACCCTACCCTCAAATCACTGATAAAAGGTTTTTTTTTGACACTATGATAAAAAAAACAGAGCTATGAAACTGCTATTCTTATTCCAATTGACCAAACCAGAGAGAATTGACAAAGCTTTCGTTCGTAATACCATGGAACAATGGAAAATGAAAGGAAAAAAAAAGGAGAATCATGCATAATGATAACAACATAAAAGGAAGAAACAAAGATGAGTTTTTGATTTAAATGATAAAATATAGTCAGTGACAGAGACTCAATATCACGATCTTAATGAGATGCAGAAAAACAAAGAACAGGAGTACCCACTAAACACAGCTATAAATATGTAGACAATGATTTAGATAAAACACAATTTCATAGTTTTCCATCGACCAGAGTTTTCTTTCTATTTTGTCACAACTTACCAAGAAGTCTCAACATCCATGAGTCCACTCATTCATAGCTGCTTCTTGCCCTGTTTCTTGCTCTGCTTCTTGCCCCGCCTCACGAGTGTTGTTGTGTTCACAGTCTCTGGTTCTTCGCTAGACTTATCTCCGTGTTGTTCCTCCAATAAATCTGCTTCCTTGTCTTTGACAGATAAGATCTCCTCAATCTTTGATAAAGGTCCTCTAGAATCGAACCCGTACGACATCTCTAGCGCGACCAATCCTTCTTTCTGTTTATCTAGTCGGCTCCTGGGAATGTCCTTGCCCTGATTCTCTAACTCCTCTACTACGTCGAGAAAAGACTGGAAAAGTGCTAACGCAAACCTTTCACGCACAACTAAAGGTATCTGGAGAAACCCTGGAGCGTTGAAGTGAGGACGTTGTGGCCATCTTTTGAAGGCCTCGGTTGACTCACACTCCTTCCACTCCGCTAAGGTCTTGAAAAAAGGTAAAACAAACTCAGAGTTGGGCACTGCAAGCAAAAAACAATGAGAATTCGCTTTACTATAATCAACAAGTAAGTACTGGTTATATAATTACTACTCATATTGACATACCATCCTCAAGGTCTTTTCTTTTCCTCTTATGACTTTTCTTCTTCTTAACCTTAAGCCTCTGTGCATCAAAGATTAGATTACCATCATGAGGATTATTATGTTTTCTTTTGAGTTGGAATGATGTTGAGAGTAGGGCAAACAAACAAACATGTTAGATCGATTTCAAGGAGTAAGGGAATCTATTGGCATTAATAGTAAACAGGTCGAATCAAGCACAAAGCTAATAGAGATAGAGAAAATCACGATAAAACATTCTCTCCAGAATTAACTCTTTACCTTCTCTCGTTCGGAGCCGCCTCCTTCGCTTCCACTTCCATCTTCCGCCATAGTCGACTACACTCGACAGAAACCCTAGATTTCAAAAGACACTAATTTAATTTTATATTGTTGAGATACGGAGATTAATAATAATAAACGAAATATAGTTTTTGAAGGATAGGAATCGAAAAGCTTAAAAGAGGACCGAAATAGTAAAAATAGAGAGATATCTCTCATCTTTCCCTTGAACGAACCTTCTATTCTATGCGTATGTACTCCAAGCAAATGGTACGTATAAGTTGTTTATTCTTTTAACATGAAAAAAAAAAAAAGAATCTGAATCAAACATTTTTGATCATAGATTATGCTTTCTTGATTGATCGATGTGTAGATGATAACGTTGATGCCAAGGACGCCAATGTAGATGATAGATTATGCTTTCTTGATTTATCTATTTGATGTTTGGTTTTGTTTTGCTTACTCAACCAACAACTATGGGTTTTAATAGTAACAGAAGAACGCCAAACAAAATATTAGGAACAAAAGAAGATTCATAGGTTTAAAATTACACTTTTTGATCAGTAGTGTAAGACAATCAAATTCAATGCCAAGGATTTAGATAAATACAGTAGATAGAATTTTATGCACTAATCTCAAAGAACTCTCAAAGAATTCTCAGAGAATAAAACCACATACAGTATTTATATCATCGGCCAGTTAGTTCGGTGAGCGAATGGATCTGGCTCCCTGTAAGAGAGTAGTCAACATCACTAAACGATGGAGGCATCGCTGGCCACACGAAAGCCGGTCTCTCTGTAGGCACATCCGGTGGGCTAGTCTCACCAGTCACAACCTTCAAAACCGTTTTCATGGACGGTCTTTGGTTTGGATTCGGGTGGCAACAAGCTAGTCCTAAGAGCAAAACGCTTTTCATCTCTTCTTCATCAAACAAACTTGCCATTCTCGGATCCGCTGCATCCATGATGGTTCCATTTCTGTATAGCTCCCATAGCCAATTCACAATGCTGTTATTGTAGTTGCTCTGGTTCTCCTTCACCAAGACATAACTCGGTTTCTTCCCGGAGACTACTTCGAGCATTAGAACTCCAAACGCATACACATCTGTTTCAACCGTGGCTCTCCCGTTGAGAAAAGTCTCTGGAGCCATGTACCCTGGTGTTCCAGCGATCTCGTTTGTCGAATGGTGCGTCATTTCGCTTTGTTGAATCATCCTTGCAAGCCCGAAATCTCCAAGCTTTGCGTTGAAATCCGAGTCAAGCATTACGTTGCTGGCTTTGATGTCTCTGTGAAGTATCCTCTTCTCGCATCCGTTGTGAAGATACTCCAAAGCTTGAGCTAGCCCTCTTATAATGTTCTTCCTTGTCTCCCACGTTAGGTTTGATGATCTTGACTTGTCTTCCAAGAAAAGGTATCTGTCCAAGCTTCCGTTAGGCATATACTCGTAAACCAAAAGATACTCCTTTCTCTCGTAGCACCATCCCAACAGCTTCACCAGGTTCCTATGATTCAGATTTCCGATCGTCGTGATCTCGGATATGAACTCTTGCTTACCTTGATGTGATTTCTCGGAAACTCGTTTCACAGCGATGTCTCTACCTTCCCATTTCCCCTTGAACACCATCCCAAAACCGCCTTGTCCAAGTTTGTTCTCATGGCTGAAGTTTCCTGTTGCTCTCTTCAGCTCTCTCAGCTTGAACTTGTGCGGGTTTGCAGCGCAATTATCTAGCTCGGCTTCTATATCCGGGTTTGTTTCCCCAGCCTTTGACCTAGATCTCATGTACAATGCCCCTAAGAAAGCTCCTATTACAACAACACACACAATAGGGATAATAATCCAGAGCCATGACATGTTTCCATCTCCATCGATCTCCAAACCTTCAAAGCTCCATGATCGGACACAATTCAGCTCCGTGAAATTGCTTGTTGAAGCCGTAAATCCAACATAAACCGTCTCCGGAAGATAGGCCGAGAGATCTATAGCCCTAGAAAACACTAAGTTCCTCTGTTCGTATACCTCCAAGTTTCTTGAGACATAAACCGATAGAAACGTACCATCGTACCGGACATGTGCGGTAAAGTCAACTCCGGAGTCGATCGTGATCCCTCGACCGGTTAAGGATTCTTGAACAACCGAATTGATGCTGTTCAGATTTAGACCAACGTGGTTTCCATCAAGATCATCCGGATGGCTTTTCCTTGTGTCGAACTCAACCGCAACGATCTGAGACCCGAGAGTCCTGTTTGTCATATCATTGACCAGACCGAGCCACATACCCGAGCTGTTCTGAGGAGCGGTCGTCTCGGGTGTTAGAACGAAGGCTAAGCCTTCGCCTCCAGGATCGGTTTGGTTCGAGATGTTAATGACGAAAGTGGTGTTGAAAGTAGCTCTCTTGTCTTTGCTCCATAGCCTGAAAGGCTCCTTGTAGAGCGCACGACCCGCGTGATTCGTGAGAGAGCCTCCTCGAACATCAGGAGTCACTTGGATCGCTCCAAGGACAATGTATGAGTTGTCTCGGATCAAGTCTGAATCATTGCTTTCCTTAAACTCAGGAAAATCGAACTCCAAGCATTTCACTTGTGTCTGGATCTTACAAACTATAGTGAGAATCAATAACAAGCGTTTGCACGCAAGAGAAAATCTCATTTTTGTGTGTTTGTGTTTCGAGTTCTGCAGCTTCAAAGATAACGATAATAAAATATGTATGTCGTTTTTTATTTCTGTTTATGCGTTTGAAATATATTAAAAAAACAAAGTATTCACCGTCAAACACAATAGTTTCCCCGAAAATTCGAGTTATATCTTGACTACTGAAATATAATAAATTTGGTTTTAACTTTTCAACATTAGGATTAGTTTGTTATTTTTTTATTTTCAACAATAGATAAAAGAAATGTCTTTGTGCAAACTGTTGATTGTCTTGGTCGCCTTTTTGGTTTTATGAAGAAAGAGTTGACCTGTCCCTATTTTTAACGGGTTATTGATTTAGTATTTTAACATTTTCAAATTAAAATCGTTGAAATTAGTAAAATTACATTTTATTAAGTTGAAATCTTGTATTACTAAAACAAGAAACTATAAGAATTTGACATATTCTCAAGGACTTTTCCAACCAAGATTAAATCTTAGATGTTCCCTTTAATATTTGGAAACTATTATTGAAATAATAAGGGAGGATTTATTGGATAAGATTTTTTGTTTAAAAAAAATCAATCTAGATAGATTTACTTGATTTTCGAATGACTTTCTAAATATTCAGGAGAACATTAAAGATTTTTAGTTTTCATTAGAGAGATTCTTCAGTATGCATATGTTCAAATGGTAATTGTAATTTTGTGTCATAGAAAAACCTTCGATTAGTTTTTTTTTTTTTTAAGTATTGAGAACATAGGATTTGGAATTGTGTGGTTGTCTTTGATCAAGATAAATACTCATATACAATAAATTGCCTATATAAATAGAAAATAAATGAATATGGATGAAAGAAAAGTAACAGTGTCTATGACCTTTGATCAGTTTTATTCTCTCTTTTGTTTATTTGTTAAAGAACATACTATATTTAATCTACTTTTTCAGAAGGTCCTACTTTTCTTTGCACAAGCTAACATGTGAAGTTTCAATTAAAGCTACAACTTGTTCTTATTATAATGACTTCTATCTAGTACTGGCTTGAGAGGCTCACAGCAACAATTTTGATTACAACGGAGACTAGTAAAAATGTATAATAATCACCGAAATTTTCTTTTGGAAATTATTAGAGATTGTCATTTTCTTTACTTGAATTCCTAATTGGAAATACAGCCCTTTTTTTTTTGAAAAAAGAACAAGGAGAAAAGAGTTTCGTAAAAGGGTTAAAGAAAATCTATTTAAAGTTCTTTCATTTTCACGAAAAAGTATCCTGATCTTCCCCCTGCATTGATAGACCTCTTCAAAATTATATTAGCTTCTACAAGTTTTCGACAATTTTTTAATGTTTTAGACAATTATTTACAAGTTTTCGAAAATACTTAAATGTTAACTATGGCGCGTCTCGGCGTCTCTATGGGCGCACGATGGATAGTGACTGTTCATTGCATGCATTAGATGTCCGGCAAAATCAGATTTTCAAGAAAACTATTTTTGAAGAAAGAGTGCTATGGAAGTTCTCTAAAAAAAATGCTTGAAACAATGAAAGATTTTGATTCAAATTTACAAATATGGATAAAAGCTTAAGTAAAAGTAATGATGTAAATAATCAAGGAATATTTTGGACAGTCCAAAAGCATAATGAATGATTGGATTTAAAGGCACATGGGAGTTGTTGATGACATTCTCAAGTGTCAAAAGAATTAGAATAATTGGATCCGATCGGCTAAAACAGTGTAGATGTGATGACTAAAGATGGAAAGGGACCGAATAATAATGGAGTTTAAGAATCTTTGCACAAATTAAAGTAAATATATGCAAAATGATGATACAGTATTAAGAAATTAGCATTGATGACAACAAAAAAAAGTTATGAGTTGAAAAGTGCAAATCGTCTTTGTTATTCCGAATATATCTATTACCTTTTCGATATATACCAACAGCTACACCAGTACGACAATAAGTTCACAGAATGTTCAAATGTTGACCTCGACTCATTTCGTTATTAGTTATTACAGTCGCGATTCAATCAGTCTCAAACTATATAGCGACGTTTTAAGGTGAATGAACATCCAAAAAAAATCAAAAATAAATAAATAATGTGAGCCTCAAGATGAATGAGTCTAATGTGGATTCATACGTCACAATGAACACAATCTGTAATAGTTTGCAAACTCTCTGGAAAGCAATCTTGAACCAGAATCGAAGTTAGTCCATTTAATTTTTGGCAATATTTACCAAAACAAGATCCAAGAGTTACATGAAATATAACAGATACAGTCTTAGCTAGGGCTCGGATCATAAAATAAAGTACAAGATAATACAAGACATGACATTACATGACATGAGCCTTCTGGACTCGTAAGCAAACAACAGTTCCTATCTTATATAAACCTTCATGCGAGTGATCTTGGTAAGTCCGACAAGTTAACATTCTGAACGGATATCACTACAGCCTCCAGGTCTGCCATATATATACCACAGAACAAGAAACAATTACTTTTAGTCCCATCTCAAGAAAAGAAGTGAGCTCGTACAACTTACTTGTTATCAGCTCGCAATCTCTTGTTTCCATTCTTCTTGTTCTTCCTTCGTCTCTTTTTGGAAGAGACCAAATTATTAGCCGGATTGTGTGCTGGTGGTGGCACAAACTGTAATGGAACAGCGATTTGCTCAGAAGCCCCTTGTGCTGCCTCTGGCAATTTGATTTCATGTTGTGGTTTTGAGAATATCGGTGAAGTTCTTGGCAGATTTACATCAGAGCACCTTGACATGGTCACTGCTCCAGTCGGGTGACCAGCCACACCCTTGTCGGTGACAGAACAATCACGAGTATCTGAAACGTCCTTGAGCTCATTTAAGACAGCACAAGCATTAAATTTCGACTTGATGACTTCAGAAATCGGTGTGGCATATGTAGGATCATCTATAACAATTAAAGGTATTCATTGGTCAAACAAAATTGAAACATACAAAAATAAAAGAAGAGAGAAAAAATGGGACATTAATCTTTTGTTCTTGTTTAGTATTTGATTCAGAATATAAGAGCTTACTTAAAAGGGAGAGGATAGCTGCAAGTGCAGCTAGTTGCTCAGCATCTTTCTTATTTTTACCACCTTCACCTCTATAACAAGTACCATTGAGTGCCAAATAGGAAACAAACACGGGATCCTTTTCAGCTTGAACTGTCTCATATGTGCATTCCATCTTTATCTTAGCAAGAAACTCGTTTAATATCATCTTGCAACGTGTTTTGTCCTGACATACGAACTGCAGAAAATCAAATTCGAATCAGCATTGGCAGAATATTCTCACAACTAATCATGTAAGTCCTAGCTTCCCTTTACGCTATAACATCTTTCCTTCTTAAAATGCTATCATATTATGCTCAGCGACTTACCAATTGTAACAATTCTAGAACAAGACATCACTCCTAACTCAGAAACAGATGCACCAAAAAAGTTATAATAACAAACCTTGCGGAGGATCCCGCGTAGATTTGTAGCACTAACTTCATCCTCGTTTAGTAGGTGTTGTAATGCAAGCTTAGCAGCATCTTGCTCTGCAGATTTCCGGTTAGGGAATGTATTTGGGGAAGTAAAGATCTTATTACCAACAGAAACAGAAGATGTAAATGTCGGAGCATGACCACAACCTCCGAATGCAGTTTGATACACTGGGAGTGGTATGCTTAACCTCTGACAATAAGTATTCAAGTCATTCTTATGCATCAACTTCTCCACAACTCCTGCCAAAAAAAAAAAAAAAAACCAACAGATTAAAGATTGCTGGAAAAAAAAAGACAAAAATCAGAGCAAAGCAAAGCCTAAAAATTAGAGACCCTAATTTCGTCTTCTCCATTAGATTTACACCCTTTTAGGGATCAAAAATTCCCCCCATTAATTAACTCACTCCACTATGTAAACCATTACGGATAAGGTGAAATTGAGATAATGTACACAGAGGAAGACGAACAAGTATAATCCCAAGATTGAATAAAGGGGTTATTGAGAGTACGAAGGCGATAGAATTACCTGTACGAGTAGCGGCGGGGGAAGAAGGGTCTTGTGGCGGAGCGTGAGTCGTGGACCGATACAAGTGCGGAGGAGGAATGGCAATGAGACTCGACGGAGATGCATCGCCCGGCGGTGAGAGAGATTGCGACGGAGTACGAGTTGCGCTTACCACTTTGTGGAACATTTTTGACTTTAGAAGCTTCTTCATCTTTTAGGCTTGAAAATTTTGCCTTCTGTAAAAATGAACCCGAATAGGTTTAAAAAGGTGAAATTTTTCATTTTCCAGAAAGGAAAGATATATATGTAGATTAAACACATTACCCAAAATGAATAATTTACAGTCCAACATTGACTCGAGTAAAATTATAAGGTCATGAATTAATGGTTTGTGGATTATTGTAGAATGGTTTTAATAAAGTGACTAAGTTTTCACAACACGTTATCAGCACGATAAGACTCTCTGAGCGAAAAACCCTAATAAATCTGGCCACCACCAAAACCCTAAAAGCAAGTCGAAACTTAAAAGACGCATATCTTCCAAACCGTGAGGAACCAGAAGACGATCTACATATCAAATCGAAGCCCTCGACGAGACAAATCTACTGGTGAAAACCGTTTGTCGATCCAACGTCGGACGCGCCCTCACGCACACTTACAGTACACGACGATCAACCGAAAAAAAACCAGATCCGAGTTTTTCCTTCTTCAACCAGCAGTTTCTCCAGTTTTGGTGATCAATCCTTGGAATTTGTAGCGGCTAACTGAGGTCTATTAGCTCCCAGTTTCATTAGCCTGTCAGAAATCCAAAGGTGGAAAAGCACACTAGCAAATGGAAACCATAGTCGTAGATAGTGGCTCCAGCCACACTATCTTAAGAAACAAAAGTTACTTCATAAACCTAACCTATCAAACCGCAAATATTAGCACCATCGCGGGTCCCTCAAACCTTATCGAAGGATATGGCCATGCCTATGTGTTGCTATCAAATGGCACACAACTTGAAATACCAGATGCTCTATATTCTCCTAGTTCGAAGAGAAATCTTCTGAGCTTCAAGGATATAAGACAGAATGGTTTCCACATAGAAACCCAAGGTCAAGGGAACAAAGAATCCCTCCTAGTCACTAAAACCGTAGACGGCCATAAACAAATCCTCGAAACCATACCCGCGCTCTCTACTGGACTTTACCATGCTAAAGTCAGTATGATTGAAGCTAATACCACTCTCAAAGCCCGGTTTACTGATTATACTATTTGGCACGACCGGCTCGGTCATCCCGGTGCAAATATGATGCGTAAACTAATTCAAAACTCTCAAGGGCATACCCTCAAAGAAAACCGAGCTTATCCTCAACACCTCATGTGCACAGCTTGTTCTCAAGGCAAATTGATCACTCGGCCCTCACCAGTTAAAATCTCTAAACAAACACTTCATTTCCTAGAAAGAATCCAGGGCGATATCTGTGGACCTATACATCCATCTTCCGGACCATTCCGGTACTTCATGGTCCTTATAGACGCATCGACCCGTTGGTCATATGTTTGTCTCTTGTCCTCTCGGAACCAAGCCTTCGCTAGGTTCTTGGCCCAAATCGTAAAATTGCGGGCCCATTTCCCTGACTTCCCACTAAAGACTATCCGCCTTGACAATGCTGGTGAATTTACCTCACAAGCGTTTAATGACTACTGTATGGCCATGGGGGTAACCGTGGAACATCCTGTAGCACATGACCATACTCAAAATGGATTGGCTGAATCATTCATTAAACGCATTCAATGGATAGCCCGACCATTACTCATGAGATCAAAGCTCCCGGCCTCAGCATGGGGACATGCAGTATTACATGCTGCTGAACTCATACGCATCCGGCCATCTAGTGAATACAAATATTCCCCATCCCAACTACTCTCGGGTCATGAGCCAGACATCTCCCATCTCAAAACATTTGGGTGTTCAGTATATGTACCCATTGCTCCACCACATCGAACCAAAATGGGACCTCAAAGAAGGATGGGAATATATGTTGGTTTTGACTCTCCCACCATCATAAGATATCTCGAGCCAACCACTGGAGATCTCTTCAAGGCCAGATATGCGGATTGCCAATTCGATGAATCGGTATATCCTTCTTTAGGTGGTGAGACAAACAAGCTGGTCAAAGATCTTTCATGGAATCAAACATCATTAAATTGGCAAGATCCTCGGACTCTAGAATGTGATTCAGAGATCCAAAAGATTATTCATTATCAAAAGCTAGCTAATCAATTGCCAGATTCCTTTGCTGACCCGACCAAAGTAACCAAATCGTACATCCCAGCTTGTAATGCACCAGTACGAATAGCTGTCCCAACGGGACAGACCCAAGTTGCTACAGAGTCTGCACCACGTCTCAAACGGGGCAGACCTCTCGGTTCCAAAGATAAGAATCCCCGGAAATCAAAGAAAGGTGCAATAACCGAAACCGAGATTCCTGCAATATCAGACATAGCCGCGGCTGAGACTCAATCTAATGAACCCTCAATGGAAGTTTGGGACGCCGAATCTCCAGGTTCAGAAGATAACAATGAGATCTCCATCAATTACAATATGTCCGGAATGCAATGGAATCGAAAAGAAGTCGACTTAAATGCACTCTTTGCATACAAAGTAGCACTTGATGTTGCGCTCACGCAAGAGGATCTAGAACCCACGTCAATAACACAGTGTACACATCGAACAGATTGGCTAAAATGGAAAGAAGCCATAAACGTGGAGTTAAAGAGTCTCAAACTCAGAAACGTGTTCGGTCCGATCATCCGGACCCCATCACACATCAAGCCAGTGGGCCACAAATGGGTCTTTGTGCGCAAAAGGAACGAACTCGGTGAAGTCGTTCGATACAAAGCACGGCTTGTAGCACAAGGATTCTCACAGAGACCCGGAATCGATTATGAGGAGACTTATTCTCCAGTGGTGGATGCAACAACATTCCGATTCCTCATAAGTCTGGCCATAAGAGAAAATCTTGATCTGCGGTTAATGGATGTTGTAACCGCATATCTCTATGGGCCCCTGGACAACAAAATATATATGAGACTCCCAGATGGCATTGAACTAAAAGACAAAAATGCATCTCGAGATCAATACTGCATCTCGAATTCTGCTTTTAAGCAGTCGACTGTTTGGGAGATCTCACCAGATGTTCCGAGGATGTTTAGATCATCCACGTATACTGCTATGATTACAAATCCTTTGTTTGAGTACTTCTTGATCAGGGCTGAACAAATCCCTGGCAATGTTGAATAAACAAAATCTAAACTTACAGAATTGTATAAAATACATATATCTACCGCATAGCGTTCAGATGCCGTCCAGGCCATATTTTTAGAACATTGTTCACAGGGGAGTTAGAAGAGAATTTATCACTAGACTAAGTTGACCAATACTGTTGAATTCCCATTATGTATCGAAATTGTGTAATCGCGTATTATCCGACTTTGTTATCGAACTAACTAATCTAAACATATATGATTAATATATTATGTCAAATCTAAATAGAGATCTTTAATCGAACAATGACATAACCAAACTAACACAACAATATATCTGATGAAAATTTTACAAATATTAGGTCTGATCCGGTTAAGAAACAAAACTTTTTGG